CTCGAGGGCTCCTTAGTCATGTCTGGTCGTCTTTGAAACCTCGAGCTCAAGTGATCGACACACAGACAGTCCAAGTCAGCTGCTCTAAAAATGGGGGCTCGGTTGTTTCTTCTTTGGCAGCTTTGGGGCTGCGGGTGCGAGCGCGAGGGAAACGAATTCAAGATCCGCCGCGGATCGAGGTCTGTGGGTATGTAAAACAAACGCTTTGTGTCGGTATCTGTGGAAGCCGATAGATCAGCTGTGCACTATCTACATGTATGTGTACCTGTGCTCGAACTGTCAGTTCGAACCTTTAGGACGATTGGGTGCCGCTGATCATCCAACCTCTCTCCACAGGATAGAGATACTGTATCATGTAGATACTAAACATACATGTAGATAGAGTACTCAATCGACATCTCCAAATCCCCCAAGCTCTTGATCTCTTGACACGGGTCCGTGCGTGGGCAGATATCACGACATATGGTCCATCTCAAGCCCTCGCACAGCATTGGAGTTTTTCTGCTCTACATCGAACTACACATGGTACAGAGCATGTTTCGTTTGCATCTGAGCTGCGTAAACACATAACGTCAACCGCTCTTCTCTCCTCCTCTCGCTTTCTTTCCCTCTCGCATTTCCTTCCTCGCGATCGAATCGATGTAAGCGAGGGGTGGTTGTGGTTGTGTCGTTCGTTTGCTCCGCTTGCCAGCTCTCGTAAAAAAAGAATTTCCCTCGATTCGATGTCGCATCATGATCTCCGATTGGGAGGTCCTCCTTTCGAGTGATGCTGCATGATTGGTTGCGCCGGTCTAGAATCTCGGAGCCAGAGCGGTTCTCATTACATTTCGATACCCCCCATTTGTGGGCTATCTTTGCTCCATTTTTTTTCCACTTTCCATTCTTCCTAGGAGATGAGCAAGGAGCATTTCCTTTCCTTCTTTCTCTTTCGCGCGAGCGCGGGATACCCGTTTGTCAAAAACATGGCAAAGCGGTGGTTGTTGTGAATCGTGGTTTTGGGCCACTATCGGGGTTTAGTTTGTACATAAGTTCCAAGTATGTAACTGTAGTTAGAACTTAGGAAGTTCCAGAGTGAACTTCCTCTACTCTACAGGTACAGGTTTTGATCTGGGCCGAGCGAAACCCAACCCATACCATGCCATGCCATATGTACCATACCACGGGCTACCTGCTGCGATCCCACCCCGCAAATTCGAAATCGGGCCGAGATATGGCGCTCGCGATGTTTAATATGTATGCAAATAAGGACTTTGAGATTTTCCCCCACACTATGCTGTTTGGACGCTGTCAAGGATAGATACATGTACTCTACTTACACAGGCCTGTGTGTAAGATTTGCTCTATTCTACACGTGAGCGCGAGGGTGAAGGATGTGGATTGTGGACGTATGTAGGTTCTGCCAGAGACAGCACGTACAGCAGAGAAGAGACGCTGCATCGAGAAGGTACATACAGTAGGCACTTCATGGGATGAACCTTTCCATATCCAGCCATAAAACGATACCCAGACAAGAAGAAGGGAAAAGGAGAAACAAAAAACAGGCACCGAAAAACACACCCACACCAATCGACACTTCCGAAACAAAACAAAATAAACGGGCCGGGGGAGGAAGGAACATGCTTTTTTTCTCGCTCCTCTGGTTTCTCCGATCGAGATATCGATTTGGGAGTGCGACACACCACCAGATCTCTCCCTATCCCTACCCTCGTTCCATACTTCACGTCCTCTATTATCTATCTACATACATACATGTAAAGTAGATATCTCTGTCCTGTCACTTGTAACAAAAAAAACAGGGCTTGCTGCACGACGACAGAAATATAAAGCAGTAGATTGTAGATCTCTTGGGCAGCTTGCGGATTGCGGATTGTGGATTGTTTGCTTGCTTTATCTGGAGACATACATAGCATAGCATACAGTGTAGATCTCCCACGAAGTGTGTTGAAGATTTTGGCGATGTTTTGTTTTTTGTCGTTTTTTCTTCGTGGACCAGGTTTGGGGGACCATTAGTGGGGTCAGTTAACAGCTACCCTTGCTATCATGTATCAAGGATTCGGGACAGGACAGGGCACTTGAGTCCAAGTCCGAGTCCGAGTTCTGTTCGATCTGTTCTGTTCTGCCCGGTCTGCGTTAAATCAAAAAGAAAAACACAATTACCACCATGACAATTAAATACCGAATTAATGGTATTTCCAAAAAGGCCGGCAACTAATAATTTCTTTGTCCGGCGGAGCAACACCCCCCCCCCCCCCTCTCAGCTGGCTTGGTACACCGGCGGCGGGAAGACTTCCACTTCCTCCCCCCACCGTGGGGCTTTCTCCACGGGTAGATATCGTGGCTTGGATACGGTGTCTTCGGCCTACTCTACCTAGCCTAGCTACCGCGATTCTCAGTGAAGATGGCTTGCCTCTTGGCCCAGGCTGACTGAATGACTAATTAAACGGATAGATTGAGTGAAGTCTGACTGGCTGATACTGACTTCCTATCAGGGAAGGTCGGTCTGTCAATCGGAAGTCGCCGGCGGGGACAGTTAAAGTGAGTGAGTGAGGTGAGGAGGATTCACGGTGCAGCAAGCATGTACTCTAGAGGTACATTACAGTAATCTTCACCCCGCACCTGAGATAACCGTACATGGTGGGCCAGCGCAGGAATGTACGGATAGATAGATAGATAGAGTAGATAGGGTACCTAGAAGCAGGTAGGTAGTATGTAGTCAGACTGTGCTTTGCTGATATCGTATCTCAAGGTAGAGTAGGTAGGCAGAGAGTATGAAGCAGGTATGGTCTGTCTGGTATGGACGGATGCAAGTGTATGTCGCAAAGTGCAGCATGCCAAAGAGATATATGACATTGCACATAAGCTGGAGTTGGTAGGTCTACTCTGCTCTAGTACCGTAGGCAGCTCAGCTCCAACCTCTCTCTGTCTACCTCACCTACATCACCGTACACTATCTCACTGCTCCCCCTCCTCCTCCCTCCTCCTCCCCACTCGCACCCCTCCTCCTACTCACTCCGTTCTGTAACTGTACATACCCTCCCTCTACCACGACACCGAAACAGCCAATTTCGAATCCCACCGGCAATAATTTGGTAACAATATAGCCACAAGCACAATTAAGTGAGTTTTGCGTGCAAAGAAGAGAAAGAAGTAAAAAAAAAAACAAGCACAAATAAAATAAAAATAAAGTATTATAACCCTAATTAACGAAACCGACGAACCAGAGCAGCCCAACGACGAGCAATTCCCACACAGACAGACCGAACAGTAATCACCAAAATGTCCCAGCAGCTACAACCGGAGGAGCCAGCTGTAGCTGCCCCATCGGCCCGCAGTACAAGGAGGAGAAGCCGGAAGCCACGTACGTTCCTGTTTCTCTCTCACTCCCGGGGGGAAATCAAAGGCAGCAATCAAAGCAAGGCAATTACAGCAAAGCAAAGAAAGAGGCCCTTTCTTCCCTGCTTTCTGCTCCCATTCACTGCCTTGCCTGCTCCTGCCCCCCCCCCCCCCCCCTTATCTTTCAGTTGTAGCTGAGTAAAGGAATCAAACAATTGCAGCGTGTCGACTCCTATCAAGCATTCGAATGTGCACATTCTTCCGCAGACCCCGCAGTTGATTGCGCTGCTCACGTGAGTTATTTCCGCATTCGGAGCTGTCTCTGCACCCTTGTGTTTTTTATTTTTTATATTTGCTTTATCATTGTCATTGCGCTCTGCCCTGCGCATATGGGCCTTGAAAGATCGCTCGCTCTACCCCGCTATATATGTACCAATTCCATATACCCAATCCCACCCCTCCCCGCGGTGCAGCAGCAGCCTGGCCGTCCATCACATGAAAAGCGGCGGCCAACCCAACCCCGCGCCTTCTCTCCCACCCGCACCCACCAGCTGTAGCCCCAATCCCAATCCCCATGCACACCACTAACGCGCCCCCAGCATGATCCGCGACAAGACCACCGTCCGCGGCGACTTCATCTTCTACAGCAACCGCATCATCCGCCTGCTCGTCGAGGAGGGGCTCAACCACCTTCCCGTGATCTCGCACCCCGTGACCACGCCCACCGGCCGCTCCTACCAGGGCGTCAAGTTCGAGGGTAAGATCTGCGGCGTGAGCATCATGCGCGCCGGCGAGGCCATGGAGCAAGGCCTGCGCGACTGCTGCCGCTCCGTGCGCATCGGAAAGATCCTCATCCAGCGCGACGAGGAGACGTGCATGCCCCGCCTGTTCTACGATAAGCTGCCCGAGGACATCAGCTCGCGCTACTGCCTGCTACTGGACCCGATGTTTGCGACGGGCGGGTCGGCGACCATGGCGGTGGAGGTGCTCATCTCGAGGGGCGTGCCGGAGGAGAGGATCTTGTTCTTGAACTTGATTGCGAGCCCGCAGGGGATTCAGGGCTTTGCGGAGAGGTTCCCGAAGTTGAGGATTATTACGGCGTTTGTGGACCAGGGGTTGGATGGGAAGAAGTGGGTTTATCTTTTGTTTCTTTTGGGGGCGGTGGTGGTGGGTGGTGTTGGGTGATGTGGTGTGCTGTGCTGACCGACGGGTGCGATGTAGTTATATTGTCCCGGGGCTGGGCGACTTTGGTGACAGGTTCTACTGCATCTGAGGGGAGTACGGTGGTAGGTTGTAGATCACCTCTTCCCTTTCCCTTTTTTTCTTTTTCTTTTTTCTTCATGTTGCAATAGCACGGCTGAGATATCACTGATGATCTGGAACTATCAAAGGGAATAAATGAACCAATCAATCAAGCAAGCAATCAATAGCAGTGCACTCAATGATCGATTTTCGTAGAAGTGATATATAATCATTGAAGGCCCATATCTCGCAAATTTTTTTTAAACCAAAGAACCTGTTATACAAGAAAAAGTGAAAAAAATAAATAAAATAAAAAAAAAGAGGTAGTTAAAAAAAAAGATCAATGGTGTGACAATATTATAAACAGCCGAATTTTTACCAATTCAAAGAGAAAACATTGAAGAAGCAGCTAATCTTCATCATCATCATCCAGCCCAAGAGTCTGTCGGGACGATCCCCACCATATCCCCATATCCCCCACCGCCGCCGCCGAGGTCATCATCGTCATCATCGTCATCTGGGCCCTCGATCCGGCCGCGACTCTGCTGAATGCTTCGGGCGCCGCTGCCGCCGCCAGCGGAGCGGCCCGTAGACTTCTCTTTCGGGTTCGCAACCTCGTCACAGGCATCTACCCACTCGCTGTAGACGTCTATCGCATGCGATAGATCTGCACACACAACCACAACGTTTTAGTTAGCCACCTTGTCCCGGCACAACTCGGAAGTACTTGTTTATCTCTCTCTTTTTTCCCTGCGCGCGCGGCGACGAGAGGGAGGGGGCGGCGCCGGCCGGAGGAACGGGGAGAGTAGCAGTGGGGGGGGGGGGGGGGGAGGAGGGAACGTACAGTTGATATTGGCCTGGAACGTCTGGCCGCAGACCTTGCAGGAGAGGGAACCGATGCCGGCCTTCTTATCGAGCTTGCAGGTGACGGCCTTTTCGTGGTTGCAGAACAGACATGAGAAGGATGTTGCTAGGGGTTCGTTCTGGCCTTGCTGTCAGTACTGGGTCTCTCCCTCTGTCTTGTTTGCGCCTGTGCTGTTGATACTGTGACGATATAGCTTTACTTGTACCTGGCTACCAGAGCATCACATGATGTAGGCTGGCAGACAGGAAGGTAGAAGTAGTAATAGCTCGGGAGCGGGGGATAAGGATGGGGATGGGGACGCTGACCTTCTTGGGGCCTGTCGGCTTTTTGGCTGCCTTCTTTCTTTTGCCCTGTTCATCGCGAGTGTTAGTCTGGGCGCCCGTTGTCTTGGATTGGATTGGGGTAGATCTAGGCCAGGGCCCGGCAGCAGCGGGGGGGGGGGGGTGTGGAGATGGGGGTCTTACCATAGCTATTCGGTGGTTTTAATGAGCGGGGGGAGATTAGTTGGTGAGCACTGAACGCTGACCACGATGATTTGGTAGATAGATGATGTACGGGGGTATGTGTCGTGTGGTGGTGGAGGAGGGCTTTCTTTATTCTCGCAAAATGATGATGTCGAACGCGAAAAAGAGGAACGCGATGGGATGTTCTTTTTCAGGGGCGGTGCTTAAGCCACAATTACCGCTAGCGCGTGACGTGATGAGGCTAAAAAAGCGTGGGCCCACAAGCCACACACACGCTTCACACTCTGTCCGGTTCCAGCTACAGGCTACAGCAGCTAGCAGCTACGAGACAAGCTAAACAAGCGAGAATTGAGCTGTGATGGATAGCAGTAGCAGCTGGTGATATCGATGAGTTGGTTATCTTTGCCTGGAAAGAGAGAAAAGGTCTTTATATACAGTCTTCCCCCAATTATGTCACTGGTAGAAATACACACACACATCATCGCGTAGTCAGATCGCTCATTTGTGACGAAAAACAGCCCCTGCGCCACAGTACGGGGCGTCGAGCCTGAGGAAATTAGAGGTCAATACTATCATTGACTCTCTATCCCCACGTGACCCGCGTAGCCATTCCCAAATGGGCGGCCACCAACCAGCTAGAGCAGACAAGCGATAAGGGAACAACGACGCTGCCCATGAGATAAGTCAAGTTGCTCAGCAGCTTCCGGGACGGGAACATGCCTGCGCGCAGCAGCTATCAAGCAAGCAACACTGCTGCTGGTGCTGTTGGTTCTGCTTCTCACGATTACTCCACTGGGGAAGGAACCGAGCTTTTTCCTTCTCTCTTCGCGGGGTTACTCTAGGTACTCTACTCTACCTGCGCTGCTGTTGTTGCTGCAGCTCTTGCGGGATTCAGTCCTAGACAGTTTAACTATCGTAATGGAAGACAAATGACTGGCCGTAGTAGGTAATGTTGAGTGAGCCAGAGCGAACAACACAACAGCTCGGAGACATCCCGTGACCGCTGGGTGTTTGTTGGTTGCTGGCGGGTTTCGGGGGTGGTGCTTGTGCCTGGAATACATCCATCCTACCACTCGGAGGAGAAAGAAGGAAAGGTTCCCTTTGTTAATTCACCCCACCTTTTATCCACCTCTTCTCTTCTTCTGTTCGCTACTTCTTCCCTTCTCCCCTTCTCCCGCTCAATTCTATTCTGTTCTCTACTTCTTCTTTGATTTGTGCCCTACACCTCTATCTGATCCGAATCTTCCTTCTGCCCTTATCATCGTGACTGCCCCTCCTCATCCCCCAATCTACATACATACTTCCCACCCACATACAAACCAGCCAGCTTTCCGTCCCAACATACATACGGCAGAACCATCATGGCGGAAGACAACAACGCTCTCCTCGCCCAGATCCTCGCGGCAGTCAGCCAGATCCAGAGCGACAACAAAGCCCTCGCTGCCTCTGTTGACGCCATCAATGGCCGTGTAAATGCCCTCGCGGACGTCAAGAAGCTCAAAGATGCTGCCCGCCCTGACACGGCCCGCGTTTCTGCCCTCCTGCCGCCGCCGCTGCACCATTGGCAGATCTCTCCCCCGCGGCCGAGACAAGTGCCGAGATCAAGGAGGAGGAGCCGTCAAAGAGGCCGACTACCTCGAGAATTATTCTCACGACTTATCCCGGGCAGAGCGGAATTGACCCCATCATCATGAATTGGGGACACAAGGACCCGATGCAACGGGGCCCGGTGGTCGTTTCAAGAGCAGGTTCAACTGTCAGGCGCAGGAACGGTTAGTCAAACACGGTTTTCCCTTGTGTTTGGTTTTTACTTTTTTTTAATCCCTTCCTTTATTATATTATATTTCTTTTTATATATAGTTTTTTTCTTTTTCTAAACTAACATTTCTCTGATCTATCGTACAGCAATTGGTGCCCATGGTGGCTCGTACAGTATTTACCATGCCCTCGCTGTAGCAATTAATGAACTCAAGGTGGACCACAAGCCCGATTATACCAATACTGAGCCGCAGCCCCTCTAGGGCCCTTCCCTCAATGGTCCGATCCCAAGAAGATTGTTGCGATGGACCCTCTCGGTCATCTTGCGCCATGGTTGTACAAGGATTACATTGGAAAGGAAGATGTCGAGATTCGTCCTACCATTGCAATTACCAAAGCCCACATGAAGCTACCTGAACTCGAGCAGAGTGTGAGGGAAGGTCGATTGAAGGTTGATGGCAAGATCTGTTTGAACGAGTCAGGTGAATTGGCTGTCACCAAGTTCGCCGTGGAGCCGGTCTGGTATCTACCAGGTGTTGCGGAGAGATTTGGAATCGGTATGTTTCATTATTTACACTCTCGTGATATGTTCCCATATTGCTTCTCCCATTCATCTGCGATGTGTGGGCCTAGTCCGCATCGAGCCCAAGCTTTGAATGCCACTCGGCAAAGCTTATTCCTTCCTCGTGAAACACTGAGCATCACCTAAAAATCTCATAGTGTACCGCGGGCTAACTAAAAGCGCAATTCCGGGCTGAACAGATGAGGGAACCCTTCGCCGTTCGCTATTCGAGAATACCGGTGGTTCATTCCCCGAGCTCATCACCCGCGGTGACATCAAGCTGTTCCTTCCCCCAATTGGAGGGTTGACAGTATACTGCTTTGGCGATGTCGCGAAAATGTCCGATCCTAACGTTAAATTGGCCCTTCGGGTCCACGACGAATGTAACGGTTCCGATGTGTTTGGATCTGATATCTGCACATGCCGTCCATACCTTATCTTTGGGATTGAGGAAGCTGTGAAGGAAGCTCAGAAGGGTGGAAGCGGAGTCGTCGTCTACTTTAGAAAGGAAGGTAGAGCGCTTGGTGAAGTCACTAAGGTACGTGTCGACACTCTGCTAGGTCGAATCCCCGCTGACTAGGTGTGTAATAGTACCTCGTATACAATGCTCGTACGTGGCAAGACTTTTTCTTTGGATCGATTTCCAACTTTCTGTAGTGGTAAAACGTGTTGACTGGTTGGAATCTAGGTAAACGCGGTGTCGACAAAGCCAGCGATTATTTCATGAGGTGAGTTGCCAATAATCTCCAGGAAAGCCCCATTGAATGATCTCGTGCTGACCAAGTGGATTGTAGAACTGAGGTACGCTTCTCGAATGCGGAATTTCCGTTGCCTATTCAAGCCTTTTCTTTTCTTTTTCTTGAAGAACGTTAGCTAACTGTCTTGACAGAACATTGCCGGAGTAAAGGTAAGAGCCACAAAGCCATGGCAAATGCAATTACAAAGTCTCGACCTGCAATACACCGCGTGCTAATATTGATCCTCGGCTAGGATATGAGGTTCCAAGCCCTGATGCCCGATGTATGTACCCACAAGCCCTCCTGTCTCTCATCGCACGATCGCTGTGCGGCCTGTAATGTGGAGGCTAACAATTCTTTCCTAGGTACTCCATTGGTTAGGTATCACGAAGATCGACAGAATGCTCAGCATGTCCAAGTGAGTTACCCTTTTTCCGTGTTTGACCGTTCGGTTGAAAGTTTTTTTACCCCGCATTTTCTAGAGTAAGGTTTTTGTTTCTGACTGATTTTTCTCGTGTAGCATGAAGCACGATGCGATCGTTGGCCAGGGAATTCCCATTCACGAGAGGATTCCGATCCCGGATGAGCTGATTCCGGCAGACTCCAGGGTTGAAATTGATGCGAAAATCCATGCTGGGTCAGTGGGGCGCTTTTTTCCCTTGAATCCGACTCGCGTGACCTGAATCGTGATGCTGACGATAGTTTTTTCTGGTATGGATGTAGATACTTCACCACCGGAAAGGTGATGACTATGGAGGAGCTCAGCGCCGTTCAGGGACGTGCGTGGGGTACGTATTATTAAGATCCCTTCTAGACGTAGTAGTTGTAGTAGCAAACGACCTGGTTTTGGCTAACTTCAATGTTAATAGACGACGTGGATCACTGAAAAGGCTTGCCTGCATGTGTCCGATGTGGTTTTTAACAGCGGGTCCGGGTCTCCTTCTCCGATCGCCCCTGAATTCCCGATCCCGAGCTTTCTCGGGTACCTTTTTCCTGGGCGCCGGCTGACTTTCAAATACTTTGTTTAGGGAACCTCGATTGTAACCCCCCCCGCATTCCCCGCTGTTTTCTTAAATCCCCGGTGACACGTTTATATTAAGGATCTTGTGATTACCTGGTACTCGAGTCCTTCTCTTTATGGTAATTTCACTTCACATCTTGTGTATTGTACGTTTTTCTGCATTAAGGCCTCTTATGTTTTACGATTCCAATGAAATTTGTCGATACGCTCGAATAATGTCGCGGTAAACTAAGGGGATAACTTAATTGTGCTCCCTTTTTTCTTCTTCTTCTTTCCTTTTGGAATAATGATCGTGAGTTTTTTTTATTATTTATGCTGGGAGGCGTTGTACTTAGACGCGTACGTGCGGTTACCCCGTACTTTTTTGGTAAAGTGATTCAACCAGTCATGGGCGAATCTCGATCTGTTACTCGTAGGCTGCCTGCCTGCCTTGCTCTGCTGCTGGTACTGTTATGGTACTGTAATTGATTGACTGGAAACAACCCTGACTGCCCTTACTTCATACCTTTCCCCGTATGACGCTGGTGGTGGTAATGGGCAAATGCTCCATGATCGTATCGTGAAGTGCCTGTTTGTACTCTACAGTTCAGCGATCCCAGTAATCGTGCTACCCCATATTACGGCAACGTCATCGCGCGCGAGCTCTTCTTCTCTCACTCCTTCATCTGGAACAGGCCAGTCGTCTTCTAAACCCGCCAAAGGGGGCCGAAAGGAATGGTAGAAAGAACGAAAAAAGAAAAATTAAATAGTAATAATAATAATTATAACAGGATATGCAAGCTTCGAGCCGTTCCCTGGGCTGCAGTTCCCATGCGAGCATGTACGTATGTATGAGCACTCTCTCTCACTATCAAAAAAATAATTGTTCCAACCGTCTCTGCCCGAAAGGGGGTAGTACTGCACATAGGGGAGTTCGGAGTCGGAGGTACTAGAAGTAAGGTACAGACAACAAAGCAGCTCATGGGGGCGTGTGAGACGTGTGCACGACAGGCCCATTTGGAGGTACCGGGCGAACCTACAGCACGGCGTACCGTGTCTCTGTCTGTTTAAGGATTTTCTCCCCCTACCCTACCTGGGCCAAGCAGAGTACCAGATACATGTCAGGCTATGGGTTGGGTTAGGTAGTGTTCTAGGGTACAGGTGAGTGAACTCTAACATACGCCGAAGCCGAGGGGAAGTGGGTGAGTGAGAGAGTGAGTTCAGAATGAGGTGAGCAGCAGCAGCAGAAAGGTAAGACCAGGCTGGCCATTGCACCAGGAACCGGTACGCTCGCTGTGTTGAGTACCTGGGGGGGTTCCAGGATAACATGTACCTACATATTCTATTGGGGGCTGGCTAGCTAGCTAACGTAACTACCGGAATGCGTCCATAATACACGAGAGGCTACTCTTTCTTCTTCTACCGGTGTTGGTTAAGGCAGTGGCAGTTTGCGGTAGTGGTTATAGTTGTGGTTGTGATTATTAGAAGCTAGTATGGATATGGTTATTTCTAATTGTTCTTAATTGAGGTTGAGAGGAAGAAGGCAGCTGAAGGTGCTGCATTGTTCTAGTGTCTGTAGTTTACTTTTACTCCTGCGTGACGATGTTAAGCCTAGGTTGGTATTTTTACACGGGACCGAGATGGGGAAGGGGGTTGGAAAGTTGGAACGGTTTAGTGAGATACATAGCGGTGGACTCATTGCAAATTGCGGAAGCGATTGGAGTGGAGTGTGCGAGATGCGGTATGTAAGTGTATGTATGGTGCAGTGCGTGGGTTGGTCACGATTCCCGGGCTCTTGGGAATTTTGGCTTTCTTTTCTCGTGAGGTACCCGAAATGTATCAGATGGAGCGAGGGCAGCGAAGGGGAGGGGCGGGTTTATTCTGCGACAGTCTGTGTTCCACGGTGCTGCTGCTGTGCTTCTGTGCTGCTGAACTAGAATAGTAGTGGGAATAATAATAGGCTGTGGTTTATGGCCGGTGGTGGTAGATACTAAGGAATTCTCAACATGTACCCAAGTTACAACACCCACTCATAGTCGCTCTTCTTCTTCAGCCGGAACAACCATCATCACAAAACGCCCACCGGAGACTTCCAGCACGTCCCGAAATACTGATATGGAGGCGTTGTGTTTTTCCGTTATTGCCGATTCCCGCGGCGAGGGAAGGAAGCGAGTGAGGGGAGAGGAGGGTGCGGCGACAATCTTCTGGAGGTGTGTGATGAGCGGCGGGCTGACCTGTCCAACGGTACCGATTTGCCCGTTGAGTCGTTGTTGCTCCCCTGCTTGCCTGCTCTTGCTCGACTTACCCCTTTGTCAGTCAGCCAGGTCTGTCACCGTTTTGTTCGTTAGGCCGCCCAGTGACAAGTCGAAGTTTGCCAGCCAGGGTTTGTTTATGCGGCGGTTGTCATGCGTCTTTGATGCTTCCTTTTTCCACATCATGCCCATGTGTGTCCTCAAATCGTTTTGCCAGCCGCAACGTGTGACTGTGACTCGTGGGTCGAGTGTGTGTCAAAGCATTTCTGTGACCTCAAAACCCAACAGCCCAGATCAAACCCCATAGCATCAGAGTACTATGGTCTTAACCACCTTACATTCTCTCCCCCCGGCCCCTTGTAGGGCCAGGTCAACAAGGATACGTGTGTCTCGCTCTGGTGGCATATGCATAAGGAATTTCAAAAAAAGTTTTTGTTCTTGTTGCACCATGGAATATTCTTGAGGAAATTTTTCTGAGGAGCTTCTTCATGTGTCTTGTCTGACATGAGTAGTTTCTCATATGCCCATACAATCTCTCACACACGAAACCTCCCATAGGCCCGAGGTCGTTTAGCCCCATGGCATGAAGAGTCTCGAAATAGGTGGGACACAGGACCAAACGACTGACTCGTCCCCCCCCCCGGGGGGGGGGGGGGTGTGGTGGGCGTGGTGGTAGTACTCTATGAGTGTGGTTACATCCCCCGTTTTTTTTCTCAGAGCCCAAAGTGCACGCCTAGGAAACGCGGACTCGGAACTGCCGCCCCACCATCTTTTGTGAGGATCTTGGGAGGGTGGATTTTTCAGTGGCAGGGGGAAAAAGAAAGGAAAGAGGGAAACGGGGATAGATGATATTTTTTTATTTGTTTGAACTAGGTGGTGGTGGTGGTGGTGATGTGTTTCGAGTAGCTAGCTAGTAATATCAAAAGCCTAGCTATATTGTATTAAAGGTATGTTAGAGCTACGTACGAGGTGATTATGATATTGGACGGGTAGCTGAACCGACGACAGCCTTATTTCGCTTTGTATTTTTTTATATGTAGGTACTGGGCATGTTTCTTTTGAGCAACGTGAGAGAGATGGATTTCGAACTCGTATATTCTAGTAGCAAAGGAATCCCGGCAGGACCCAGGCGTGGGATGGGCTGAAGAAGGCACCTAACTAGCAAAAATAGGTACTTTGTCTAAGCACAGTATTTTGTTGCCCTGTCAGGGATATATATCGGGGGTTAGGTACTTTCCAATTGAAGGTCCATATCAAGGGTCGTATTGGATACGAGTAAGGTAACTTAATAATAACATCCCAAATCACGGAGATAAGTACTCGAAAAGCAAACATCAAAAACCATTCGTCTTGTTCTGACAAAAAATAGGTATATGTAGTTAGATCGTCGAGTGACGAACAACACAAGAAAAAAAAGAGTGAGAGCCCATGCAGCCCAGCTACTTCAGAAGGGCTGCATCACTCGTACATATGCTGGGTAAGGGGCTGAATTGAAGGAGGAAACACCAGGCGGGAAAAGATGCTGGGAAAGGGAGCCGCATAAAGTGTCACGACCCACTAACACAGTAGTATCATTATTTCGACGATATTCGATAACTACCTAATTGGTACGTCAGGACCTTATTTGATGTACCTAGTAGACATATCCCCTGGGTGAGAGAGCCTAACTGCCTTTTCTTTTTCGTGACTTGTACCGACGGGAGCTACGTTATGTTGTGCGTATCTTCTTCCTTTTTTCTTTTCTTTCTATTAACCGTTCCAATTGTGAAAAGGGGACATGGAATTAACTAATGTAGGTACCTATGCGAGGATCCTTTCAGTTGCTGGTTGAAATATATACATATACATGGGACTTACCTCTAACTTTGGCTATGGGAGAATACATCCATGCTAAACTCATGTAGGAGGTAGAAAGGTACCCAGCTAGATAGTTTATGTAAATCGCACGGAAATAAAAGAACATTCTGTTCTCACCCTCAATTGCATCTTGGGGGAGTCCGGCCCCATCACGGCGGCTCGCACGGGCATCTCCAATTCCATCATACACACCCGTCCATCCCTCCATCACGGCTGATATTGCAAATCCGACGGATGCTAAGACTGGTATTTCCGCTCGTTGGATGGATGGAGAGAAGGAGGGTGGGGATGTTGTTTATTAATTGTGATTCGGAATTTTAATTCTTGAAATATATTCTTTGCTGCCCATTTCGAATTGAAGAAGATCCAGATGGTGTTGCATGCATAGCAGCTGTTGAACTAGCTCAGAGAAGCTACCACCCTTCAGAAAAAACAATTACAGAGAGATTTGCCCCCCCAGTGCCCCCAGCCTTGGGAGCTAGTCCTCAAGCGACCGCGCCAACGACCACACACGCCGCCGCCGGACTCTTCTCGGGGTCTCTCCACAGCGAGCGAGTGAGGTGAAGCGTCTGTAGGCAGTGGACTCTGGTAGGCAGAAGGCCGAGCAGGGGTGAGTGGGGAGTGGGAGTGGAAGACCGGGGGAAGGAGGGAGGTGCTCAAAGGCTAGTGGGTGACGACCAGCAGACACAGCAGGCCGGATTCAAAGCCGCCATACAGGGAGAATCAACGACCGCACAGCTCCCTTGTCGAGACACACGAGACTTTTGGGACGCTGGGTTGAGTCTCTATTCCTTTCTTGAGGGGGTTTAGTGAGTTCTATGGAAGTCTTGGTGGAGGTGGTCGAATGGATGGAGTTGAGTCTGTGCTGGGTTCGTGAGGTCCTTTGGCACTTTCTTGTCTTGCCCTGCTCATGGGGGGTGGAGGCCGCGACAAATAAAAGACCTTAGGACCGCACCGTTTCGTTCGAGTAGCTGTTCTATCGTTATTGAGTAATTTGTCTCTTAATTGTTTGGTCTTGCCTGCCTTCTTTTGCTCCTTCTTCTGGTTCCATCATCAAAAAAATCCCTGGTGTAGTTGTGTTTGATCTCATTGCACACTGCCCTCCTCTTACCCTCTCACTTGCACTCTCTTTCTACCCACCAAGGCTCCCAAGCAAGCAATTCAAGCAACGCAATAGGCGGCCTCGTGCACACCCACACCTCACAATCCACACACACACAGACACAGGTTCAGACACAGACATATTCCAGACACATTTATTTAGATAGAACGTCCTTCCTGCCCTGGCAACCTTTACTGTGCTTTGCCAGCCCTGATCTTGTTCTATCGCTGTAACTTGAATATCCTGTTGCTGCTCCCCCGTACTATATTTCTCTCCACATACTTCATAACGCGCATATCGCCGCTTCTCGCTACCTCTCTCTGCTATCCCATCGTTACCTTCGAAACCCGCCCACAGCAGCAGCAGCCAGAAAAAAATACCCGTTTACATACAATTATTTTTTTAACCCACACCGTTTGTCGTTCTCCCACACCTTAGCCCTTAGCCTTAGCAAAGCACCAGCAGCTTGTTTTATCGCAGCTCCCACCACCCACCACTACCGCTACCACACCCTGCGCTAGTTACCACAAGCACGACTGGGCAACCAACCCACCCTACGCCCATCTCCGTCATCTCTCCCTCCCACAAGAGAGTACATCCCGTACGCTCGACTGTTGCTGACACACTCAACCTAATCTGAAATAAATATTAATACCTACTGCCCTCACCCACCATTTCTTTCACCCATCCCACAGAAAATCCCACAACGCAACCCCATCCATACCTGAATTTCAATAAAATCCCTCAGCAACATACATCCTTCCAGAGCTTCGCCGCCAATCCAGAAGATCATCCAACTCAGTTCGCCTCATTATTTACAACGTTCCAATCCTGCTTCAACTATATATCATTGTGAGGATAGTCATCAGTATAAACTACTACTACTACTACTACTCAACTTAAACATATACTCGGTCCTTCATCCATCTTCCATCGGTCCATTGGATATTCGACAGGCACTCCGACATACAATAAAAAGTGAGATACTTAAACAGCATCTTTGCTCCCAAACACCCAACAGCTCATCACCGTGGCTTCAATCAAGAGAAGAAGATCATCCGACGATTCTTCGTCCACATCATCTAAATTCGCTTTCGCTCCATCAAAAATGTTCATCTCACTACCCAGTCGTTGCGAACCCTCAGCCAGACAGTCAATACGATCACCATTAACGCCTCCGTCGGTCACTCCTCCATCGGTCAGCGTAACGGGGTCGTCGACAATGCAGTGTGAGAGAGATCGTTGCAAGTCTCCAACAACAAAGGCTCATACATTACTCGCAAAGGTAGCGACAGTAGTAGGCACATCGCCTCAACCAACCCAGCCTCAGCCCACAGCTCCAAGGATGGCAGCCTCAATATCGAATTCGAGCTCAGCAAGCAACTCACCTTTGTCAACACCACCTAGTGAGGGAGGACACTTCCCATTCGGCATGATTTCAAAGGAGTTGCCAGAGAGTCCTGATGGTATGTGATGTCACTGGAGATTGTTTAGGTTATCTTGGAAGGTATTGGTCCTAACTGTTTACAGGTGGCTACATTAGTTTCCCAGTGTTTGAGGAGTGGGATTACAAGTCCGACGACGAGAGGGACGGCGGCTCACCCCCACCACATAAACGGTGACTCCATGTAATCGACCTTGAGGAGAATGCCGACGGACACTATTCCAACGGTGACAATTGGTTCCTCAAAGGCTTTTACAGCTTCGGACGTTCATTCCAACCGGCGACAAATCAGCTCCTGGCCGATCTCCGCTTGTAAACTGGACTTCGGATGAATTAAAACAAAAAAATCTCCAACAAAAAAAAAAAAAAAAAAACTGTTTTAAAAATACTGGGTGTCTATATTTTTCTTTTGGCGCGGGGTTATCTTTTTTTGTACTTGCCTAATCTTTGTTCTTAACCTCTTCTTTCGGAGCATACATATTCTTGTTTATTATTGTGGCGGCTACTTTTTTTTATTTTATATATCTTCTCTCTGCTTTCTCTATTCTGTCCAAAAGCAATGTCGTGGTTTCGAGGAGTGGGTAATGGGGTCTTCTGTTTACAAAAAAAGTCTTGTTTTATCCCTACACTCTTTGGGGCGGTATCATGATGGCCGGCAGCTTGAAAGCTCCGAAGTATCCAACTTCTTGTAACGATTTTTCTTCTCTTTTTGATTTTTATAACGAACCTTCATGGCCGGTGCTTTTTATTGTATGGACTGGGGGTTATTATTATTTTTCGGTCAGGCGCGTCATTTGGCATATCTACATTGTTCTCGGCGCCGGATTGACTGGGACTGGCGCGAATTATTTTTTCTTCATGGCTATATTTTCATCTCCATTATTTTTATTTGCTTTTCTTGTGTTCCTGGTGGGATGGGAGGAATCGGGATGTTGGGATTTGCAAGAGACGGGATGAGACGAATTGTACTTGCAGTCTCAACGGAGTGGAGTGACTACTACTACCTACTACGTACTGGTGGCAAAAAAGTTTTTTTCCCTTTCACAGGGGGGCCCTCTGCATACTGCGCGCACATAAAAAGAGAAATTCTTTGTTCCTTTCATCCTATTGATATTTTTAATAATTTTTTTCCTACATTGTCCTGTTTTTTTATTTCCTATTTCCATTTATTCGTCCCACCCGGGAAGTTTTATGATGTCTGGATGACTTAATAGTTCAGGGGACGAGGTCCGCCCTAAAGGCATAGTACAGCGGGAACTACTTACCCGAATTGTTACCGTAACTGAATTATACTACGACTGGAGTAGTCACTTAGATACTACTACTATCAGTACGGGGAAAAAGTACATAGCTTAGTTTAGTACCTACATAGTGTACTTCTATAAAATAGTTGGCATTTTAATAAACCCTTGACTTCACACTGCATCAACAGTTTCCTCTCACTCGCATTTCTTCGGAGTTGGACCCCCCTTGAAGTGAACTGTACTCGGATTAAGGGAGAAGGAGGAAAGGAAAGGTCCGGATATCCGACACTCACTGTCATTCTTTGGTTTTTTTCTCTTTGCAGGCAGCTTCATAATACATCACACCACTATTGATTGTTTAACTTACCACCGAAAACCGAAGCCGACACTTTTTTTTATTACTACCCTACCCTACCACACTCTCGTTTTTGTGTTGCAAGCAATTACATATTTCGGGGCAAGGAGGGCCAGTACTGGCACGTGTTAACGACATGGATGTTTTCAGTTTGTCGCAGCAGAGCTCTTAGTAGCTGGTGGACCAAGAGCGAGAGGAGGGATAACAGTTTCGTTGCTAGTGTGTGTGAGTCGAGTGAGAGATATGGCGTTTCGCGCAACCAGAGTGGTTGTTGTCGTCGAGAGAGAAACATCAAACTGGACTGGACCAAACTGGCCTGGGTGTGGCAATCTGCGTACATTGAAATTTACTCTTACAACGGTATTCCCATTTTTGCTCTATGCTATGCGCGCGCAGTCCGGTGGTGGTGGTGGCGGCTGTGTCGGCGTCGGTTGTCTCATGAGGATTCTAGTTCCTGCGCTGATAGATAAGGGAAAAAAGGCCTTTTTTTTTACTACATTACATGTATGTACTTGTTTACATCTACAACAATATGAAAAAACTTTTTTGCGACAACTTGCAACAATTTGCAACAGCGACAACCTCTTGTTGGGTGACGGGGAGATTGTTTGCAGCGGCAGCGGTAGATTTTCCCAGGTGCCAGAATCCGGGATTCACTTTATTTTTTCCCCTCTGGCTGTAAATAGCGAGTGCTGCTTTGAGATGGAGGGCTGATCGTTTTGTGCCGAACCCATTAGGGGGTGTGGGCAGACTGGATATTTCTCGTATCAACCTTGATAGCTATGTGGGTATGGTATGGTGGTAGGTACAGTAAGTACCAGATAGCTCCAGTAGCACACTGGCCTGTTTGCACCTTCAGCAGCGGTTACACGGCTCAATTCCAGTGATTGTGTTGGCCTGCTTCCGCGGCGGTGGGCGCCGTCAAAATGGAATGGTGGAGGTAGGTCGGAGAGAAGGTACTGCAGGTACATTGAAGGTACAGAGTATTTGGAGATATCTCGTTGGCCAGGGTGGAGTGAACACTTAGGGGAGCCCGGAGGAAAGCTACATACAAAGCAACTAACTAAACCTAACCCTCAAGGTTCCGGGTGAGAGCATGTGGGCTGAACGGTGTGTGGTTACTCACCTACAATACCTGTCTGTACCTACGGTAGAGTACCTTGCACATCTACATATCTTACTAAGTACGGTACGTACGCTGGTCGTGCATTTTCAGGAGAGAGATTGTCGTGATGTCGTTGGGAACTACCTTGTTCCTGGTGGCTATCTCTTCTCCTTCATGCTCATGCTGTTTCTAGATTTCTACATCATATCACAGTACATACGTAGAGTACAGCGAGAAAAGAGGGTTAGGAAAAAGGTAGATCCGGCAGAACGAACATGTTACTCTATGTAGAGTACCTGCTCTAGGTACATGTAAACTACCTTGCTATATATACAGCTTACAGGCCCGCCCCCTTCCCTCACCCCAGAACACCCTTCCCAGAGATTTTCGTGGTGCAGGGGAAGGGCACGACCGTTGCGAGGGTGGGACGGTGATCTTCCTGGCCTGTCGTAAGGCCCAGAACCGAAGGCTGGTTATCATGTCAAATAAGATAAAACGAGAAAAAAATGTGGTGTTCACTGCTTGAGTCAATCTGTCTGTTTCGCTTCCATGCAAGCGTATCTGTGGACGTCAATCAAATCCTAACATACAGACAAGATAGTAGATAGAGTGCCATGCGTATGCCATGTACTCTACTCGACAGCAACAAAAGATATCGGCCGTGCTTTCCCTCCTATCCACTCATTCATTCTCTCACCCTCCATCCCACTCATACTCGCTCACTCACCTCACCCTCCTAGGCATAATAATAACACTCTACTTACAGAACTACCTACTTACTTAGTTCGCCCACCAGGAATTCCGTCTAATCCATCCGCTTGCTCTCCCACCTCCCCTTCCTTTCCACCTCCCTGCGACGGACGAATGAACGGGCACTTAGAGCGAGAGAAACCGAAACCCCGCTTCAGACCAGGTATATTGGGATCTTTGCGGCACGAATATGGAGTAACGTGCCCGTGGTGGACACATACCCTACACCTGAGGATGTATATATCCGGTGTCACTGATAAACCTCAATTATTTCCTCTCCCTCCTCCCCCGCATCTGCCACCATTCACCCCTCCCTCCACCTTTTTTTTTTTAGAAGAAAATCATCCTAATTAAACCACTCTTGAGAGTTTGAGACCCCTACCTGCCTTGGAGTTTCAACCCTCTCACTCGTTTTTTGCTAAAAACCACTCCCGTGAAGGGTATCTTCCATCCGAGGTGGATGGAGAAGAAGGATTAGGTATGCTAGGTAGTTCTAGGTCACGAACATGTGCGAGCGAGTATCCCCGGACGGAGAGAAACTAAATACCCGCAGTAAGAGGCGCATTCTTGGCCTTGGCCGGTACGTAACTTCGGTGTTGGTTTTTCACTTCTCGTTTCTTCCATTATCTTTCACGGCCATTCCAAGTCTAAGCTTGAGGCAATTATAATCTTTCTGGCTTTGCTATGTATTGTATACAATATGCATGTACCACCGCTACACACATTTACATGTTTGGTTTATTAAATTGACACACCGAGGTAATGACTTCTTTACTTGTATGTACTTCTCCGTCCGTACCTGCCCGGAATCTCATCCGGTGTAGAGGTGGCAGCATACAAAAAAGATACTTACGAAACCTTCAAAAAGGTCTTGGCCGGGGTAAATCCACACCACCCACCACTATCAATATATCTACGCCCAATGGCTATTCATCCAATACCCTTGGATATTCCAACCAACCAATATGGCTCCCTCCGGCCCAACGAAGCAGAAAATAATTATTCTGGCGCCACGCCATCATCACTTTCCTCTCACTATCGCTCTCCACATATCACTTTTTGCTCCCTCCGGGGGCTTTAGGTAGGTGGTAGGTAGAGAGTGGCCTTTACCGTACCCACATCCTTGGGTTTCCCATGAAGCTAGAACGAGGATCTGTCCGGAAGAAGGAAGCTGCATGTCTAGCAGCCTTCTTGTCCTCGCTTCTGGGTATCTAAAATCACGTTTGTGAATGCTCATTCGATAGACGAGAATTGGCGAAAAGCAGAGGAATATCCTGAGTCTTGGTGTCGCCTCAGTTGTTGGCAGTTATCTCCTTCCCCGGAATCTTTAAAAAAATGTGGAGCCCGCCAGATCAATAGCGCCTCTCGTGGGGGTTTGATAGCTCTGCGAGGATAAACGTTTACGGGTCGCCTTACCATGGAAGATCTGCAGAAGTTCCGAGAGAGGCAATATCAATTTTTTTAGACCCCCCTCCACCTTGGCTTTGGGCATTGGCTGTCAGGCGATCCAATCTAGTAGGCGAACCGGCCGGCAAAACAACAAATCAGCAAACGTGTACTAACATGTATCCATGAAACAAACCCTTCCACCACCATAACCTCTAACCCATAACTAACCCCTTCATGTAGAGAACTATAAATTTTTCACCACGGGCCAGGGAAGATACGGTTATGCCCCTGACCTCACCTGGCCTGATCTGTCTCTCCTGTATGTAGGATGGTTGTACATGACTGATATCATAATATCTAATTCTTGGGTTTAACGTCACGTCATCAGAAAAATACTTTACTCAGACCGCCCAACCTAGAACATTTCCTTCTGTTTCACCTTCCGGTAGATTTCTTTCACCATTCTCTCTTTTAGGGAATCTCTCTTTTGGAAGAGTGAGAGGGTTTCCAAAAAAAGCAATAATTCCGGGAATGGCCAATATAAAACGTTGTTTTATCTCATAGGCTGTCTGCCTGCCATATGTGCAAGTAGGAACGGCATTTCCGCCGGACAAGTCGTGCTTCTTGCATCAAATGTCACTTGGATTGGTTCGTCTGTTTATTATCCCGTCCCTACCTACTTTTAGTCCTGGGCCTGGTCTACCTGCTCGTACCTTTGCTTTATGCAAGGCCGCGTTCTCAGATGGTTAAAAGTGAGATGAGATAGAGAGAAAGAGGGCAGAAAACGGAAAATGTCAATCATCCGAAACCGTCCCCCTACCTGTGCATGTCTGCAGGTGTATGTAGAGATACTCGATTTTTTCATAAGCTGGTTAAAGGCACGACGGAGAGATTCGGGAGATTGTTGGGATAACCAGGGGGTGACAGCAGGAAAGGACAGATGGGACGAAAACCAGGGATTGGCAATCTCGCGCGTCTTTAAAGTATTTCGGACCGGACTGCTCTCCCCCCCATCCTCGGCCGTCAAACAGGGTGCCAAGTCGGATTGTCCCGAAAACAAATAGTAAGGGAGGCTAGGGAGGGTGCCGCAGAGCCTCATGGAGCTCGGGCGCGGGGCAAGGAGAAAAAAAAGGTGGGGATCGGTGGGATCGACTGATTGCTAGGCTAGTCAAGCTCTTTTATTTTTCTTGCTTAGAATCTTTACTGTTCCTGGAAAAGCTGTCCTACAATCAAAGGAAAAGGAAACAAAAAAAAGGCAACCACAGATCATTGACATCGAAAATTGTTTTTGTTTTCTCTCCCCTCAACAGAGAGCAGCGTGATTCAGCTACTAGGAATTAATTTCCACGAACGTGGGCAGTTGAAGGCAGCTAGCGGGAGGAAGATAGGCTGAATTTTATCGCGGCAAGAGGGGAAAATACAAGCTACATTGGGCGCAGCTGAGTGCTGATCTTGAAGAAACCGAGTTGTGGGAAATGCCGTGTTGGCTCACTGTCGTGGAACCTTGACGCAGAAAAAAAAGTTGAAATGTGAGGAGACGTAAGTCGTCGCGGTGGTTTTTATCACGGCATCTAAGCTTAAGCATTGTAATCACAGCCGTGTGTAGTAACCCTGGCCCTGGTCCGTCGAACTCTGCGATGGTTATGGTTCATCCAAGGATTGCGAATCTATAGATAAGACCACCGACCTTGCCTACCCGCATGCAGAAATATGTAATATACATATAGTAGAGATGCACTTGGGTCACAGATGAGAACTTTGTCTTGATCTGTACCTGAATTGATTCGACAATTTAATATTGCTGACTTGATGAGTGTGGCCAGTAGATCGAGCATCGCCATCAAGCTTGCATAGACCTTATTTTTTTGCTACCAACTAAGGTATGCAGGAGCTCCGTGGTCTAAACAACGTACGACAACTCTCTGATGGCGATTTTCTTTCCTTTTACTTTTCCTTCCCTCGCTAGAGCTGGATATATGAAGCTCAATTGGTGCAAATTTCGACAATTGGGTCGATCATCGTGGGCCGCCTATCGAGCTCGAGCGCTCAGAGCGCTAGTTATGTTTCGATTTACTTGCCGTACAACCGTAGTACAGAAGAGGGGTTCGTATAGGCAAGAGAAACCTCTTTCTGAAATCTTTCGTAAAGGATGTCATAAGTTAATAAAATATGGCACACAATGATAATGCATCGAATGCTATGGGTCTAAATATAAGCAAGTATTAGCAAAGAGATTGGGGCATCGTGACTTTCGCACTAGGTAGTACGAGTAGTAGAGTAGAATGAATGTACCCGGATCAAGAGACAATTATACATACATAGTGGTTGAGTGCAACCATGGACGATTTTGTTTGCGGGCCTAACCTTCTCATTAGTTGGCGTATTAAGGTTTCGGAAAGGGGCTTGAAACTTAAGAGTTACTAGTGAGTGTAAGCTTTTCTTCGTGTTAAAAAAGAGCCGTGATCCTCGTAAACTATCTGCATACCGCATAAGTGTGAACCCCGCTCTGCGAGGTATGGGGAAGACTCGTGACAATAATTCACTAAGGTGAGCCGAGAAGTAAGTATGTAAGACGAAAACGCTTCACCAGTCTGAGGATACACAACAGAGATCAATTCTCCGCATTTTGAGTACCAATCCAGCCCTACCAAATCTAGGAAAGTGACAGATTCCTGTCGTTAATGCAACATTAACCGTGCTAGTAGAGAAAATTCCCCGTAACACATAGATATATGCAGAATGGGCGGCGGTTCGCCATCGAGTGCAGCCCAACTGTAAATAAATAACTACATTATTATCATCTATTTCTACCATGGCATTTATTTTAGCAAGATCATCACTCCAGGCCTTATAGCCAAGTACAAACAAGTCACAAGGACGTATTTATGTAAAAATGAAGGAAAAAATAAAATAAAAAAATAAAATAAAGTCTGGAGTAGGTATGATGCATAGTCGATCAAGTAGTCAATACCTTCCCATCTCGAAAAATTAAACCGGGACTTTTAAAATGTGAGAAAAACACTAAAGCAGATGCTTCGCGGTGGTTTTGGTTGATTCCTTCGCTTATTGCCGGCTTGGGAAGATTCGATATTTATGCAAGTTTCTTGGAAACTTATTAAAGTTGAATTTATCGTCAATCTCGGAAACTCCGAATGCATAAAAATAATCTAACGTGCATCATACTGCAGCTGCCAAGATATTACTCTCAACGTCTTGTTGTCTCAGAATAAATTCCGAGACCAACGTCAGTCTTGATAAGAGATTTTCGAAATCTCACGATAGACATAACATCTATTCTGACACTGCCATTACCATCACATCATTCTCTGGAAGTGAAAATCCATGGCACTCAAGTCTCGCAGTGTATATCTTAAAGTTACAACATCAATTGGCTTGAATGTGAATACCAGAGCCCAATAAAAGGAAAGGGGTTGTATTCGACACATTGAAGCCAATAAGCATTGCGAATAGGCCAGGCTCCGGCTTGATGACACCAGCCGTTTGCGGGGGTTAGTGGTTTGCCCTGTTCTCGTGACAGAGAGATTGGCTGAATGGCTTATGTAGTCCTAAGGGATTGATCTAGAAGGAGGCTGGTGAAGTTATAATCTGGACTACATGTAGCCACCTGTCGTAATCCCTACATGTAGTCTAGCCACCTCTTTCTTTTTCCTAGTGCCTTCTCAAGCCAGAGCAGCAACACAATTATGTGAAGTAGATGATGGAAGATATCATATCACTGGCAGTTTCTTTTGAGTGGATACGAGAATGTCCACGAGGCAATGTATGTACTGCCTCCAGCCTTTTGCCTGGAAACAGACTAAAGCACATCGAGGCAGGATGGCGTATTGAATTTCTGCTTTGCGAGTTAGAATAGGAAGGCAAAAACATTGAGAAAATCTTTCTCGCTGTAACATGGGTAGCTAGCCAAAATAGGCCTTTTTTTTCTCTTCGCTCAGGACAGTACTTATCATTTTTTGATGCAGTGGAACAGGTTTTTCAGACAACGCGAACTCATGAGGGGTTTGGCTGCAGTTATATCTAGTTACAACAAAGCTTTGTAGTACTAGACACATCATATGTAGTTTAAGGTATGTAGGTTTGGTGATTATAGCATTATGTATCTAGCACTGCAGGTTGGTTGTGTTGCTGCTTCATCAAACCTACTTCCTAGCTACATGTATGTAGTCCGGCCGATGTCTCCCCATCAGGGTCCTGATGACATCATTAATTATTCTTATTATCTAATCCAACTGCTATGTATTAGCACACAAGAGCTCTGTAGAGCTTTCAAATCGTCTCCCGTTTCTGCGTTGAGAGACTCTGCATCCCGAAAAACTCAAAGGGAACGAGCGCTCCTTACTTGGGAAGGTCAACATAACGACACCTCGAGAAACTCAGCTCCTCTTAAGGTTTGAATCTTAGGCCGTACAAATCTCAAGTGAGGGTTACAAAATTAAGGTTGGTAGTGCCCTCCGTCTTGGGATTGTTACAACATGCCAAAGCGGCACTGTGAAGCAAGGGTGAGGTAAATATCTATCCATCAAGAAACTCAACTTTTATAAAATTGAAATCAGTACCTATAAGTGTAAAATTTTTGTCAAACTACATGATGCTCTAATACTTCAGGGAAATTCAAAATTCAAGGTCTAAAGGAGTCGTGGTTCGCTTATCTAAGCTGTATTGATTAGGGTCCAGGCCCTATGCCAGTCCCATCACACACTAGCTCAAAGTGCCAAGACCTACCGCAGCCCACAATCGTTGCCGCACAACTCAATTAACCAAATTGCAGCCCAGCAAACAGCAACACCCGCACGACAACCTCCATCACAGCCAACGCCGCCCTGACTTCTGCCTGCACGAAGTCTTTATAATCTACGAAACGAGAGGTAAGACAATCTCTTATCTCCCGCGAAATCTTGAGTTTGGAGCGATTTTTTGCCCCACTATGGTTGGGGGGTATCGATGAAAATTCGATATCGGGAAATATCAAATTTGGATATGAGAATGGAGATTGAGTCTATACTTTGCATGGGATAGGCTGACGGCGAGGAATGATGTAGGAACGACTATAAAACATGGCTGTTGGAAAGAACAAGAGGCTTTCGAAGGGAAAGAAGGGTCTTAAGAAGAAGGCCCAAGACCCCTTTACCCGTAAGGACTGGTACAGTGTCAAGGTGAGCTTTATTTCATAGCTCGAATCTGGCATGGCATTTTCAATTCTGACCCTTCTTTCTACTTCAGGCACCTTCAACTTTCCAGATCAGAGAGTGAGACTTCCATCTCCTTACAGCACGTGAATCCCCGGGAATATGTACAGAGGAATGGAGATATGCATGGGTGTTGGATTAGGGCTGACAAGGGCCTCCGGGAAACAGTGTTGGAAAGACCCTCGTCAACCGTACCACCGGTTTGAAGAACGCCAACGATGCCCTTAAGGGACGTATCTTCGAGGTTTCCCTCGCTGATCTCCAGAAGGACGAGGATCACGCGTTCCGCAAGGTCAAGTTGAGGGTTGATGAGGTTCAGGGCAAGAACTGCCTTACCAACTTCCACGGGCTCGACTTCACCTCCGACAAGCTCCGTTCCCTTGTCCGCAAGTGGCAAACTTTGATCGAGGCCAACATCACCGTTAAGACCACCGATGACTACCTCCTCCGCCTGTTCGCCATTGCCTTCACCAAGAGGCGACCAAACCAGATCAAGAAGACTACCTACGCCCAGTCTTCCCAGATCCGTGCCATCCGCAAGAAGATGGTTGAGATCATCCAGCGCGAGGCCGCTAGCTGCACTTTGTCGCAGCTGACCGCCAAGCTCATCCCTGAGGTTATCGGACGTGAGATTGAGAAGGCTACCACCGGAATCTACCCTCTACAGAACGTTTGTACCCATCTCTCCATCGATTTTGCCCTATCGGCTGCCTGCAGCCGATGGAAATGATAGTATTGCATAAATATGCGTCTGTGCGTATATGTACTGACGATCTCCCGCAGGTCCACATCCGCAAGGTCAAGCTCCTCAAGTCCCCCAAATTCGATCTCGGTGCTCTTTTGTCTCTGCACGGAGAGTCGACATCGGATGAGTCTGGCCAGAAGGTTGAGCGTGAGTTCAAGGAGACCGTTTTGAAGGAAGTGTAAATGGAGAAAAAAATTTATATACTGAAACGGATTTCGGGGTGTTTTTTTTTTCCTTCCTTCCTCTTTGTTACTGAATAAAAAAAGTTTGGGTTCATCTCTAAGATAAGGAGTAATACTCAATAAATCAGCAAAGTTCTCCGTGGGCAACAAGACAACAAACAATAGAATCAGGTTGAAAATGTGTAACTACGAACACGACGCTGACTTATTTTTTCGACGAGCCTTGTTCTTGGTGGTTATGTGGTATCCGTTATTTTTCATTTTTATCGTCTGATTTCTTTTCTTTTTCATTTCCTATTTGTTTTCCAACTTTTTTCTTTCTGTTTCGATCCAAGGGAAGGATGCTCTAGTTGCGGGTATGCATGGCCTAAATACAGTTTCTTCGTTTCCAGAGCGGACCCGAGAGTAATGCCATTTCTGTGGTGTAGTCCGTGTTTCTGAATATCACATTAGCTGTGGTAGAGAGTGGCTGTGAGCGCGGTGAGAGCTGGTGATCACGATTCTCAGTGTGTGCACTGAGGTGCGGTCGCGTGAACCGTCACTGGCCGAAGGGTGTCGAGTCATGTGGTTGATGTCCGCGAAGCCTTCTGTCGCGCGCGCGTGTGTGTGCGGTGGTAGGTAATGTATGTGTTGTCTTGACTAGACTTGAAATCTGCGTCGACGATCCCTTGGCTGTTGAGTCGTTTATTTGGCTGCCGCAACTCGCTTACGGCAATTCTCGATTTGACGTAGCTATTGGTCTGTTGGAGGTTTCTAGTTTCTGTTTCTCGTGAAACGGTTGGGAGGGCAGTTGTTCACTTGTGCAGTGTTGCTCAACAATGCTCAGCGCCCTCTCTTCTACTCACGCAACAAGCGAAAAGAAACTATTGGCCATTTAAAGCTAAAGGATTTTTACTGGCGGCACCGGAAATTTTGGAGTATCTTTTGTTGAGTGATATATTTGGGTGGAGGTGTTTGGAGGCTGTGTGAATTCTGTATGTAGCCTAATCCTTGTCCCGCTTCAAACCGTAACAATGAAATTAGTATCATCCCCTAACCCTAGTCTCGAGTCGGAGTTCGTGAGGTTTCTTTGGTGGTAGTCGGCTTCGGGTGTTTAAGCAGTGTACATTGCAACTCACCTTAATGTTTCGGGGCGTTGCTAGCTTTGGTGCCTGCTTTTATTTATTAGATTCACTTTGTTTGTCATTTATTTGTCATCAATGTTTAGCTAAAATATCATTCATCCGGGATTGCAATTGTCTCTCATGAGAAAGACAAAGTTGCTTGTTTTATCTTGCGTGTAAAAGAAAAGCTGTACCCAAGGCTTATCGAATTACATCACGATGTATCACTTGATCAAATTTTTATAGTTGTGTAGCTACATGTATTCATGCAAAACGAATGCTGTCATTGGACAAGCAAGGACAGCAGCACTGGCCACCGGCCTTAACCACCCCATGAGCAACGTCGTCTTCTCTACCTCTAAGACTCTGACAAGCTACTGACGTCGTCGCTCACTATTGTTTGAGCCTCTTCCTTATCATCCTCTCGCCGTGAAATTACTGTGCACATTACTATTGCCCTTAAGTTCCCGTCTTCTAGAAAACCTGCATTTTGTAGAAGGGTCCCTACATCCACCATACCTGGCCACCCCCCAAGCATCTACCCCAAATATCTCCCCACCACAGACAGACACAGACAGGCACACAAACGCAAGCATAGATCGCACACCACACCACTAACATACATCCTACATCATACATCGACACACATACTACAATAGCCTTACATAGAAATTCCTCAGTGATCACCACATCATGTCTTCAGACGCTCCAACCATCAAGCTGTACGTTTAAAACCTACCCCTCTCGGATCGGAACAATATTTCAGCTTTCTCGGCTTTTTCTTTCTTTATCTATCACCCATTGCTTCTTCCCACGCTGACCGTCACAGATTGCTTATAGGTCCGAGCAACTCGGGAAAGACGGCGCTGTTGCTCCGATATGTCGACGATATATTCGATACCGACACTGCAACAGCCACGATAGGCGTTGATTTTAAGGTTTGTTTTTCCCACCTTCGCCTCTCAGCTTGCTGCAGGGATTCATACGCAACCGATCAGCTCCGATATCACTCCCGCAGATCGGTGGGAAAACAAAATATTGAGAAGAAATTGCTGGGAAATATATTCAAGGGAAAATGGTCACATATGATGTTAAGATCTTGTCTGACGAAGCTCGGATGTAGGTCAAGAGGGTTTCGGTCAAGGGAAAACCACATAGATTGCTTCTATTCGACACTGCAGGTCAAGGTGACTATCCATCACCCTTCCGGTCCCTTACTTCAAATCATCTGGAGTTTCAACTATTCGGCGGTCTGTGGTACCAAAATATTGATGGGTGAGATTTCTAGAGCGTTTCCGTACCTTGACAAGTTCCTATTACCGCAATGCGCAAGGCGTAATATTGGTATATGATGTGTCCAATCGGGAGAGCTTCCTGTCGATGGATCATTGGTTTGGAGAGGCAGAGACATATGCTTCGCCAGGCGTCATAAAATGCTTGGTATGTGCTCTATTGATGGACCGGGGGCGGAGATATCAACAGCTCAAAAATGAGGGTATTCTGGAATAAAAATGCTGACATTACCATTTTCCAGGTCGGGTCTAAAATTGACCGAACAGGCTCGAGAGCTGTCAGGCGCGAGGAAGGCGAAGCCTTAGCCAAAAAGTATGGTGCAACTTTCTATGAGTCGTCATCAAAGACACGCGAGAACATTCGGGAGCCATTCATCACTACGGTTGATAGGATTGTCGAGACACCACATTTGATGGACCCGGCGCTTATGGGCAAGAAGGACGGGACTGTTGCTTTGGGACATAATAGAAATGAGCCAGAGGTTGTTGATACCGGTTGTGCTTGTTAAATTCTCCAAGAATGGAGATTATGGAGTTGCTTAGTTGTCATATACCTTCCTTTCGATTATTTCTTTCTTCCTCTCTTTCAGGTCTGCAGGTGCTTGGGTGTTTAGGCTGGTAAACAAGGGTCATACTCATTGGTATTCATTCGGTCTTTTCTTTTCTACTTTTTCGTACATCTACGATTTCCTTTTTTTGTTTATCTCGGTATATGGAAATTTCCTACGCGGGTGATAGATCATGAAGCGATATATTTACGGGCTGTAATTAATAGTTATACCTCTTAGAAGTTTCTATGATATACAGATATATGAATAACGAAATATGTTTTAAATTTACTCATTTTACTCATTTTATAGTGACTTCTATTGGCAATGATTAAATTATCTGTTCTTAAAAAACCTTCTACAAATAGTTCATTCCGAGTTCTGCAGGAATTCAACAACGGCTGTATCAATGATCAGTAAGTAAACCCTATAAAGAATGCTCACAAAGAGAAAGGATACCTTCTTTAAACTCGATTGGCTTCTCTGAAATAACCCAATGTCCGGCATCTATATCTTTCAATCTAAATAGTGGAAAGAATCTGCCAATGGTTGGGATATGCTCATCGGGGACATAGTGACTCTTGGTACCCCTGACAAAGAGGGCCCGTCCCTCAAACCGATCCTTCTCGAGCGTAAATGGGAAATCTCCAATCTCGTCCAACGCACTACCGAGAATCTTGATCGGTACCCTGAACTTGAGATAGGGAGAGCCCTCCTCGCGTGTCAAGTTCGTTAGTAGGAACTGCCGAATCCCAAGGTTTGGCTCGTACTCGGAGAGAATCTTGTCGGCCTCGGATTGCTTCTTGAGCTGCAATTCCTCAATCTGACGCATGGCGCGGATGTACGTGCCAAACGAGGAGTGTAGGATTGAGGAGACGGGGGCGTTGTCAACGATTACGAGGTCACGCACGAGGGAGGGACTACGGAGGGAGACTGCCATGGCCGCTTTGGCGCCCCTGAACGGCTTTTAGCTTGGGTAGGGAGGAAGTTAAGAGGGAGGATTTTACGGACATGGAATGGCCGAGAAGGGTGGTTTCTGGGCCGAGTTTCTTATCGACGAGGAAGTGCTCAACATCTTCAGCCATCGCTACGTAATCGTGGCGTTTGTGGTGGGGGCTATCACCATGGTTTCGGAGGTCCTGATTTTGGGTTGTCAGTTGAGAGGTCCTGTGATGTGTAGTGATAATCCATGAAGCAAATTAAAAGAAACATACAACTGCATAAACAGGCCTGTTCAAATCCCGTGCAAGCGCTCTAATGATTATCAACGTCTAAATTAGCATTTTAATATATAAATAAAAAGATTTTGGAGAAGCCAATAATCTTTATTCCTGATTTGGAACATGTTGGGGTCTTTAAGGTCCGTTTTTCGGCTGTTATTTGGAAGGATTTCGGGTTCTTACTTACTGATCGTGCGGTTATTCTGCTTCGACCCGAATAGACCGTGCATCACCACAACTGGCGCATCATTCTTTGGGGCTGTCGAGTCGGTAGGTTCATAAAGATGATATGCGAGTGGAACTACTTCCTTGACCGAGGAAAAATTCCGCTGAGAAAGTGCGCGGATATGGCTTGCACCCGAGCGAGCGCATCGTGAAAACAAAGCGGTTACAGCCATCTTTCTCGTCCAAGAATATGAAACTTGGGGAGAGTATGAGTACCGAATAACTGTTAAGATTTTTTTTTTTGATAGGGCCGTCGCGGCTCAGCAGGGGCAGCCACTTGCCGCCCCTAGCCCCACTAAGACCCTGCGACTACATCAAGGCGTATTTCTGATCATTCGCAGGGGTACGACTTAAAGCAGCCCCCTTCCGTCCAACCCTCCAAACCCCCCATACCCGTCGCCGCCGCCCTCTCCCGAGCACCAAAGTCTCACTCGTTATCTGTGATCACCTTGCCTTACCTTACCCCCCCCCCCCCCCCCGGCCCCCTAAACACACGAACGCCATGGTTATCAACCCCACACACCTCGCCCAGACAACCCGCGCGTGTTGGTACCCGTTCCGCTTTATCCCTACGAAGAACCAGTTTGCTAATCTCGGTGGTGGTGCGTGTATAGCTGTTAACTGGCAGGATGCGTCGAGGCGGGCCATTCTCTCGTACAGAGCATGGCAGCGATCTGTAGGTCTCCCTCATGATGCCATTTTTTTCCTTCCGCCCAGGTCGAGATTCATGGAAGCTGGTGCTGATTTTTGGTGGGGTGATAAGGCGCCGGAAATCGTAAAGACATATGCTCTCAATGTCCCACTTTCTGCCGTGCGCGCGAAGATCAGACAGGAGTTTGAGCGTCACAGATATGTGCAGCAGCTGCCGGTTGCGGACATGCTGATTACAAAGAGCAATATGGAGTACCAGGAGACGCTGAACTACTGGAAACAGATCCCCCACATCATGAAGTGAGTTCAATTTCCTTGCGGGGAACCGGGAAGGGGGGAATTGTGTAGGAGTATGATCACTGATTGAATTGGCGGTATAGGTACTTTAGAGTGGAGGAAGACCCCAAAGCCAGGGTCTCATCGAACTTTATGAACAACTTCTTGGAGGTACGGGAATCTGAATCATTAACTCTAAATTTATCAATCATGACGCGCACTAACATCTATCTTTTCTTTTTAAAGGGCCGCAACTAGAACTTGTATGCACAGTTGAAGTACCTTGTCCATATCTTGCTTCTAATGTCATTTCAATTTTCCAATTCCTGCGAGTAAATATCCTACTAAAGATCAAAGAGAAGAACAACCTCCCAAACAAGAAAATAAAAGAACCAGTCCTATATACGCCAATTTATCGTGGAAAAAGATAAGGAAAGAAACGACTTTTGGTACAACCCTTGGTCAAGTGATAGTATTCTTATTTATCCTCGTGCTTCCCGTGGGCGTCTTTTGCGGCTGTAAAGGCTTCGGTGACATGATCGCAGAGATCAGAGAGGTCATCAAAGCCCTTCAGCAGAACATCGTAAGGCTTTGTGGTTTCCCAGTATTCAGCTGCAGTTCCAATTAGTTAGATTAAGAGTAAGAACGGCATTGAGTATTAAGGCGATCGGCGACAGTAGTACGTACGATAGATCTGTATCCGGATATTCATCTTTTCCTCGGAAGGATGCGGTATCGAGTACCCGCAGAACTCGACTTCGGGGCTACTCTCTGAGTCAGTACCCAGTCAAAAGCACTTGTAAAAAAAATCACATACTTTTTCATGATAATGTATCGTAAGGCGTTGCCAAGGGTATGGTCCTCGCCCTTAATCTCGAATGACGCCGAGCCTTCCTCCGCTCCGGGGAGCTATTCTGCAGTGTTAGCAGACATAGCCCCCAAGGTGAAATCTCGACAGCACAAGGCACTTACGGTTGTGATTCGCAGATCATTGAACATCGATTCCTCCTCGACAAGTGGCTCGTCATTGTCGATTTCACTCAGATCTTCCATCGGTGTGTCCTCTGCAGGTGCAGATTGCGGGTACTCTGATTGGGAAGCCATTGTGCTTGCGTTGTTTTGTGGAGTGATTTTTCCGTTGTACGAGTTGCCTGCGAGTTCTGTGGATCTCTAAAATTTCGAGGTGAAACAAGCATGGGACGGGTAATCGTGCATGACAGTTACCCTTCCAGAAAATCCTGGCTGGCAGATATCCTACACAAACCCTAACCCATGAAATGTTCTGCAACCTCGTCGCCAATTTTGTCAAATCCGGGGTCGGTGAAGAAGGCCTCATTTTCTGATCGATTCGAAGAAGCACTTTGGAGTACGAAAAGGAACGATTTGGAGGAATTTCCCCGCAGTACAAGTCATATCATAGCTACGTAGGAGGCTTTGTTAAAGCTACCTATGATTTCAACTGCTCACATGTAATAAGCAAAATGTTACACGCAAACTCCGAAATGGAATACGGGTGTAACCTTGACAACCACCACTGTGACAACCTTTAAGCGTGCTGACTTGGTCATGGAATCAGGGAATGATATCGAATGCATGTTTCATTTTTTGTTTCTGTTGTTACCTACATGTATTTATCTATTCTATTGCCACGCGAAGGGGCTTCTATCTGCTAGCGTATCTCCTCTCACCAATACGTTAGGGATGTGCCGAGTGAAGTTGAGGGTTGACGCGCTCGTCGGCGGCGGCGACTCAACGCTAAGGTTTTTTTTTTATTTTTTTCCCCCTCGCCCTCTCTTGTCGATGGAATTTTTTTGTGTTTCCAGTGGGGGACGATTAATAATGGTCGATACGGTCTTCGCGCCGCCCGACAATCCCCGCTGGAAAAAGCCCTGGGCGGGGAATTCGGCTGCATTGGCTCGCCGGTGATCGACGGTTAAGAGCATGTTTATGGCTAGCTGGAAGCGAGATCCCTTGACTTTAAGGGGTAGGTAAAGGAGTTGGGGTTATCGATAAGGTTGGGCCCGATACCGAGGCTTTGAGCCTCATGTCTATCTTGCCTAGAAAGTGAAACGGCAGCACCGGACCCGGGGTAGGGGGGTTCTGCAGCCAATGGTGGTACGTTTATTCTGGGCAACGTGGTCAAGATTTGCTTGATTTAAGCATTTGTGGGAGGTGAGTGAATCGATGGCCAGCACATCAAAGGTGTCGAGATTCCGATATAGTGGTTCGCATAACCTTTCACCCGGGGAGAAAGAGTAAATCCCCGTTTTTGGTAACACTGGTGCCACTGGGGGGGGGGGGGGACTTCTTTTGTGATACACTGGGATCATCAGCACTCAATGTCGGGGAAAGCTGCACTGTCATAGAAGGTGTGTGTGCGTGTGCTTTTAGCATAACTAGAAATCCACTTATGAAATCATCATGAATTGAATTAAAAGGTGAGGTGCTGATAAAGTATCGTTTATCTGATTGATGGAACTCTCCATCGTCCATGGGCGTATGGATCTGTAATGATGTAGGGAGTTGAAGGCATGTGTGTAGTGGATGTTCGGGAAGGAAGCCTTAGCGTTGAAACCACATGGCCTTCCAGAAAGTCCAAAAACACGCCACCATCTGACATCCATCGTGAAATCCGGCATGTCTCCTGCGTGCGTTGAAGTGAATGCCTACCGTAGTAGATCCACGACTCTGGTGCCCACCCTACTTTTTGTGCAAAAACAGAAACAGCCTCCCGCCCAAGAAAGTACTCCCCCACACCCCTTTCGGCAGCTTAGACTATTGTGGTCTTCCCGGGGATGCAACATCACATCCATTCTTCGTGATACAAATCGAAGGTCCCAGACCAGGACCAGGGAAAGACCAAGGAGTAGGTACATTGTTAACAGTGGTATGGCATGTAGGTACACTCTCCTGTGTGAACTGATCTGTAGTCAGGTTCCAGTGTTTGTCTCCCGGGAACCTTCCGTATTGAGAGTAGCAGATTATGTAACTTATCATTTTTCGTACGCCCTGTTCAGCCCAAAAACCAATGGCTGAAAAGAACGAACGAAAAGAGGCACATGCCCAGAACTCCACAGTTCCACCATATACGAGAGAGGGAACAGTAACAGAGAAACGATCTTCGATCTTGCGCGTGTAGTTGCTATTCACGGTATTTACTGTAAGCTCTCCGAAGGATAAACTTTATGACGTCCGAACTTTGTAGATAGCTGAGAGCTGCTGCCGTGAGATACCTAGATTACTGTGGCCCTATCAAATTGCTGTGGCCCTCTGAACCCTTCATTCTATTGACGGCATCTACTGTAGTAAGCTGTCCGCAAAGCCCTCAAAGACACAAACCCTTGCTAAATATCGGAAACACCAGGAGAAGGAAAGACGAGGGAGAAAAAAAGAAAAGGAAAAAGAAAAAACACCAACGACAAGCAGCAGCAACGAGCCACAAAGGCAACCTACAGAAACCACCAACCCAACAGAAACCCACACTCTGCCCCCATACCCGCCGCCAACTCTCCCTACTAGGTTGGGCTTCTGCTTCTGCTCATGCCGCAGCAGCCTCAAAAGTCACTACCTCCTAAGGATTCAAGAAGTGTCCTGACTGGATTTCACTGTGCATTGCTGCTACACACCTAGAAAAATAAATAAAATAATACCGCTCCAGAACACGCAATACGACCAGCTCTCCACATTAAATTGACAGTGCCTTTCGGGGAAATACACAGGCGAGTACCAACGCCTCGGGATTCGCTTTTGTAAAGAGAGTTGTTGGTTGTGCCGGAAACCGAGTCTTGGTGCAACAACGACGTTCTCGCTGTCAAGTCAGTCAAGTCCCTTTCCTTTAGTTTCCTAGGCCTCCACTCTCGGATCTTTACCCCCCATGAAATACACTGAAACACCCGCCTTCAAATACCCGCTGTGATGATATTGAGCGTGATATCCTTATAAACAAGCTAAATGTATTTACATGATATGCCGCCTAGGTTTCCCGTTGATTCGTTGTCTTGGGGCGAACACGCTGCTTCTCTTTCCACGCCCCCTCAGGCACCCCTCACTACCACACGGCATACAACCACCATGGCGGTTACTTGCGATAATACAGCAGAACGCAGCGGTGCTGCTTCGTTTACAGATTTCGTACACGCGGGCTCGAAATGCGACCATCAAGTCCAGATGTTCGAGTCTGAAGAGCAACTATACAAAATCATATCGAGCTTCATTGTACCCACGACCAGGAGCGACGATGCAGTGGTAATTCTTGCCGGGAAGAATCGTATTGAAACGCTTGAAGCATGCTTTAGAGAGCAGCATGTCAACACGGACCGGATGAAGCATCAGCAGCAACTAGTGTTTGTAGATGCTGGTATTCTTGCTGATACTGTTGTTCCCAATGGCATGTTTGAGTCAGAGAAAATGGAGGAGTTTCTGCGCGATCTTTTTGGAAGGGTTCAGAAGAATTATCGGAGAGTTTTTGTATATGGAGAGTTAGTGAATATATTGTGCGAACGCGGCTTGCACACGGCCGCGCTGGAATTGGAACAACTGTGGTCACGGTTTGTTGCTGGAAGAGAGATCACCCTTCTTTGTGGTTACGACCTAAACAACTTCAAGGATAGTGGTCTCGAAAACGTCTTCGAGCGTATATGTCGACTACATACACAGATAAAGCCCGCCGAAAATTTCAATGGACCAATAGAGACACCTGAACAGCAGAACCTCATAATTGCCTCTCTACAACAGAGAACCAAAGCTCTCGAAAACGAGGTCATCCGCCACCGGGCCGCAGAAACCACATTGCAAGGAGCTTTAAGTCTTTTATCCGCTCGGACTAGCGAAACTGTTGGTCGAGAGCGTGATGGATACTTAGCACTTTTGTCAATGCTCCCAGTTGGTGTCTGTGGCACAAATTCTGGCGAAGGCAATCTTAAATACTTCATCAATCAACGTTTCTGCGATATTTCTGGCCTTTCTGAAGACACTATACGTGACGGCGGCTGGATCAACGCCATACACCAAGCGGACCGCGAACAAGTCGCCGCGAGCCTGCGCGCGGTCAAGAACGGCGAAGATGCATTCGCTCGATGCGAGTACCGGTTCGTGCATCCAGATAATACAATTCGCTGGGTTGCGTGCGAGGCTGTCGCAAACGACAGTGGATATTTGCAAACTGTTTTCGATATTACAGAGTTCAAGATGCTGGAGAAGGAGCGGCTAGATACTATGAAAGCAGCAGAGGAACACCAACGGATGCGCGCTGCAGAAGCCGAAAGACACCGTCAAAACCGCGAGCAATTCGTTGATTCTCTTTGTCACGAGCTTCGAAATCCCCTTGGTGGAATATTTGGGAATGTAGAACTTCTCAAGATGGGCCTTGAAACACGGCGTTCAGTATTAGAAAAACCTTTCGTCTCACCAGAGGATTTGCTTCTTCTCCGGGAGCAGCTTCTCCTCGACGAAGAGTCACTCGACGCGATTTCCACCTGTGCAGTGCACCAACAAACCGTGACAGACGATGTCCTCAACCTTTCAAAACTAGAACTTGGCAAAGTGGTGTTAAAGAAAATCAGCTTCGATCTTAAGAGCACTATTTCTTCTGTGTTAAAGATGTTTGAGGTTCAGGCTCAGCGAAAAGGCATTGAACTGCGTGCTTCTATGCCTATCTCTGACTCGGTCATCACCGCGGATCCGCATAGGCTTTCACAGATCATCATCAACCTCATTGCCAATGCTCTCAAATTTACAGATAAAGGCAGCATCACTCTCATGTTTGATATAGTTGAACGTACACTGGAGAATACCCTTTTTCGGATAACTGTTTCAGATACCGGTGTTGGGTTGACATTGGACGAGAAAGCGGTCCTTTTTGATCGATTCTCACAGCCATCCTCAACTAACTATTCGGAGGTTGGAGGCACAGGTCTTGGACTTCACATTAGCAAGAATCTTGTGGAATTGATGGGCGGTGAAATACTTGTGGACAGCAGAAAGGGGCAGGGTTCGAAATTCACGTTCACTTTTAGATGTGAGGAGGATCGAAGTGGGGGAAATTCTTTCAGCTTATCAAAGTCGAGTCCGAAGAGCTACAAAGACTCGATATCAGTTATGGCCTCAGCCCAGACTCAAGCAATCATACCTTCTGTCATCCCCCGTCCAATAAATCATATCCTAATCGTCGAGGACAACCATATCAACCAGCGTCTCATCACCCGACTGCTATCGTCCGAAGGGTTTTCTTGCACGGTGGCCTCCAATGGGCAAGAGGCCCTCGACCTTCTCGAAAGCCTATCCAGAAGCAGATCACCGATAGATCTTGTCCTTATGGATATTCAAATGCCCGTGATGGGAGGGATTCCCGCAACGCTCGAAATCCGCCGTCGAGAAAAGCATTCGCCTACTACTTACACCCCTTGCTCACGTATTCCCATCATTGGGCTCTCTGGAAATGTCCGTGAGAACCATGTCCTGAACGCGCTGGAGAGCGGGATGGATGATTACCTTATCAAACCTGTTAGAAAAGTGGACATCATGACCGCTATCCAGAGGTTTGGGGATGATGTTGACATGGATGAACGACCTATCCCCAATGGGACAAAGCGAGCACGATAAACTGTTTATTTATGTATGGGATGTCTTTCCTGCTTGAATTCTGAGCTCTGCTCAATCTATCAACTTAGTGATTACACTTGGCTTACTTGGATTTGGTCTTCAGTGAGCCGAGCATAAGACGTCCCCTTTATGCTCAAGTACTATTATTTCTGCATTTATGGATATTAGGGTGCACACTAGAGTTGGGGTGAGAGAGGGCCATGTTTGTATGAATCTGAAGTTAGGGCGGTTTACTTGCGGTTGGATACATACATGGAATGGAGTCTAGGATAAGCTTGGGAATTTTGCTTTTTTCTTTCCTTTTTTTCCTCTCCTTTTTTTCTACTTTTATTTTTGCAAGTCTAAGGGGTCCTTTTTTATTTCTTGTAAATACTTTAGCGCGTATAAGGGGTTGTGGTAATGTTTGTAAATACCCGGTCTGCTTTTATTTTTGTTTTCAACTTGTCGGTTTTGTTTTTCCACGTCAAATATCATCTCGGGCTGGTTTTTAGGCTGCTTATTTCATTAATAATTCTTTCCGTAATGTTGCTTTCAGAGATTTTAATATTTTCCTCCACTTATTTTCTTGTGAGTGCATTAATTAGGGGGCATTCAGTATTTTAATGTTGTCCGGGCACGTAATTACTCCGCAGTGTTGGTACATGGTTTGATAATTGTTTTTCGCGTTTCCAAGCTACAAACATCAATTGGTCAGGACGTGCATCGTGATTGGCCTGAAACAAAAAGCCACAACTGTGCAACACCACCACTAGAATCGCAGCATCACAGATGTTTCACTCAATCACAACCTCGCACTCCACCAACTCTCGGGTCCTGCTGCCTATCGAAATTCTCAACGATGGTAGGGTTGGCCGAGTGACAAGCTATGAAACACGTCAGTGCGGGTTTTGAAAGAAAGTAAAGAAGGTTCGGGAGAAAACGGGGTTCTGGATATCGTGGGCAGCAATGGTTTGTGTTTGCCATGGATGGGATTGGTTAGGTGTTTGACTCTCGGGACGATGCTCTTGAGCTTGTGAACTCCGCACATAGAGGTTTGGGAACAGCATGTGCCACTGAGAGATCTTGGGCAGGATTTACTACAAATGGACTTCCACGACTGCTCTCGTTGTAAATTTTAAGAAATACTCTGCCGATTGTGGGACTTTTACTGATATCTTGGATTACTGAGGGCGGCATTCGGGATTAGTAGGGGATGAGTGATCACCTATGAATATCGATACAGCTACATAACTACAAGTTAAAACTTGATATCCCACGGTATGTAGGTACAGCACATAGGGATAGTTACGCTGGCAGGTATTTCATTGCGCGAATAGTATGATCATTAAGGTTGAATGGAGCCCGCTACTGTATATACATGTTATATTCAACAGATTGTATTAATATTAAGACACCACGAACGAGTGGAGTTTGAAGGTGCATGGCCCATAGGATTGCCAGATATACCTCTGAGAGACCTTGATTTTCATCTCTCAAAACCGTACCCCTTGAATCCCGGAGAGATCGTAATTTGAGGACTACAGACGAGATTATAAATCTTTTGAATGATGGCGCCGGGAACAACGGGGAAGTGAGGGGGACAAGGTTACCACATTAGTAAGGAAGATGGGCTAAAGGAGGATGGTGGTTGTACCAAACAGCGCTTGGCAGACCTAAAGTGGACGAGGAAATATATGTAAGTTTTCAGGGTAAGATATGAAGGTTGCATGCTTTCTTTGTGTAACTAAGAGGAGAAAAGGAAAAGAAAAGATTGTTGAATAGAGTGAGGATCGAACTCACGCGGGTTGCCCCACTAGCACCTGAAGCTAGCGCCATAACCACTCGGCCATCTATCCAGATGTTCTGCTTGTTGAAAGATTTTATAATATTGAAATACTCAAACCATGGTATCTTTAGTTGGGCTCGAAGATAGAAGAATCCTTTATCAGCCCGTAGTCGATACGTATACATACTCAATTTCCCTATAGTTTTGTGGTGAAATATGAAGTATACTGACATTCCTGCTCCCTTGTTCCTGTTGAGCCCTTCTTATTCTTTCTTCCTTTGGGGTGGCTCAGAAATACTCAAACCGATGCCTAAGATTTCCCGGTTAACACCAGAGGAGTACCACTATATCTCTTCTAGGTCAGCATCCTAGTACTTAATCAAGTACTAGTGGTGTTAAGTACATGAGGGGATTCTTTGTATCCCCACGCGCACGTGGTCACTTCGGCACTAGGTATCATAGTGTTGACTCGAGTGATGGTTCGTGAACATGTCCGGTGAAAAGGGATCCGAGCATTCTTTAACTTGGAAATAACCCTTCCAATGAAGAACAGATCTAAGTAAACTCAACACCGAAACGGAACAAGGTATATCTAGTTGCCGACCGCGATTTCGGCTTCAACACAATTTAAGCCGATGATCGGTTTTTCGGCCCGGTACTGACTTGTTAGCGCAACGTGTTCAAAACTCGCAAGCTTGATGAGTCGAGAGACGGGTGAAGCTTTCCGGAATAGTTTACCTTGAAGTATCCTCGATTGATACAGGTATCCATGGGAACCTGGGGCTTTATCTTGACGACTGGTACATGGACAAAGAGATGGGGAACTATGGGTGTATAATGCGCTATAGCTAGGATACTGCAGCTAACTGTCAATAGAGGTTTATTCAAAACGAAAGGAGCTCGGAGCTGGGACTGATGAAACCTGCCTCTTCTTTCTTCTACTCAAGTATGTGCCCTCCTCTCGAAACATAAGCGGCGGTCTTGTACTCAACTGGATACAACTATGGTACACAGATGGGACCTTGGGACCGTTTGACGGAGGTGTTCATAAGTAATATACGAGGGCCTTGTAGCTACAAGTGATTAATAAAAGAAGAGGGATGTGTGTCGTTTACTTCATATAATAACCTTCAGAATCCATGTACGCGGCTTGTTTCTGATCTGTCCTTACTTCCCACAATACTTAAGGAACTGAGACCTCCCTGGACCTCGATCATTGGTCCTAGCCCCCGCCTAAAAGAAAACATTCCCACTCATCTCATACCGATGCGCCGTTTATCGGCAATTATTTTCCCTCTCGATTTGATTGGCCAGATACCTTTTTATGATCTATGTGCCAGCTAGAACAAGATTGTTTTGTCCATGACGCCAATAGCTAAAACAGTGTTTCTATTAGGGTTAGGGTTGCCATCTGCATTGGATTTTGCCGGGTGTCTTTCTGCTCATCCGGTTGTTAAGCTGCCAGTTTTTCGTTGGCCACAAGGGGACGGCGGTGGTGAGCTTGAAATCGAGCAACAAAACATCCAACGAGCGATCTCTTTGTCTTCATACTTTTTACAGCCATTTCCAGTTCCAAGAAAGGGTGGAAGGTCGAAGGAAAAGATGGGGTTCACCATGTTCGGACGATACGCCATCATCGCCGTCTCTGCTACGCTGCTAGGACTCCCGCAGCTCATTTCTGGAACTGTGTCCGGTGGGGAGGTGCCGGCACCGACTTGCAAGGCAGTTTCAGTAAACTACATCACACATTCTCTTCCACAGCAATGTTTACGGACATCGCGGACACAGACCGTCACAGTTACAGCTACAGTGTCCGGTAGTGGAGGTGAAGGCCACTCGGGGGTGGAGCCAACGACAACAACGGTAACGACGGTAGCAACGACCACGAGAGTCTTATCGAAAGGCTTGAGTTTTGGAAAACCAAATACTAATATTGAAAAATCTCACGCATCTATCACAACAGCTTCTACCGCAATTAATCAATCGATACCACCATCGTCAGCTACTGCTCCGGTGAGCTCTACGCCTGTTCCAATCGAGCAACTGCCTAAAGAATCAGATTCAGATGATTCACCCCTTGATACGGCAAATTTCCTCTCCTTCGAGGAATGGAGGGCCCAAAATCTCGCAAAAGCTGGTCAATCGACCGAGAATTTCGAGTACCGGGTGCGAGAACCACGAAACGATCCACGGGCGATCAACAATGCCCTAGATGCTCTTGGCGAAGATGCCGAAATTGAGCTTGATTTTGGATTTGATTCAGTTCCCGAGTACCGAATTGGCCGAGCCGAGAGAGTTGCTACTCCAGCACCCGCACAAACGGAAACCCTTGGAGGATACTCTAGGTCCAAAGATGCGGGAAAGACTTGCAAGGAGCGATTCAATTATGCGTCTTTTGACTGTGCTGCTACAGTTCATAAAACGAACCCAGGAAGCAAGGGTGCTACAGCAATTCTTGTAGAGAATAAAGACAACTACATGCGGAACAAATGTAGCCAAGAAAATAAATTCTTTGTCGTGGAGTTGTGTGAGGATATTCTTGTGGACACGGTTGTCCTCGCCAACTTTGAGTTTTTCTCTTCGATGTTCCGGACCTTCCGAGTTTCTGTTAGTGATCGATACCCCGTTAAACAGAATGGATGGAAGGACCTTGGCACATTTGAAGCAAGAAATACGAGACAAGTCCAGGCGTTCCTGATCGAGAACCCATTGATTTGGGCACGTTACCTCCGCGTGGAATTGTTGACGCACTATGGAAATGAGTTTTACTGCCCAGTGAGCTTGTTGAGGGTGCACGGTACAACGATGATGGAGGAGTTTAAACATCAAGAAGAACTCTCGAGGGGCGAAATTGAGGATGATGTGAGGGAGGATGTGGTTCCGGAAGCCGTAGCAGTGGGTATTCAGGATATTGTTATCACACCGGCACCGACGGAGGCAGAGAAGCCAGTAGAAAGTTATCTGGAGTATACAACGACTGACTTGGATGAAACTTCGGCGGAGATCTATGAGCCAAATCAAGATTCGGTTAAGAGGAACTTGATTGATACTCCGCCGCCAGTATGTACGCCGAGGGCCCTTTATGATGTCTACATTTTCGATCCCCCTCGATTAGCTGTATGCGGGGTAACTCACACGTCTTCAACCACTTTGCGAACTGTCAGGGCTCACTCCGAGCCCGAAACTTTGATAAACGCAGGATCTATTTCTACAGCGAGCTCGAAGACAGTTCAATCAGCGCCCCAAGCAAGTACCAAAGAGCATATTGCAGCTGCCCCCTCTGTTCAGAGCCTACCACAACGGGAAACTGCTTCTACCGGTATCAAATCTCAAGCTGTTTCGGTCACGCAAGAGGTAAAGCACAACCATCCCCAACAATACCATGCCTCCCCTCCGCCGTCGCCCCCGAGCCCTCCACATGCGATCCCTACGACCCAGGAAAGTTTCTTCAAGACAGTCCACAAAAGGCTTCAGTTGCTTGAGCAAAACGCCACTCTTTCGCTCCAATATATTGAAGATCAGTCGAGGATTCTGCGGGATGCGTTTATGAAAGTCGAAAAGCGTCAGATGGAGAAGACAGCACACTTCATTCAACAGTTGAACACAACTTTCCTAATAGAGCTGCTACTTTATGTATGTCAACCTCAATTAATCGAATTATCGCTGCAGGGTTGGTATTAACAAAATATATTTAAATAGAAGCAACAATATGACCAACTCTGGCAATCAACGGTAATAGCCCTCGAATCTCAACGCGAGCAATCAGAACGAGAAATGATTGCTGTCTCCACACGACTCACCATCCTCGCGGACGAGATGATATTTCAAAAACGAATGTATCAAATCCAATCCGTGCTCCTGCTCATCACCATCGGTGTTGTTATATTCTCCCGAAACGGAAACCTTGATACACCTCTCCTACAACACATGAGGACCCGCAGTACCCTGCGTATGCTCGATACCCCCCCATCTAGCCCGCTTCCGGGTGTCACTATAAGTAGGGCAATGTCTCACCGCCGCCATAAAAGTGATGATTCCATCACATCTCCAACATTCGAACTTTCACCCCCTTCCCCGGATGATTACATGTCACCTATAGAAAGCAATGAGTCCATGCCAAGTGGCACACAAAGCTCACCAGCAACACCTAATGGAACGCGTCCTCGCCGTGGCTGGGGGCACCAGTTTGGACCGAAGTTGAGAGTCGAGAGTAAAGGCCGCAGATGGCAAAGATTACCAAGTCCGCTAGGCAGTGCCGTGGGTGAGGACTACGACATAAAAAGCCCGGAGGACGAGGAGTACGAAAGGACTATGGAGTTAGATAGAGAGACAGGGTTACAGACTCCAGAACCGAGCCCGGAACCGGAGCCAGAGCGATCTTCGACTCAAGAATTAACACCGGAAACGAGCTCAAGTGGTAGCTCGTCCTCATAATGTGAGTCACGAGCGTTTTAACGCGTTCTCGGGGGTAATCGTCTGATTTTTATCCATTTACGCGCTTTGCGGATTTACCTAATTCCTGGTGTTGGTGCGTATGTTTTTGGCGTTTATCTTTCTTTCGTATATACCTACCCTGTTTGAGTATTAGAGTGAAAAAAAGTGTGGGTCTATTTAACGCATAATAATTCTTGGGAAAACTGGAGTATGAGGAGTTTAAAATTATTTTTCTATGTTAATCTAAGATGGGGATTTAAAACGGGGAGGCGCTAAGGAAGGAGTGGAGATGTCATAGTCACATATGTGGTTTTTAAGTTTGTTTATTTGTCCCGGAATAATATGATGTCGGTTATTGATCTATCTCACATGAAAAGAATATTGACGAATGATTTTCCGACAAGTTGCGAAATCCGCAGATTGATAGGTTTTGGGTTGAATAAAAATTAAAGAGACGAGCGAATTTACCGTTGGCAGTTGGTGCGAACTAGTACTTGTATTTACCTACATGTGCTTCATGCCGGCCTGGGGTGTCGAGGACCTTGCTAGCTACTCGGGGCAGGCAATAAGAACCTGAAAATGCAAGCTGCAAGTATGTGCTCAATTTGGTGTAGCTTTTCGCCAGCCGCGAATCAGAGGTTGTTACCATCAAAAGTCATTTTCAGGTTCTTACCTGCCCCGAGTACATGTAGTCCTATGGCGCCATAATCGCATTATTTTTATGAAGATGCGCGTGGGATAAGGTCATTGCTCCTATATAAAGGTATTGTATTCCGTCTAGTACGTAATCCCAGGAGGTTGGGAAGAGATGGGGAAAAAATGTTGTAATTTGAAATTCTATTAGGTCACCGTGCTACTTGGGCAGGACTATTTTTACACAAACTGTGTTGTAATAGTACCGTAAACATGGTATGTGTAACACGGCGATAGCCTAGGGAATATATGGTCTGGCGTGGTCATTAAACGTTAAAGAAGAGTTTTTTCCCCCCGATTTGTCGCAGTTTTTGGTTGTTTGGGGGATCTAATTACTTCTAGCGTGTACGTAAGGATTGATTCATGGATCATACACTATCACTCGATAAGTACTAGTGCCGTCTTAATCTCACATCAACACGCGTCACCTCTCATCTTGTTCAAGTCGTTACCCTAGACCTTTTAAGATTGAGATATGTTCTGCCGCGGGGGTAAAGGCTTCGTCTGGCTTGATGTATCGACTCCACATGGTGCACAAATCACACGAAGTTGAGATACATGTGGGTTAGGGTTACGGCGGAGGTGGAAGTATGTGTGTTTTCAAGCGAGCTGGTAGAGTAGAGGACGTCTATAGTGAAATAATTGATTGCTAGGATATTTTTACTGTAAGAGATTAGTACAGAACGTTCTGATATTTTTAGGTTCGGGATTGTCAATGGCACACTATGAATCATTACGTGTGTTGCGAAATTACACGATAAACTCTGACATCGTTTCCCAAAGTAGCACTCTTTTAAACGATTTCATTACGCAAGAATATATATACACTCAAGGCTAGATTAATCTTGCGTCGTCTATGGATGAATAAAACCCTTCCTCCCTCCACCCATTCTCACTCTTCTTTTTTTCTCCTCATCTTCGTCTGAAACAAAATTTCGCGCATCACCAAACCACAAAAATTTCTCTAAATCCCCAAACCCTTAAACCATTAAACTCCCTAAATTACATAAAATCGCCAAATATGAAAACTACCGCACTTTTCGCCAGCATGGCGCTCTTCAATTTGGCCAATGCTGCAGAATTCGTACAATTAAATCCTGACAAATTTGCTCGCTCCATTAATTCTTGTTACGAACAATCTGCGCAAGCTATCACCGCCCCCTCAGAAGATATAAATCCTACTCAACTAATTAGACGCCCTCACATCGCTCATGAAGCTGAGGTTGACTGTATCTGCCAACTGCCCGAGTTTGCGCCAACAATCGAGAACTGGTGGACGAGCGGTGCAACCGAGTGGATCAAAGAGTACACTCTGCTCAACAGCGAGAAAAAACGGTTTCAAGAATTAGGAATCGTAGGCTTTATTGCTGAGGATTTGCTAAAAAAGACTAATTTTAGATGTGACGTCGAGTCGGTGCACAGGTGTGTGGTCGAGTGCCAAGACGTGGTCAGAAAAGTCGCAGACCCAGAGGTCGCAAGGAGAGTATGGTTTGTTTTGAGAAGTGCTGTAAATATCGTTGAGGTTTCTAAGATGGTGCATGTAAGTTTTTATTCCATCATTTTTTGTCCATTTTACCGTTTTCGGTTTAGTTGTGTGTTGGGTGCACGTGAGGATTAGCGGTAATGATAATTATCACTGGTTTCTTAATATCTGCCCCATGCTATGATATCCATGTATAAAATAAGTCTATGAGTAAAGCTAACATTTTTCAGGACTCTCTTGTTGCTGCCCAGCTAAATATGGCTCAGCTCGTACCTGTCATCGCCGATACTTTCTACTGGACACCCGGCATGGATGACCAAACCTGGGCCCTGATCTTCACACATACCGTCAATACTCTCTCTTTCCTCTTTGGCCAGTTCTTCCCCATGGCGCGTGGTATGATTCAAATCAACCAGCTACTTGACAACATGGCCAGTGCAGCCGCTGAGAACGCTGCCATCGCTGAAACCAACTTGCATATTATGGAGGATGAGTTCTTATCTGTCCCCGAGTACGGTGTCAGTCGCGAAGAGCGTGATCTACTATGGTCCAGACTTGAATCACGTGAGGAGAGCTTTGCGTACTGGACCAAAAAGTCTGAGTGTACTGGCAAGACCGCTAGGATTGCTAAGATGGGATTTACCGATATCCTTATGGGACAGATTGGCTCAGGTATTAGCAATGCATTTGGTACCCTGAATTCATATATTAGTTTTGAGGCAAGCCATCCTGGATACGAAAAGCCGAGGGAGACAAACAAGATGAGACTCGATGCATTTATTAGGTCCTCCTCTATGCGTGCAAGGGGGGCGTTGAGAGAAGGCATCAATGTCATCTTTAGCGGAGCTTTGGCGGAAAGTGATGGTTAGTGGAGTTCTTTATTTGTATACTTTGTGTCTGGATGGTGTTAACATAAGTATATTTGCAGGGTCATCTATATTCTCCAATTTCACCATGGCTGGAAACTTTCTTCCTGACAGGTCTGGTGACGCACAATTGTGGAGAGATATTGGTGCTGAGACGTAAGCATTATTTCATATATATATAATTTAATGAGTGAATATGTTATTAACGCTCATACTAGGGGCCTCACACGTGGCCTAATGCTGAAAACTCTAAACGCGGCCATCAACTCCCAAGCAGTATACATCACCTGCTCCAAGGATTACCGTAGGACTGCCACAGATTATAGGCCCACTGTGGAGAAGCAGAAAGCTGGTGCCGCGACCTGCAAAAAAGACAACTCAGGTCCCAAAGTCTTCAAAGCCTGCGTCGAGGGTTACTGCTGTTATATCTACAAATGGAACAACAGAGGCTGGGCCCCCTCATGGCGCAACGACAAGCTCTTCGGCGCCGATGTCATAGATGATGAGCCATGGAACCTCAAGATCACTGATATAATCACCTCCTCCGTCCAAGCCTACATTCAAGGCATCCGTGAGACTACTCCCACCTACTCACTCACGGCCGGCATCTTCCGAAGTCTCCGTAGCGATAATATCGGCTCTCTCTGGGACCCTACCACCCCTGGTATGTTCACTGTACCTGTATGCTTCTCAACACACAACTGGGCTACCGTCATCGATGGATATCGCTTCCCAAGCAACGGTCATATCGATGCACAGCCAAGAAATTCAGTCAAGAATATGCCCTGTAACTGCGGCCCCTGGGGGAAGGACACTGAGCAGGTGTGGAAAGAGGTTGGGCTTTGGAGCCTCGATCCTAATGATAGATGGTTCAACGATTATACTACAAGCAAGTGCGGCTACCAGATCTACGATAAAATTGAAGACCCTTTGGAGAAGTACGTGGCCTATTGTCGTGTCAAAGTCGGTACCACGTGGAATTTCAGGATCAGAAATGCGGGAGAGCACTGGAACTGCCCGATGGTCCTAAGTGCTATCAAGAAGCTGGGATATCCGGATGTGATGGACATGAAAGAGAATGAGCCCGATGTTTATCAAGCACTGTGGTGTCATGCTATTCATCCAGGATCGAGCAGGAAGGAGTGTAAGAACTACAATGAGCCATTGCCTGTTACGATGGTGAAATTAGGGAAGTGGGATGCCTCTGAGATAGCACATGAGATTGAACTAGGTCCAGGAGAGGAGCAGTTGGTGAAGATGGTACTTAGAGATGGTCGTGGGATGCGGTCAACAGATTAGAGTTATATTATGGGACTTACTTGTTGTTTATAATTGTTATATGATATTGGTGGTTTTTTCTCACCATTCATATTATGTTTATTTTATACGTACTTCAATACAGATTATAGAGAATTAGAGAATTTATGATGAAAGTCGGCGCTTTAGCCTCTTCCCTCACTCTTTATATTTGTACTTTTGATTTTTTAGCTTTCGATAGTAAACTCTGTTAGTAAGTCCTCAAGATAATTAGAGAGGGCCGGGGGCGGTAAGATTACTACTTGGCTTGTTGAAGAAGCACTTAGGCCGGAGACTAGCCTCTAGGAGCCGTGGAAATGTGTACCTGAAAATATTAAATAGTATTCGGTAAAGCCGTCGGTAAAGTCGTTTTTCGAGCTTGGATTTACGTGGGTAATGTCAATATTTTGGTAGAGGGAAAGTCGTTTTAAGGGAAATCAGACGACTTTGCAGACGACTTTACAGACGGCTTTACTGATATCTTTACCTGTTACGCTTCTGTCACACATTTTGAGCGTATAAACATGGGGGGATAAGTTTTGGCCACCGGTGATGCTTCACATGATTGACGAAGGCCATCGGCAATGAAACGAATCATCACCGAGCACCCTACTATTATACCAGGAGCATTAAGCAAGAATTTCCTGCATGTATATGCCAAACAATGGATCCACCAAAATGAAATTGTATTCCCCAACTGTTACAAGCCCATTGATGCCAGATATCATTTGATGACCCCATCGAAATATTCTACTTGGGGACTCAACTATCTCGAGATCTAGAGGAGGGGCTTCATCGGAAAACATTGATTTTCCGGTGGAGAACAGGAAACCCCGGAAACAGTCAGTAAAGTCGTATTTTATTGTCTTTAACATGCCTTTAACGGGGAATGTCGTCAGTAAAGTCGTATCTTATTGCCTTTAATAGGTAAATGCATTAGTAAAGGTGTCGGTAAAGTGTCGGTAATGGGACAGGAATGCCTTTAACACACAGTAGGTCGGTTATTGCATCAAATAATGTGTATCTCGCAGCTTTTTGTATGGGAAACGTCAAAATTGATGCATTTCCACGGCTACTAGAGAGCTGGGTGTGTAGAGAAAAATATGACATAAATATAGCCTTTTGATACATACGATATGGGGGGAATGTTATATAGAGCTCTCCTTAGGGAAGCATCCATTGCCCGGATTAAGAAAGGCGGAGATGATCTAAAAGATTTTTTTATGTTAATGAGAGAACGAACTAAAATTATGCATATGGCTCACTTGGATTTTTATTATTCATTTAATGAATAGAGTTTCCGGTTTGTTACAATCGCAAAAGTATAAAATGAAGTGCTTAGACATCCTACTAGCTATCAATACACATCAACTTGTTGGTTTCTGTTTCCGCCTTCGCTCTAGCTCTGTCGGTTTTTCTTCTAATTATCCCTTGCAGATAGCAGATTATGTATGGCATCTATAGATGGGTCCAGCAGTTGGGTGGCTATACACCAAAAACAGCGCCAGATTTCGTGGTCTGGCTAGATTAGGGAATATTTCCAAGTCCATCGGGCCGGGACGTTGTATATATATATATGCAATTATCCTTTATTTATAACGAAGATATCTATCCGATTCGAATTCAAATTTTGGACCATTCATTCTAACGTAAATCCTCCATCACAGTACTATCGAAGAGTGACTATAATTCATACCGGCAATTTCTGAGAAAAACTTATTTTAGTAACATAACTCGTAGCTGTGTATTGAATCATGACTCGTCACTCGAATCCATGCAATTGCCTCTCGTAACAACGAGGTTGCAACCAATAACAACGCTCCAAGCTCGTATCATCTTCATGTCGGTTTCCGCCAAGTCTAGCGTTCTTTGGGTCATCGGATATGGGTTCAGGACGTCTAAAGGGCTAGGCTCTTGGGCTTTCATCTGAAGGGTCCAAGTACTTCTTCAGACAGTTGACTCATTTTATTAAGATAAACCAAAAGGTTTGATCCGACCAATCGCTGCTGCGTAGGTAGGCATCAAAAACCACAGGTCTTGGATCTTCCGAGAACAGGTTGCTTAAAGTTTCAAAGAGAAAAACTTTTGTGGTCAACATCACTCTCTCTGACTAGCTAGCACCCCTCAGGCTTTGGTTACCCAGCTTAGAGTGTATTCGTTTATAACCATCAGCCCCCTCCTTGAGCCTCCACCCTCCTCCACACATCATCCTCCGCCGTCCTAGGCTTTTGTTCGAATGATCATTTCATCAGAACCAACCGGGAAAAAATCTGTGAATTCATATGCGAATGATGAAATGTCCCCCCCCATTTGCGGAAATACCGGAGCGGGGAATAAACAGACTGTGCAACAAGACTACGCTGCTCTCGATCCATCAGAGCCTTCCAACGCTAGATATAGATGGAGGAAATTAAAAATGAACTACTCGGAGGAGATCCTACGAATGTATCCTTACCTTGCGGAGCCTGATTCCGATGGGGATGATGATATTGAGGAAGGGGAAGAAGACGAGTATGTGAGGTGGGACCCTGTTCAAAAAGTCCATGTGAAGAGAGAAACACCGCTTCGAGAAATAGCGAAACGGAATGCCGACACAATACCGACTGCGGAAACCGAGCGGTTCCTCCCGGAAGATATGGTTACTGTCGAGATACTTCTAAAGATGGTTTCTGAGGCCGATGATTTTGTAAGATTCAGGTTCTTTCAGTCCTTTTCTAGTTTTATATCCTTTGCAGCAATCTGACCCTCTTCCCCCAATAGTCTTTAAACTCTACAGCGCCCGAAATATCTCCAACACGGGCCTCTACACCCCCAAACACATCAATTCCCGAGTCGTTGCCGCTTCCTAACGCACACCTTAATAGTGAACATGATCGACCGCTCGAGGCATATGACGATCTACCCACCACAAGACAGCAAGATGAGTTGTTTATTGAACAACTAGGCCATCAAAACAACGATAAAAACATCAATCTCTTACCTGAGTGTGTTCTACAAGATTTACAGCAAAAGGCAGAGGAGACTCGGGTCAAATCTGACTTTAAAGAATCCTGCACGACGTCTAATTGCCCTGGGCTGCCCAAGGCATTGAGCGGTGAAACCAGCTGTCTTCAAAACGAAGCAAACAATTGCTCGCTAGTTACCGAAGACATGGAAGCTGTGAATGAAGATGCAAAACCCACGGAGGGATTAGAGAAGGTTTTCGCAGAACCAAGCCGCTACTTCGTGGAGGGAATCAAAAACAGGCTTCTGCAAAACCTTCACTTCAACGAGTGCAATCCAGAGCACCGTTTTCATGGTTTTCGAGGCTGTAAGAGCTCACGGAGAGCTACTATCATCTATAGACGCACATACAAAAGACCGATGTCGCGGGTGACTTATCAGCCGAGGCCGCTGCGTAAGCAATGGGGTGCACGCCTGGATAATGACCAAACGATCCCTGTGAGTGAAGATATTGACAAGAACCGTCCTGAGATAGGGGACTATTACAGCTGCGAATTCACACCGTCTACTAAGAGAGAAGCTACGGATCTAGGCAATAAAAACCTCTGGGGGGTGTTGGAAGTCGATAATAACGCTAAACTCACGCACTCAATTGACAACTATAGTACGTCTCTTGGTATGTTTGACTTTATAAACTGTGGATATATGCCTTTAGAAAAACCCATTAGCGTAGCGGTTGGTGGTTACTTTGGTTTCAGTGCTTCAATCTCTGAGAACATTCCGGATTATGATAGGGAATTGGTGGACCGCTGTTTGTCGGCGACGAAGAAACGTTCAGGCCCGGTATCAGTAACAGAACCTTTGGATACTTTGCCGGATATGGCGAGAGATCTGGCCTATCAAAAAGGCGAAGCTGCAGGTCGCCAGCAAATGCTAGAAGTTGCAATGAAGTTAGCCAATGAGATCATCAAACAAAAACTCTGCAACGCATTCTCTGAAAAGTCAAAATTCCTAGACACCGATCTGACGATCAAACGGAGTTTACAGCAGGCTGCTTTAGGTTCTTATGAGGACCATACTCAACACGAGGGGACCCCGAACCACGCGCGGGCAATTCGCGAACGCCACTCTCCACATACGGAACTTGAAGAAGTGAAAAATCAGCATGGAAAAAAACCTATCGATTGGTCTAACAAGAAGACAAATGAGTTCAGAAGGTCATGTGGGATATCTGATCATAGTCTCAAGGAGTATCCCTCAAGTCTAAAGAATTCCGGTGAGAAGCGTAAGCACTACGAAGAGTTTGATGAAGTTAAGGGTTCTTCTCGTAAGCACCGCCGCCGTAGATCCGCTTCCAAAGAAAACGATTCTCGTCGTTATCGCCAGCAGGATAAGAGTCGTAGTCGTAGTGGGCCTTCTCAAGATTCCGGCCGTCGATACGACGAGAAAGATAGTCCGAGCAGACCACAAAGGGACGCCCACCGCCGACATGACGATAGTGATATTCCTGATAGATCTTATAATGATTCTCGTCGCCGACAGGATCGGAGTCATAGTGCCAGCAAATCCAGGGAGTTAGACCGTCGGCTCAATGAGAAGAATAGTCCTAGTAAATCACACAAGGGCTCCCGCCGCCGAAATGACGATATTGATAGTCCTGGAAAATCTCACAAGGACCCCTACCATCGTCAACACGACGAGGTTAAAAGCCCTAGCACGAATTACAAGGGCTCTCGTCGAAAGAAAAGCGAGCGAGAAACTGAAAAGTCTCATACCAAGGCTCAAGACCGTTCTCCGAATCGTGGTCGTCATAGAGACCGTGATTGCGAATCCAGTGAATATCATGCGGCAGAGAAAATTATTGGAGACATAGTTAGACGCAAACGCAAACATTCCACTCCCTCTCCATCCCCTCCACCCCTAAGTTTGGTGAAAGTTAAACCCCAGAAAGAGATACGAGAGAGTATCTTTGCAACTCCTAATGAGGTAAATGAGCAGAAAAGATCCGGGGAAGCAAGCAGATCTCGACGTTCTTCACAGAAGCACCACCAAAATACCCCAATTTCTGATACAATTCGGGACATAAAAGTCAAAAAAGCTCCCATAGCAGGAAAAATTGCTGCGAAGGAGAAATCCGCTACCCCCAAGGTTACTCCCACTAATCTGACCGACCAAAAAGAAGCCACTAGCAAAGATTCACAAGCTTCTCAAACCGATGTTCGCCCGACCACGAAGGCCAGACGGAGCCTCGTGAAGGAGGGTACAGACAAGGAAGTTTGCGAAGTCGAGGTTCGCAAGAGTTTAGATATTGGAAAACGCTCGAAGAGGGCTTTTAGTAATGTAGAATCCCCACGAACCGAGTTTTATCAGACCTCGAAGGTTACAGCTTCCATGATCATGATTGAAGCTTATCAAACCTTGCAGGATGGGCCTAGCATTACGAAGAAGGCCGCAGGCAAAGAAGCTTCTCCCCAAATTAAAGTTCAACAGACATCAAAGGTTCAAAACTGTGTAGAAGATTCCAACAGCAAGGAGGAACCTCTACGGGCCGATGTGAATCTGAATCCGCAGGTTGAACCAGATATGGCGGAGAAGGGACTACAAACGCTCCTTCCGCCGCCGCCTCCTGCAGGCCCTCGTTTTAAAGGCTTTTATCACAATCAAAGCAATGGTCCTCGAGATTACCAGTCTCCAAAAATTCATCACCCTCATGAGTATCACTCTCACAGTCACCAACCACAAGGCCACTACCCTCAAGATCACTATAATCAAGGTCATTTACCACAGACTCGTACTCCCCAGGGCTATCACCTTCAGGGTCATCCCCCTCAGGGTCATCCCCCTCAGGGTCATCCCCCTCAAAGCTACCATTCTCATAGCTATAGTTCCCATAGCTACAATTCGCATAACTACCACGTTCAAGACCATCAACCTCAAGTCAACAAATTCCAAAGCCATAGAGATCAAAGCAATCAGCACCAGAGCCACAATGGTAATTTTTCTTTTGTTCTTGAGGGAAACTCGACCAATCCCAGAAATGGACATAGGGGTGGCTATCGTGGTAGCAAATCGACTTCTGGAGAGAGACAGCGCTATTAATCAAGTCATCCTAGTCTAAACCTCTTGAACATTCATAAGTATCACTTAGTCCAAGAGGTAGCAATTAGGATTGGATGGATTTTTTCTGGTGCGGAGAGGGGGGAATATCAACACACATGTTACTGTATACCATATGAAGGATAGTAAGGTCATTTTTTCCTGACATGAAAATCTACTTTTGTGGATTATACCCTATGTCTGGTTGTGTCCTATTGGTGAACGCTTTAGAAATAAAATATTTTACTTTGCGGTGTAGGGATATCAGCAGTGCCTAATATGCATGGCATGCGCGGATGTTAACCGGGAATGTACAGACTTACCTCCGCCGGAGTTAAGCTGATGCGATGCCCGTATAAACTAACGCATGTTATATATTGGTTGTAGATCTATTTCCTCACTTGCGGTTGGGGAATACATGTAGTGTCCACTCACTAGTATACTACCAAAAGACATGTATGATGTGTAGCGAGACTGTGCGTGGAAGACGGTTAACCGATGTTAGACGGCCATCAATTAATACATGTACATTTAATATTATCACTACATGTATAATTATTCTCACATGCACAAATACCCTTTGTCTATGTTAGTACATACATGTATCTTGTAACGAGACTACCGAGAAGGGTTAGTCAGCAGTTAACACTGTATTCATAGCTATATGATAGAGAGAACACTCAGCACTGTACAAATATAACAGATATACCAGACTGGCTGGTATATCTTCGTGTTAATTAGAAGACCCTCCCTCTATCATCAATCATCTACCATACATAAAGCGTGACTTTCATGCATCTCTTCCTTCTTCTTCTTCTCCGTCATCACCGATACAAATCACTAGCTAAACCCATCAATTATTCCGAGTAACACCGTACACATTTCTGTCAGATGCGTGTAGTTACAGAAGCTCCTAATTCACGGCCATGGGCCATCATGGTAGCGTCCTACCAACGATCTGCTGACTCAACAGCAACCGTCGAGTGATAATCAGTGCAGAAATGACATCATCGTTACCCGGTCTATGCACAGAGCCTCCTCCGACTCGACAATTCCCACCAGCTAGCCGGCAGACAAGGGTCAATTCATTTCGAGGCTCGGCGCACGAGTGTTAACAATCTCTTCTATCTACGTTCCTTTGAGGGCATAATATTTCACTACAGTCGATCATTCACCATGCCCCCGTTAACACTCCCACGACGCCTATTATTCACAGTGGCGCCACTGCATCTGGGTGTGATAAAATCACAGAAACAACTATATAGAATCCCACATACACACCCTGTGTTAATACGATGGCCGAGGAGGGTATTCTCGTCGACTTGCATCTCTAGGCTACAGCGGAGTAGGAATAGCACTCCTTCCTCTGCACCAGCTCCAGCTACAGTAGTAGCTGTTCAAGAAGTTTGCAATCCTTTTATAGATCTAGGAATATGAATATGCTATTTTAAATTTATCTGCTGCTAACGTATAGCCATGAAAACGGAACAGGACGCACCAGAACAGACATTCCAGAAAAAGAAATCCGCACGATCACAATCCAGCAAGATCTCACTGCGAAGAGTTGCCGCCGCCTCGGAAGCAGCAAAAAGCACAGCGGGCTACTATGGTGGCGAACAGCGGAGGAAAACCAAAGTATGTTGCCTTTCCTCCACGATGAGGCCGGAACTGGTCTGATAGATATTATGTTAGTTATGCACAGCCTATTGTACCGCCGAGAAATACGACCTCTCCCTCGCAGCGCTCATCCTTCTACGGAAGGGATACACAATCGACCCCAACTCCACCGGCCTCGTAGACCAAGTGCTCCACCTCCGGCTCCCTACCACCGACACCGGAGCTACAAACACGGCCACAGCCAACAACGACGGCGAGCTTGGCGATATCTTCATCTTCCCCTCCGGAAACATCGTCTCATGGTCTGTCCCCTCTCCGCGCGTCTCCTCACTAGCAAACACCCTCCTTCCCGCCGCCGAAAAGGCACAAACCAACGAAGTCGAGACCGAAGACCTCGAATACATTGAAGACCCTCGCCTCCGCCGTTCCCGTGTCGGCGGCGACATCATCATCCTCGGTACCGCTCCCTCTATCAACTACCCCCTCACCGAGCACACTGCCGATGCCCCAACCAGCACCCCGAGCACTGGGACCACCACCAGCAGCAGCAGGCCCTCGGCGCCCCCGACGAGCTCAACATCACGCTCGCCAAGATCGCCTTCTCATCCGGCCTGGCCCGTAGCACAAAGCTAGCCGTGCTCGAGAGCCTGCTGAATGAGTACCTTGCCGGCACGAGCACAATCCCCACGCTACTGAGCCGCGGCAGCAGACTACCGTTCACGCGCAGCTTTATCTTGCGCAAGACGGGCGAGCTGCTGGAGTTCCGCGCGCAGCTGAATCTGTATTCTGAGTTGACGGACTCACTGCCTGATATATTCTGGGACTCGCGGCACGAGTTGGGGCTCGAGGGGTATTATGAGAGTGTGGGGAGGGCGCTGGATGTCAATGTGCGCATAAGACAGCTGAATGAGAAGCTGGACTATGCGTCGGGGATTGTGGAGGTGCTGCGCGAGAGGCTGAGTGAGAAGCATTCGCTGGGGTTGGAGTGGATGATTATTTTATTGATTACTGTGGAGGTTGGATTTGAGGTGCTAAGGTTGTGGAAGGAGGGGAGTGTGGAGGAGAGGGAGGAGAGGGAGTATAGGAGGTGGAAGGAGAGGAAGGAGAGGGAGGAGGATGAGGAATATCGTAAGTGGAAGATGATGATGGCCCAAATCAAGGAAAAGTGAAACGGCGATTTGAAAAAAGGGAAGGGTCAAACCGCCAAACTAGTAACTGGCTGGCTGGCCACCGTACGTTGGACAGACTTGGTTGATGATGATGGCTCATTTATGAATGGGTCTGTCCGGATATAATATGGGAAGTAAAGGTTCTCCCCTCAGAAAGCGTCGCATCAAACAATGCAACACCAGAAGTGTAAGTAATATACTGGAACGGTGACTATTATAAACCAAGAATGAAAAGTGACCTGGACCTGGTAATGATTATATCCAGTCTTATCGCTGGGTTTGGCTGAGCATCTCGGAGCTGGTCAAGCATGAGCTACTGCTGGTATTACACGAATCAACAAATCAGAGCCCATAACCACGGACTATGTGGTTTCGATTTACTCATGTCTACAATTCTTGGGCGCCCGCGGTCCCAGCATGTTCGATCCTTTTTCGTGGAAAGCTTTAGTCTATCGCAACCTATGGGCGCACAGATAGCCCTCAATCCTTAACACTTTCTAAAGAAAAGAAGAAAGAACCCTAACCCACCGTGGATTGCTCCAACCGTAGCGTCGACGGCCCCCGCCCCAAACAAAATTGAGACCGGAGAACCAGAGATGAAGCCATGTTTCCAGCTCAAAAGGATTTTGAGCCTGGGAGATCAAGGGACTCGGGAGAGGTAGCATGTGCTACTGAGAGTGGTACTCCCAGCTGGCGATTGGCCCCCAAAAGCAGCACTAGAGTTTTAAGATGAGGGGAAACTGGCGAATTTATAGGAAATATTTATTGCCAAGACGGGTTTGTTTTGGCCGCTCTTCTATCAAGATAAAATGTTGGTATAGATGGAAAAAAATCTTTCGGGGACCTTTAACTTTCACCTGGCGCCCTCACTATTGAATAGAGCCCAATTAGGAATCTTTTAGGTCACAAAGGGCGCAGAAGTAAGCTCAGGTGGTCATGAGATGGTCCGATTGACTGCAAAGGCCCGGGTACGCTGTGCTCGAGCTATGTGAGATCGACGATAGAAGCTTATAGAGGATAGAAAATAATTTAGAACCTTAAATTTTCCAGATCCTAGGCTGTATACTATACATGCCTCTCTGGTAGAACAAAGTGACGACCCTTGTGATCATTGTATTCCGTCCGACCCCGCCATATCAATTAACCACATTTCCAGAGCGGCGCCTGTATCGGAAGGCACGTAAGTCCTTTGCTCTGCAATCTAGACCACTATTACTTAAAAGAAGATGTACTTTACTACATTTAATTTTATTGCAACATGCCTCGGGGGAACCAAACCCACCTCCTCTGGCAATTGTCCTACTGAAACCCGATCCGGCGCATTACCGGAACTGTTGCGTATACAGTGGCTGCTGGAGCGGATTGTAGAGACCCATTTCCCGCTATTGATTGCAGATAAGATCTAGAGAGATAAAGAGATCTACTAATGAGCCAGGGTTATTCCATCTCGGCGTCTGCCTTAGGGTGCACAGGGCGACATCTTCATTTGTCCCGCTCACGTAGGCCTGTGAGCGTGATTGATCCCCTATACAGCCCGAGCACAGGTGACCGCCTTATGTAAAGTACGCGGGCAGACCTTCCCATCAGCTCCAAGACCACATATCTCATCTATTCTTTTTGTTTTTATCCGTGGATTTTGTTGGGTTGCGCCTGTGGTTCATGAAATATCACTCGTTGGGCTAGAGAATGACAACCCCAGCTGGCCCAGGGTCAGGGTTGGTCCTAGATAATGCAAGAATGTACACACCAGCGCGCACATCCCTGACCCAAGTGCATTCTTAAGACAGCTGTCAAGGAAAATTATTCCAATAGAAGAAACCGGGAAGCTCTATTTTGTTCCGGAGTTGATGTGGAAGGATATCTTCACGAGGTGCGTAACATTTGTTGACATGGTTCTATCTGTCTTCATACGTCTATGCTCTTGCTAATTGTAGTTAGTTAGTAACTTGATGAGTTCAAGTTGTTTGATCGATGAGTTTTATCAGGATAAGGAGGAGGAAGTCTTGAAATCCAAGGGCTAGGGTTCCGCTTCATCTTGGCATACCACCAAGGCTAAATATCACTTCCCACACAATACCAACAAGGGCGAGCGGTCTAACGGTTTAGACCCAGCGTCGGGTGAGACACTGTGTGTTTGCTCAGGACCGCGAGGTCCTGGGCTCGAACCTTCAAGGAGTGGGGGTAGTGACGGGCCGCCGTTGCAGTACCTTTTGTTCTTTTTGTGTAAACAGAGAGAAATAATACCCGGGGGGCTGTTTTAATTTTGATTTCTCTACAGGAAGGATGGAAGAAGAAGTCGGAAATGTTAGTTTCCAAAGTACGTGTTTCCAAAGTACGTGTTCGTTCTTACCACGCTTAGTCACTTATCATATCCTCACAATATATCACTCGGAATCGTAACATGAATTATCCACCATCCATCCCCCTTGCTTCATCCTCCATCCAAGAGTTTGCAAGAAGATGAAGAAGAAATGGCATTGTCAAGAATCAATCTTAAATTCCCTGTAGTACTAGCTAAATTGTTCAGCCTCGCCTATCCCCTTGTATTATCTCACGTCATCCATTGCAACTCCACGCCGTCAAACTCCGCGCCTCAGTCGGCCTCCCAGACAGACAACGTGCTCACCCACCTCATCGCAACCCCGCTCCCATGGCAACCCCGCTCCCATAGCAACCACCGACTTCATCACAACCCACCTATATGTGCACGTTGTTATCAACCCGTACCAAGTCCCTCATGGCTACGCTATTTTGCTATCAGGGACACGCACCCTCTAGATATATCTTAGATGTACGCTCAGTCGCATAGCGTCTAGGAAAACTCCATGTATAGCGATCATCGGCATGGCAGCTAAGGAAAGCTCGCGTCAGGTATGGGGTTACCATAGCTATCGCTAGCAAATGCAAAGCGGTAGTAAGTGAAACCCCGCTCTTGATCGGGAGTAGAAAGACAGGGTTTGGTGTATTCGACTAATAAGTACTAGAGTTCTCGTTTTTCCTCCGAAAAACTTGATTCAAAGGCCTGTCATATTCCGTTCAGGAACACATACCATCCAAAGACATTCTTGGAGCGAATGTTAACACGGAACCGCCTCGAGGCCAGTGGGCGACAATAGGAAATTGATATTTCTGGAAGGATTGAGGGATTGAGAGAACAACCGAGTAGCTGTCTGTGATTAACTCTAGAGGAGACCATGAGAATCTCTTCTGGTTTTGATAAGTATTATCTGTTTACGACACAGAAAAGAGAGAGGGGGGGAAACTTATATGTACGGTTAAAATCCGCGGGAAAAGGTGGTGGTAGTTTCAGGTTAGCCCCTGATGTGGCTCGTTGGCTCTAAGTTAAGCGGGCGTCGGTCTACGCTGGAAGAAAAAAGCTTATTATACGTACCGTTGACCTGAAGGGACAGTCCTTTCCTCTGACATTGCTCTCATTCACAAAATCTCACTCGGCATACCCAAAGCGGCATATGCTGTTTCACAAATTAGATTTCTGTGTCACCACACTCACGGCTCGAGCCGCAAGATCAGCTGTCAGCTGTTGATCACAGATCGCACCTGATTGGCGGTTACAGAGCCTCAGAAGAAACGAGGAACTTGGCAAAGAAGGGGGGAGAGCTTTTCCGACAGGGAAACACTTTCCCCAGAATTTGACAAAAACAACAACACAGATAATTCCAAGACCTGAAGATATAAACCACAAAATCAACCTGGTTGCTAATAGGACCAGGCTTAAAAACAAACAGAAATCAGGGAACGTGGCGACGGAAACAGGCGCTCTAGATAAATATGTTAAGATAGCTACATATATTTGGCTCATCGATCCCCTTTTTACATCCCCATAGATTCAACTTGACAGTAAATAATAATTTTGAGTTTTTCTGGGAAGCTTGAACGAATAAATAACAAGACAAAGTAGACCCGAGAGAGAAAAAGCGCCCTTTACCCCCCCGCCCCTGAATAGTAACATACCATAGATAGAAAATATGATAATAAGTATAGATAACTTATGCCTTGCCAAATGCCCACCCACCCATTCCACCCACCATTGAAAAGAAAGAAAGAATAAAACACCAACCGCCATGAAGACTCCGTGAAGGATCACTGTAAGATGTTGATGCCGAACAAGAGGAAATTTGAACGGGAATTATTATGTAAACACAATGCAACGCTAATTTAATCTCAGATACGCTAAGAAAAAACACATAAGAAGGAAAGGAGAGAAGAAAGTGGTGATAAACGGAATAGAACTTTATGTGGCTATACTTCTCAAGAGTATCGATTCAAAGATGGTCTTCAGGAGTGTTGGCGATGTAGTATTGGGAGTGTTGTAGTGAACTATTGATGGAAAATGACCTAAATCAATTGCTCTTCCTCTCATCCTCACCAGTCTCAGGGTCGGATTCCTCATCATCGTCTAAGATACGCGAGTTAGTGGTTGGCCTGTTCTATTTTGGGGGGAGTAATCGTACCGAACGTCATCTCCTCGTCGCTGTCGTCCTCGCCAAAGTCGCTCTCCATCTCAGACTCGCACCAAAAGTCGTCATCAACCTCTTCCTTCTCTGGTGGGGCGCTCTCTACAGTCAGAGGCATATGGAATCCCTCTGGAATGTCTCTCCTAGAGGCCTCGACGTTCTCCCGAACCACCTTCTTGTAGCCCTCTGGGTCTTTTCGCAGCATGACGCCAGCGTCAACATTGGCTGCGCTTGAGACCTCGGCATCGTCCAGAAGGGATAGGATGGAGATGAGGACGGTGAATATGCGCTGCGCTGGCGACCAGCGTTCCTAAAAGTCAAAGTTAGATAATCTGCCTCTTACGTAACAGATAAAGAACGGTCATGTGAACGTACCGACGGAAGTTCTCCTGATGTCTCGTCTTCGCCTGGTGCGTGGAGGATGGAGATGCATAGCTTGCCGTCCTTGTAAATATTCGGGTGGAATAGTGGGCGGGCGAAGCGGAATTCGGGTGGGCTCATAGGGTAGTTTTTCGGGATTTTCAGTTCAGCCTGGCAGTAAAAAAAAAACACTCAGTTAATAAAACTGGTAACCAAAGGCACATGAACACGGGGGCGAATCATACCTTGAGATAGGCACCCGAGTACAACGAGGTCGGATTTACGACGATCAAGGCGACGTCCCAGAGGAATAGATTTCCATCACGTGGCTGTCCGTAGAAAATAGAATCGTTAGTACCCTGAAGGGTGGCATCTGGAGTTTCGTGGGAAAAAAGAAGTTATCGGACTCACCTCGACGTCCACCCAGTTTTCCTTTTGCAACTCTTTCAACTCGTTCATGAGCATACGCTCCGCGATCTTTCGTTCATCGGAAGACATTTCGGGGTTGTTGTTATATCGAGAGGCTAATTCCCAAAGCGAGGGGGTTGCTGTTGGTGCTGGGAGGAATGCCACACGGACTATATCTGTTTTGTGCTTTGACGTTGTATAGTTACAGAGAGAAGCAATAGAAGCTGCTAGGGATGATGATATCCAGAAGGAATAAGTAGAATGTTTGTGGACAAAATCAAAGGGAGGGTGCGGCCTTAAGAAGGTGTTTGGGAGTGATCACGCGAGGGGAGAGAAGGATGGTGAAGAGAAGGAAGGAGGTGGGCACGCCGCCGTATAAGTGATGCAGATTCTCTCTGCGTTAGTGGAGGCGGAGGCGGTGATGGGTCTGAGCTAAACTAGTCAACCGTTGTTCTGGGTGGGGGACCGTGGAGGGTAAGAGGCTTGGTGAAGGAACAGTTTACTGGAGGGAAGGAGAGGATCTATGTAAGAGGAGAGGAAGAAGCCGGGAGTGAAGGGGCGCCCAGTGCGGAGAGAACTGTTGGGCTGTAGGCTATCGTGCTTGCTGGCTGGCTTGCTGGCTTCTAGTATCGTGGGGAATGACCTGCAAATCCCTCCACTCCCATTCACTACAACCCACACCCTGCAAACCTCATATCATTCCCATGGCACAGTATGTACATGTACCTACTATGGAGTGCACCACTGGCACGTACAGCCGCATTTGAAAAGTATTGGCACCTCCGAGCCAAACTCACGAGGCAGTCCTTTCTGCTTTTCAATTCTCATATTCGAGACAATTGCCAGAGAGAGCTGCAATGTCTCTATTGCGGTCATACCTATCAATAAGTTGAGTATGCGCGAGTGCCATGGTTTTTGGTGGGCCACAATTCATGAACGACTCAATATAGTAGGGTGCCAATACTTTTCGAATGCGGCTGTACATGTGCCTTACAATGTCATACATACTTCTATATCACCGATATCACCTATCGACTCTAGAGTTCCCTCCACATGTACGTATCTTCTGCCATACCAGTTACTCCGCACTACATTCCCTCATCCCTCATATTTGAAGGCCATTTCCACGGGCCGATAACACTCCTCTGCGCACTGACTGCAGCAAGACACAAACAGGCGCAAACACTCTCTGCAAACTCAACATGAATCGAGTGACCCCGCCGACGATAGAGTGGAGACTATGAATTATTATTATTACGCGGGTACGGGTGCACATCGGTTTAAGACACCACCACCGATTGCCGCCGTGATCTTGCTACCCCCGAGTCATACAACATCTCCCGGCAGCCGCCCCTCGCTTCGACTCCTGATCCTCCCGGTCGAGTATCGGTGAGTGAATGAGGGGAAGACTGAATCCGAACATCCAGGAACACATATCTGGATAGGGTAGGGCACATAGGAATCGTGAACCTCTTTGTAAGGTACCTCTGATCTGAGTTGATACAACAATCACTGTTATCGGAGCTCCCCCCCAATCCTTGACACCAACCCTCCACTCCCGGCAAAGTGTGTGTATGATTATGCAGGCCATGCAGGCCTTTATAAAAAACACCCCTTTCCCTTCCGGGTATCTGCCTCCTGCAGTGGAAACCAGCTGGAAACCGAGGAGCTTTTCCATCCTGTTTCCTTTCGTGGCGCAATAAAGAAAATCGCATATAAAACTGGGAATATCGCTCAATCTGCTTACCTGCGGTTCGTTCGTTCTTTTGGCCGGCGTGCGATTCGAGCCATCACAATCGTCTGCACAGCTGGCTGGCTTGAATTTCAATTTTATTTGATGAATAAATAAAATCAAGTAATAAAATCAAATTTTGCACAGCCCTTTAAGAAGGGATGATCATATCTGCGTGTTCGAGGTTTGAGGCGCTCCGTTTGTTGATACCGTGGTTCCTAGATTTGTGATGGTTACCTAGTGGTTGGTTCTTAATCATAGACTATCACTCGTGAGAATTTTCGACAGTGGTCGGCTTTATCGGGGAGGCTTAGCTAGCTCCGCCTGCAGCCCCCCTCAATTGATTTGTTACCAAATATAAAGCCGAGAAGTATATGTAGTCATCATAGCGCCTCATCTACTAATTTTCTGAGCTTATCGTGCTGCAGGCGCGGGAGAGTGGCACTAGTAATCCAGGGTTGGGCACGTACCTACACAAGCAGTTGCCTGGAGCACAACATCGTCATATAAAACGTTTCAAGTACCTACAACGTCATAGGAATTTCAGCACTTCAGCCTAGAGATCAAGCTCTACCGTTGAAACCTCAGTAGCCAAACTTCACGTGATCCAATAATTGAAGTGGCACTTACTACATAGTAAATAGTGGGGTAAATCCATCTCACTTCTCATAGCACAAGGACGATTTAACTCTACGTCACACTCTGGAGGAAAATAGAGATTTCCACCGATCAAAGGGCTCGCATTCGTCACTGGAAGAGGAGTGAGGTCAATGACCTCGTGGTAGGGGTTGAGAGTCCATTTCCCATGGGCCAGCGACTACAACTAATAAGGCCTATTCAAAATACCACAAGTTACTCCGGTAAACGGAATGATTATAGTATTAAATCCACCGGCAGAACCTGTATCGTCAGTTTTGTGTTGTTCAAACCGGAGAAGGGCATGAAACTGAGGCACTATGGATATGTACAGCCAAACCCTTTTGCACTGGTCTAGGCCTGAGTCTTAATATCTTGTGCCAGACTGGTCTGTCTCAGATTTTAAATAACCTATAGTTATATTTGACGCATTGCACCACCTTGAAGTAACAATTATAGCTATCGCTAACTTGCGGTGTCAATGGTTGCCCTGACCAAGCTCAAATAGAAGAGGGATGGTACCCCCCATCCCAAATAGGCCTTACAACTGTGCAAGATCTCTAGAATACTTTCACGAGGACTGTTAGAATGTGTTCAATATGCCCTCTGCAACTGCCTGGTAATTCATGTAGAATGTCGAGTCTCTTATTGTAAAAATCCAAACCTGGCGCACCTTTTTGGGCTCTTTTCACGGTCGTTTTAAACCCATACTCTTTAAATGTATGTATGCGTTGTCCTTAACTTTATAACTGTGCCAATATATAGCTCGTTGGTTCGTTCATCACTCTTGTGAAGTCACATCAAAGAAACACATGTTAAATTGAATGCTTTGGACACTTAACTAGTCTATAAGTATTCCGACTTTAATCACCTCGTCAACAATGCCTAACTCTAATACTACTCTATTTTAAATATAGTAAATCGGACCTGAACTTCGTAAAATAAAAAAAATATACACCTCAAGATGGCTTTTTAACTTTGTTTTCGGGAGCTTATTTGGCCCTCCTCCGCGTGGGTTAGGTATGATATCGATTAGATCTAGTACTCTGACATTAATGGTCATGAGAGCCGGATATATAGTAGGATGTTAGGGTTTAGCGAAGATTTTCTGGTCTATTTTCTTCTATAAAATAGTAGATTAACAAATCCCAGACGTAAAAGGACGATCTTCGACAGGAGGGTCGGGCAAGCTAGAAGGTAAGCTGCAGGTAGAATGTTCTAATAACTACTTAAGTGCTTGTTGGCACCATGTGTTTTTGTTTGTCTATAAAGATCGAATACAGCGAGCAAGAAATTACCAGTTTTCAAAGCCTCAAATGTAAATATTATTCATATATATATGGAGGCCCGGGAGCCCAGTGAGATGTTTCCAGCGTGTTCACGAATTTAAACTCATGATATCAGCTACAGAACTACAAGTACGCCTCTTTTCTGTTAGTATAGATGCGTATTTTACTTTAATTATTACGAGATCATAACTTACTATCTATACATACATGTAGCTTCGTACATGTACATGCAGTAGATGATCCACTCATTACCCAAGCCATGCACACATCTAGTCCGATGGGTCAGTTAAATATTCGCCATCTGCCGCTGCGCAGATCTCCGGAGCAATTAAGGGACTGTGCGCTGTGAATGTGCGCTGACAGGTCTCTACATGCATGTAGCTATATAATATTTAAAGTTTAGTGCCGGTATTTAGGACATGTGTTACCAAGCCTACATGTAGCTAAGCTCTCTGCGGCGGGCTCTTGTTCTAACCCTCAAATCACTGTTATCAGCACGACATACGTTTGCCTTGTCTCAAGCGTCCGATTTTTTTTTAGCTAGACTTTATGTTTTACCAAACTTACTTTCACGCCAAGACCTAGGATAGCTCTCGAAAAAAAAAGTCACATATCATGCCAGGGAAAGGAACAAACTCTTGATAAGTCTCCCTTCGACCCAATACCATCATTACATGGACCTATAATGAGCGATCAACAATATCTTTCTTGCGGACCGACACGAGAATATATCGAGAGCAATTACAGCCAGAGGTATCTCCCTTCCTGATGTCAACTAATTGCGAAACAGAGCTCGAGATGGTTTGACTACATGTATGTAGTATCGGGTGACATGGGCTTTGTATGTATCCATCCAGGTACTTGTCGTTCCACGTCTGGTGGCGTTCAGTATTTCGCGGATATATGTAGCTCCGAACACCCTGTCGGACGGGAAACGTGGGCTTACTCTACATGTTACTAAGTATGCTCGGGTCTGGTCGAGGTATCATGAGATGGCTAAAACTCAGTCTTGGAGTGAGACCAAGTGTAGTCTACACAATACGTTGATCGTCACTCGTCTCGTCCAATTGCTTCATTCCGACCAGAACTCAAAAGCGATATCGATCTTACTGCGGAAACGATCTTATACATCATACATCCAGCTATGAATATGTATACGCACGTTATCCCCAAACCAAAAAAAAAAAAAAAAAAAAAAAAAAAAAACAGGCCCCCAAGCCACCCCCAGCAGAACAGCTACAACACACACACAAAATAACTTACAACTCAGGCCCGTCTGTATAAGTCATGCAGTACAGTTCAGAGAATATATATCAAAAAAGGACTCCCCACAAAATTTTAACGCCAATGCCACCCACCGCTTTCCAGGTTACATTATGATTTCCAAGCCTTTCCCGTTGCCATCTGCAAGAAAGAAAAATCTCTTACTGCCTCTTAACGACCTCCTCCTCCTCGTCGCTAATCAGCCCGTCTAACTCAAACTCCTCCGCGTCCGCAATGCGCCGGTGCTCCCGTTCGCCTGCATATCCGTTTGCGGTGTTGGGTGTCTCCAGCGAAACGGGGATGTACTTCTTCTTCTCCTCGGGCTTGTTCACAACAAAGAGGTTGATAAGAACCATGGTGACTATCGCACATCAACACCTATTAGTTTCACTCCTACGCAACCAACAAAGCTAACAAAGGTGGGGTGGATTGGGGAACTCACAAAGATACAACAAAAACGCCAAGCTATATAACACGAGCAAGTAACTAACGTGATCGATGCCAACCGCATCCACGAGCGCCAATTGCTCCTCGTTTGCGCTCATAAAGATAAAGCCGCTCGCAAACAATAAATATGGCGGCAAATGCTGCCAGCTATTAATCTCACCCGTATCCTTCCTTGAGCCTAGCGTCGGCTTATCCTTCACCACAAATGCAATTTCGATGATCCTACTCAACCCAGCCGCCATCAGGGTGTATCCAAACACCTGATGGACCATTGTGCTGAGCATAAGGTGCTGGGGATGCGCGCTCATGGCCCAGCCCGTCAGGAAAATGACAATACCCGGTACCAGGTTGCGCTTATTGCCACGGGAGAGCCATAGGCCAAGAAGACCCGCGCAGGCCCAGACAATGCCCATGGACGTGTGTTGGATGTCGTTGTGCGCCCAGTTGTTGCCCCAGCGGTGCTCGGTGAAGGTGTTAATGATACCCCAGATTGTAATGACGAGGGAATCCCAAAACTCCTGCGAGCGGCCGGTGCGGGCGAGCCAGGCCTGGCCAACAAAGAGCATTAATGTCATGATCATGCCGTAGGCAATGAAGGAGCTGCCCATTATCTATTTTTTGGTTGTTAGTGGTACATGCACGGACAGGCTAGCTACTAGAGGGGTAATGATCGGAGACTCACGAAATGCGCTAGACACTGGCCCGTGTGGTCTGCATGGCAAAAGCCCATTCTGAACACAAGAAGAAAAACTCGTTAATACAATTATTTACCCACCATCACCACCAACACCACCGGGGAGAAAAAAACTCACGCTGTGATACCACCAAACAACATTTGTGTCCACGCTACCAAGGGCATGAGCTTCCCTATGACGCCATGCGTTTTGACCACCACGCCCCTCGCCCTGCCATGCCATCCCTTCTCCAGATGGCACTTGAGGTACACGCCGCCGGCGACCTGCATGCAAAGCATGAGCATGAGCGAGTTGGCGAACTTTGCATGTATGTTTGGCGCAAACTGGCGGCCCTTGTGCATGTGGCCCAAAAAGTAGCCCACGACGGCGATAGAGGTGCCGAGCACCTGCACGGGGACGTGCCAGCGGCTGCGCACGATCCCGAGCACCATCCCCGTCGGGAAGATGACCCCGAAGGAGGCGAGCATGGCGAATATGTGCAGCCAGAGTATGCTGTCAAGGGGGTCCGGCGAAATTACGGAGCCCTCGGGAACGGCGTCGGAGGCATGTTCGTGGGCGCTGGCGCCGCGGGCGAGTAGCATGGCGGCGGCGGCGGCGAGCAGCCCGCCCCGGAGCGTGCTACTGCTGTTGGGCATTTTTTGTGGTTGGTGGGACGGACTTGGTAGTCTGTTTCTGGAATTCCGAGGATTTTCTGGAGCTCTCTCTCTTTGCTTTTGCCTTTACAACTGGGCTCGTGCAGGAAAGTGAATGGATGGATAGATATTTGCCCAGACCGGACTGCAGCAGGTGTGTGGGTAGAACAACGACAAGACTCTTAGCAGTGACTGAGGGGGTGGGTGGGTGGGTATATCTGTGTGATATTCCGCAGCTCAGCAGTAGAACTGTTTCGTGGGTACGTAGTACTGAATAGTGAGTGTATGGAAGATATCAACAACAACACCAACGTACAACAACAACACCTGTCAACAACAACAAGAGAGGCCTTGATAGATTGCGAGGACATTCCCCCGGCGTTATGTAGCTGACCGCTGACCGCTGCCCTCGCTTCTCCCAGCCCTTGCGCACAGGAAAAGCCGAACACCCGAGCCGCAGGAAAAAGAGAAGGTCGAGGCTTGGCACCTTCTTGATACTTACCAGGGTCACGTGATTGGCTGGAATAGCAGTAGTAAGCTAATCAATGATTAATCACCGTTGAGAGCCATGTGTTGCTCGCTGCCTTATCGAGATGGGCTGAGAATGAGATTGGAGATAGCAGATCCCGGCCCGTTTTGTGTGTTCTTCTGAGCACGGTTCAGCGTCCACTCAGCGCGGGGAATTAGTAAACGTGCGAGGGTGCCGGTAGCGAGTGTTACTTTGCTTGTATCTACATATGTGGTTTAGTCCGCACGGGACTAATATGTGCAGGATATCATTACCCCCCTCCCCAAACCAAATCCGCCCTCTATATAAAAACTCCATTAAAAATCACAACCATAGAAAAAGAATATTCACAACCACAAATAAAAACAAAAATCTAATAAAACTGCACTACGCACTATGGTGCCGAAGAAATCTCATTCAGCTTCTGCAGCACCAGCGATAGTGACTTGTCCTTGAGCACCTTATTCTCCGCCGCCGTGAACTTGCCCAGCACATAGTCGCTCACCACCTGGCTGTCACGGCTCACCGGGCGCCCAATGCCAACCCCGATCCGCGTAAAGTCCTACACCGGAAACACAAAGACACCGTCAGCACAACACATCCCCCAAATCCCCAATCCCCATTTCCCAATCCCCATTCCCCAAACACAACGTCAAACCCTCCCACCCCCTCAAATAAAACTCAAAACATACCTTCGTCCCCAACGCCGCAATAATACTAATCAGCCCATTATGGCCCCCCGCGCTCCCCGTCCTCTTGACCTTGACGGCGCCCAGCGCAACCTCCATCTCGTCATGCACAACCACCAGCACCGCGCGGTCCCGCTCCGCGGGGTCGAGACCGGACAGGAATGTGCGCCACGCGCGGTTGACGCCCGCGCCGGAGATGTTCATGAGCGACTTGCTCTGCCAGAGCGTGTAGGTGGGGTCGGCGTCGTGGGTTGCGAGGTCGCCGCTGTGTGGCTTGCTTTTGCGGAAGGGTGTGTGGCCGAGGGTGTCGCGGAGGAGGGTGGTGATGGTGTGGCCTGCGGAATGGCGGGTGGAGAGGTAGGCGCCGGGGTTGCCGATGGAGCAGACCTGGAGGGGGGGAGTTAGCGGGGGAGGGGAGAGCGGGGGAGGGGAGCCCCGGGGGGGGGGGGGGATGGGGACATACGAGAACTTTGCGGTCCATTGAGATGGGTGTATTATGAAAAGATCTAGAGAGTGTGATTATGGTGGGAGGGAGCGTAATTGTGGTGGGGGGGAATCGGCAGAGGGTGCGGGTGAGGAGGTGCATTTTAAGGGTGGTTTTTTTTTGGTTGGTTTGACTCTTTGAGTTTGATGGTGATGATGCACTGCCGGCGGTTGGAATACTATGACGCATGGGTAAGTCAGTCAGTCAGTGACGGTGTTTGATACATACATAGCCCCCCCGGGCTTGAGCGCCATGGAACAGTGAGTACATCTTGTGAAGTGACTCAACTAGCTAGCTGGAGGTATCATACCTTCTTTGTAATTGTAGCGCGTGGTAGTGTAGTCTGGGTATTTCGTGATTATCGATTTAATTTTTTTGTCGGCGCTGCGCAGTCGCAGTCAAAGTCAAGTTCGAGTCATGATCAAGGTTTAGGTTGTGAGTTTAATTTTTTGATATCGCGCATTAGTCATCACGCCGGCGCCCCGCGCTGTGCTGCAAGCTGCAGGAAAAGAAAAAAAAAAGTTCATCTCTTGGCCTGCGGACCGCGCGCGGTCGTGCCCTTCCAAAAAATTCCAAACCGATCTGCGAGCGCACGGGCACGGACGGTCTTCTAGAAGAAGGTTAAATTTTTTTTTTTGCGTGCTTGGCGGGTGGGATGAGGGATGTGGGGGTTGTGATCATTGACGTCGTTGTACTGATGATGTTTCGGTGTTTCGGTGTTTGTGAGTTGGCGGGTTGCTTGTAAACATGTCTGTAGCCAGCTGTGTAGCTATGTAGGTGGAGATGTTTCGAACTGTTGTTTCGGACAGGAGACGAGTCAGCAGTGAGGTGGCAGAGCAAGTGTGTAAACGTGCTCTTCTAGGTACATCTCTATCTATATCCATACATGTAGATATGCACGGTATCTGCGCTGGCCATGGTACTACTCTAAACTGATCTACTCCCCTGACTATCTCAGCTGCATATCTCCAGATCTGGATCTCGCTGGATCTGCCTGCGCACCATACAAGCTTGCCTCCCAGGGCGGCCAATTATGCTACCTAGGATTAAACTTTCTGTAGCGACACTTTAAACTTTTACCCCGTGTATAGCGTGCGCAAAGTGCAGTTCTACACTTTTGTCCCCCCCCCAAGGCTTTCCGAGTCCAAAAGTTAGGGCTGAGGAGCTAGAGGGTAGAGGTAGAGGGGGGGCGGTTTCATTTGTGTTGACTGTTGCCTGAGGGCATCGATCATGCAACACCCGTAACTGTACCTACATACATCCGGCATCCAATGAGGGCGGAAATATCTACGATATCGATCTGGACGCAACATCTCGCAAGGTGTTGAGACAGCACTGCGGTAGGTACCTACATACATGTAGATAGAGTAGAGCATAGAGTACAGAGAGAAATCCGCCTCACTGAGGCCTCTGGCTAGCTAGCTAGATAGAGTTATGCAGCGCCGGCATGCAGGTCTGGTAGAGTACCGGAATATTCACCACGTGAAAAAGCCACCCGCAGCACTCGGTCAAGCTCCAAACGTCAAAAAAGCTTAATCGCCTCCCCCCACGCGGGCCCCGGCTCGGACCCTGAGTATACTGTATGTAGAACGGAATAGGGAGGGTATGGAGGACATCGGACGAAGCCAAGTGCCGCCGGGCGGTCGCACAACATCCAGAGAAAGACGCCGCCTCGTTCTTCGCAGGATATTAACGATCGCAGCCTTCGCTCGCCTCGCTCCTCCCCTTCCCCGCGGCGGGAGTGGAGATTGCCGAGTCGAGTAGGTAGCTGGAGGGTGGAGTCGTGAAGTCGAGCGGTGCGCAGGTAGGCAGGCAGGAATAGTAACCACCTCCTCTGCTCTAACTCGCTTGCCTTGCATTGATACGACGATGGGGGGGGGGGGGGGGCGGGTCTCTACTCTGGTGGTTCAAGAAGGCTTCCTGCCGTTTTCAGCGCACAGCAGAAAAGAAAGAAGAAATGTTTTCCCGCCCTAGCTGTGCGATGTGATTGGATCGTCAGAACTCAAAAAAATGCCACTCCACTCCTTCCCCTAGAGCTATTTATAGCCAGCCTTCTTCATCATCCTCGCTTGTGCTTGTGCCTGTGGTACGAGAGCAAAAATGGTGGAGTGGAAAAGCAGAAAGTGGGAAAGACAGCCATGATTCGTCGCACAGGGAGATTGTGGGACCGTGGTTTTGGGTTTTTTTTAATGCCACAGCCTGCGGGAGGGGGGGGGGGGGGGAGAGCTCGAGGGGGAGGAGAGAGAGAGTTATAAATAAAACAGCAAAGTAATTTAAGTCGATAACATAACCATAAACGAGCCACAAAGTATGTATAAACGAAGCACGTAACACCGATGCATGAGCAATTGGCATAACACGGCGAATATACGATACGATACACGATACACGATAGGACGACTCGGGAGATGAGAGTGGTACAGACAGTGTGTGGAGTAGTTATGTATGTTGGTCATTGATATCGTATTGGATTATTGATCATCATCCAGAACCTACCTACCTACCTACTCCACTCGATCCATCCATGGCCGTGAGGTGTTGCAATTGAGGCACAGACAGCTTTCTAGCTAGACATGAGCTCTCCCCAGTCACAACTGAACCCTACATCCCCCCAATTCCCGACTCGACTTCCGGCTTTCCAGGTCCACACATGTATGTACGCACTCGAGTCCAAAACACCTGATGGTTAGGCACATACGATCTCGTATCGTCCCGTGCGTGGGGTATTTTTACACGACTCCACCCTGCGCTGCACAGCGGACCAGACGAACCGGATATCCGAAGAAGACGACGAAGACGACGACGAATGCCCCCCCGCCGGGCGGGCCGGGCGGGGTTTATCCGAGATCGACAGTTAGATGGTTAGATGTGCAGCTAGCTATATAGAGTCATTGGGGGGATTAGAGGTTATCGATTGGCGGGGCCGGTGTTTCGGAGTTTGATTGGGGAGGCGCGAGGTATTGGGGGGGGGGGGGGGGGGGGGAAGGATGGAGAAGTGATGATAATAGGAGTTTGAGGTATTTTGGGGGGTTTGTGGGTGTCTCTAGTAGATGGATGGGGTTTGTAGAGTCTGTGCACGGCGCGTGTGTGTGTGGGGATGTGGGAAAGTTGCTCTATGTATCAGATACTCTACTTGATATTGGGGGTGTTCCGGGATGGGATGGGATGGGATACATATGGAGCTTTGGTGGGCGGTGTTCTGTTCCTAATAACGGGTCTTCTTGGCTATGGAGGGTATTTGGAGTCTACTCTTGCATCTACATATCTACAGGGAAAGAAAGTAAAAAGTCGATATGGGAAAAAGTATAACCATGGTATTTAATATTTATGCTTCAACCCTTCCTTCCCCCGCAGCAGCTAGCTATGCGGTTGCCCCATTCAGGACCCTCGAAACATATCACCTTCAAGGAGAAGAAGCTTGATTTAGCCTTATATAATAATGCAGCATCCGCAAGGGCTGTCGGCGCTTTTTTTCTTTCTTTTTTTCGTGGATGAAATCAAATCATGGGAAAGGTTGTGCAATTGTTTCCCTGTAGGAGTATTTTAGCCTTCCCGGGACCTCCCAAACGCTTATTCTTGTTTTTCTGGATTATGCCCGTCCTCGGTGCTTAGTATAGTACTGCGGTAGACGGTTGTTCCGAGACACCATCTCTGGTTAATCCGAGAGGTTCAAAGGAAGGAGGGCTGTATGTAGAAAAGTAACGCAATAGTAATAATTGCCACTTTGAGTTTAGGTCCCAGATTTTTGGGGGGATCAATGATACGACCTCCCCCAACACGCTTAGTCAGGATGAAAGGGGAACAAAACACCGTCATGCAGATCCATGGAGTCTAGCTGACACACATCGAGACTTGTCGCTCAGACAGCAAGATGTCGACATGTGGGGTATAATAATTTCCGACGAGGGATGAAAATAGGTAGTGACGTTTTTGTTCTTGTTCAAAATGATGGATTTGTAAAAAGCAGCTCAGCACATGCTGGAGCCAGCTCCCCACCCACCACCACCCCCCGCCCCGCCCCACCGCCTGGCTGGTAACTGTAAATTGTTGAGACGCTTGTAAATTGCAAGGCATGTTCGGTAGGTAGCTCCCCGCGGCGTAAGCAGCATGTAAGTCGCAAAAGATGCAACAGGCCCTAGTGTAGGGTCCGCCTAGAGTAGAGTGCAGGGCAGGCAGGGTCCCGGTTGAGAGATCCCTTACAACCAGGATTCCCTATCTCTAAAAGTCATTGTAAGTAAGCATGCTGTCTGTCCCTGAAATCACATTCCCATCTGGAGACGAGCAAAAGTGAAAGAAAGAAAAAAAACGCCCCGCCGCAGAGGCGAAATGATGCGATCCCCAAGTGTCGGAAAGTGTCACCAGGGTGAAAAAGCCATGAGGAATGACGTTGATCCCCTAGGTAAGAAATGTTCATGCATTATGATAATGCCAACATGAACAGCAGCGCTCCCCACGCACAGCAGATACCAACGGATTAAGTACTCTTTGCGAGTACATGTGCAGGTGGTATCTGAAGATGGGAGTGGCACTGCTGTGAATCCCGTGATGCTACCACGGCGGAGGGCTTCGAAATCTGGCTGTGCATGCTGCCTGCTTGCTGCACGGAATGGGTTGGTCCGGATTCCACCTTCTCAACAGGAGCCTCAAAGTCATATGTGGAGAGAGAGAGAGAGACCGCAGTAAACTCGCACACTCTAGAACTCGTGAGAGAGAGGGAATGGGGAAAGTACTGGCGCATCACGGCGTGTGAGGTTTTGACAGGGTTTGATCCTCCAGGGGTTATCCGCCTGTGATAGAAGCTCACGACAGGACATCCCAGACATTCTGAAACATCTCTTTTCCAGCGAGGAAGGACTTCTTTCTCTTCCCACCCCCAGCTTTTTTGGTTCTGTATCCTGTTCTTCACACCCCCAGTATTTTTTCTTCCCACTGTAACCGCCGGCATCAAGCCCAAACGTTCATTGGCCCCACGGAATTTCTGCGCGGAGCTTGACTGGAGGCTTGCTCTTTCGTTCAGTTCAGCAGGCCCGTTTCTTTTCAATTATCTGGGCTGGTCTGGTTGGTTTAAACTGCACCCCTCACCAAACAATTCGCTCTTCTTTCCCACCCCTCCCGCCCTCTTCTCTCTTTTTCTCGATCTCTGCCTTTCTTCACCCTTGGCTCTGTGAGTCGAATATTTTTCTTTTCTTATTTTTCAACTCTTCGGGCTGACCCCTAATATTCCTCTGGTCGTTATTGATTTTCAGAGAGACGACGTTTCTCTCCCCCACCCCCTCCATCATCTGCTGTTAAATATCTTGTTCCCAGCGGTTTCCCATCCTCGTATCGCTGGTGCTCCAGCTGCTGCAGGGCTGCACTCTATCTCGTACCTGCCTTAGCCGTTTGCCACCCCGACTTGTCAGTACAAAGAAAGGAAGCCTTGTACTATCGTTTCTGTCTATATCTCGGTGTGTGAGTTTCTGTGTGTGTGCATCTTAGTGTGTGTGTGCGTGTGTGTGTGGGTGTGGGTGTCTCGAGCAGGAACAAAAACAAACAGCTCTCTATATTCGCCCTGTTCATACACGTTCTTCCCTTATTTTTTCGCTTCAGGGAATCGTCTCGGAACCTCACCCCCCCTCCCCCTCCACTCCCCTCCCTACCACCACCCCCCTTCGGTGCTGCACGTCAACTGTCGACGACAACGCCTGCAAGTTCCTCTGTCTGGCTTTCTCCAGCCTGCTTGCTGCTGCTGCTGCTGCTGCTGCCTACAACCTATCTACTCTAATTTCAATACATACCTTCTTCTTCTTCTCTTTCCCTTCCTTCCCTTCCAGCCTATCTGTGCAAGGAAGGATCCGTGCGTCGTGGTACTGCACATATTTTTTCTTTCATATTTTTTCTTCTCTTTTTTTTTATCTTTTAAAATTTTCTGCACATCCTCTTTCTTATATATTATCTTGGTGATAAAAAAGAAGTCTGCCTTAATCCTCCCATCCCGGCATACCTACATCCTACCACCACATTCATAGACTATCACTCCACGACGTTGCTGGTCATCGACGACAACTTGTCATCACCACTATGGCTACCCTCGCATCAAAGAGCCAGTACATCCACCACCCGCCGCATGCCGGTTCACACTTCAACAACACGCCCCCGTCGGCCGCCTCGATCCTCACGCAGCCGTCGCCGACAAACTCGGAGTTCTCCGAGGGGCAAGGACTGCTAGATGAAGTTCGGTGAGATACAACAACGACCCTTTCCCTCCTCTTTCACCTCTTTGTGTGTGTTGTGCTGAACGGTTTTTTCATGGATATCAGATCGTGGGATGAGCGAAAGGTGGGGGAGTGGCTGAGAAGTATTGACTTCGCAAAGTATGAGAACGACTTTGAGGAGAACAACATCACGGGCGAGGCACTGCTGGAATGCGATCACTCGGTGCTGAAGGAGCTTGGTATCAAAAAGGTTGGGGACAGGGTCCGTATCGTGGTTGCGATCAAGGCCCTGAGGACCCGGGCCTACGGTAACGGGAAGAAGCGCAATCGGGTATGTTTCAATCGAGCCAGTTTCTAAACGCACCCCAGGGACTTACGTAGTGTTCTTTTTCTCCGTTTTCTAGGACACTTTGGCGGCGCTAGATAACCTGCCAAACTACCGCTCAAACACACACTCGCTGTATAATCTCACGCCCCCGGGGAACAGCAAGAGGTACTCAAGAACACTGCCCTTAGATTCTGTATCATCAACGCTTACTGGAGCGAGCTATAACCGCCCCGATAGTCCGAGTGAAAATGAATACCCGCGTTCGTATGGTAACCGTGCGCCGAACCCCCGGAGCATGATGAGCCCGCCGCTGGAGACGTCGAGGTCAACAGGATTCTACCCGACGACGCCGGGGCACCCGTCCCGCACCCCCAAGACGCCCTATGGCGAGTATGGCAATAAGGGCCCGCTCAACTCACCGCAGGTTCGTATACATAATCATAAGTCGTCATCCAGCTTGGATGGGATAATGAGTATTGACGTTGTCCGACAGGTAAGTCGTTCATTGAGTATTCCAAGGTGTTGTGTTTTAAAGTGAGCAAAACCCCTAATTGCGAGCCGTTTTGTTAGAATTGTATCAAAGTTATTGGTGACGGAGGTGAATCACGGGTGGTTGAAATCAGTGGGTGTAATACGGCGGAGGCCATCAAGAAGAAGATTGTCAAGAAGTTTAGCGGATCTATGGATGGATGGGCACAGTACTGCATCTACAACATTGAGCAGGAGCAGGGGCGGGAAATCGCCCGCAATGTTTCTGATAAGGAGCTGCTTCAGATCTCGCAAGATGTCAGCCGTCCGGAGCGGGCAAGGCTTATCCTCCGAAGGAGAGGGCTGCCGCCATCACCGCAGTCGACTGAATTCCTTGCGGCCCAGCAAATTGCCCGGGAACAGCAGGACTCCGCCTTTAAGAGCACTGCTGATGCTATAAATGGCAATGCGAACAAGCCAAAGGTAGCGTCGCTGACAGGAAAGCCTCCACATGAAATCCGGCCCATATCACCAGGGCTATCGCCCTATTCAACAGCTTTAGAATCGCCTGCTTCACCTGGGCTATCGCCTCAGGGTATCAATCACAAATCAAAGAAGATTGCCGCTTTCTTCGGGCAGCGCCCACCTAGTGAACTTATTAGTTCGAACTTGGCTGAGTATTTCCCTGACCATGAACCCAAATCCCTGGAACGGACTGTACGCAATTCTATCCGACGATCAACAAGGATGAGCAGGTACAACAGACTTAGTGTGGCTACTACAAGAAGTTATGCCTCAAGTCATCTTAGTCTTAGTGATGTACCGCCAATACCTAGCGTCGGTGATGCATGGTTGAATGCTAGTCCTTCTGGCGCATACCCGCCCTCATTAGGTGGCAGGAACTCAAGACCGGGCTCGATTCGCAAGTCGTTCCTCCCGTCAACCTCATTTTCGGCTGATCATCGGGATTCGCTGGTTCCCGTGTATGAGGAGGACGACGGTGCTACCTTGCCCGGTAGCAGGAAGAGCTACACATCATTTAACAACAGCAGCCAGGAGACCCTCAGGATGGGTGCTGTCGATGTTGTTGTAACAGATACCGATAACGAGAGCACGATCAATGGGTCAACTCTCGGAAGTTATGTCATGGATCAAAGCAGCGGGCTTAGCACTCCTGCAACGGAGGTCTTTGATCCCCGTATGAGTGGTATCAACCAATTCCTCAATACCGATGATTCGGAAGAGGATGAAGACGAAGACGAAGACGAAGATCAGGAGGCAGAGGAGAACTGGAGTGAATTGAGGTGGATGAAGGGTGCTTTGATTGGTGCTGGGTCTTTTGGAAGTGTCTTCTTGGCACTCAACGCACTCACTGGAGAGCTCATGGCCGTGAAGCAGGTTGAGATGCCTTCTGCCGGAAAGGAGGACGCTCGCAAGAAGTCCATGGTGGAAGCTCTGCAGAGAGAGATTGAGCTGTTGAAAGATATGCAGCACCCTAACATTGTGCAGTATCTTGGTTCTAGCAACGAGGACGACTCGCTCAACATTTTCCTCGAGTACGTTCCTGGTGGCTCGGTAGCGGCGTTGCTTAACAATTATGGCCCTCTCAAAGAGCCTCTTATTCGTAACTTTGTTCGCCAAATCCTTACAGGTCTAGCGTATCTGCACAACAAGGATATCATCCATCGAGATATCAAGGGAGCTAATGTTCTGGTCGATAACAAGGGTGGGATTAAGATCTCTGATTTCGGTATCTCAAAGAAAGTTGAGGCTGGGCTCCTGACGTCATCATCAAATCACCGTCCTTCGCTCCAAGGATCTGTTTTCTGGATGGCACCGGAAGTTGTCAAGCAGACTTCTTACACGCTCAAGGCAGATATTTGGTCCCTTGGGTGTCTTATTGTTGAGATGTTTACTGGAAGCCATCCCTACCCAGATTGCTCGCAGCTCCAGGCTATATTCAAGATTGGTACGGGAGGATCAGCACCGACCATCCCGCAGAAGAGCACAGCGGAGGCGAAGCAATTTTTGGGCCAGACATTTGAGCTTGACCACAACAAGAGACCAACTGCCGACGAACTGCTATTAAATCCGTTCATGACTCCGATGGTCGGTGCAGGCTCTCAGAACGATTGAGGATTTGATGGACAAAGATGATGAATTGTTAACGAACTTTGGATTTGGATTTGGTTTTTTTTTTTTATATATAAATATTTCCTATTACTACTATTTAGGTGTACGAGTTGACGCCGTATTTATTTCTTCTTATGGACTATTTTTTTCTTCTTTTTTTTCTTCCTTATCTGTTTGTATTTGTTACCCCCCCCCCCCCTCTTCGCTTCTTTACTTTCTTTTTCTATGTAATGCATCGCTGCAAGGCCCTGAAGGAACGCACAAGGCGGTGTCAATACCCAGTTTCCTCTTTTTTTTCCCTCTAAGCATTGCGGGTGAATCGGCATATTTTTTTCTCTCTTGGGTTTTATACTCTTATTCTTTCTCTAAATAATCGGTTGGTTGGGCGGTAGTTGGGCAGGTGTCACAGGAAGTGGCCCTTTTACGGTCTTTTGGTTTTATCGGGCGTGATGAGGGAAGTCAGCGCCTTTTGAGCGCCCATGTATGGATTATGATCATTGGAGATACCATAGTTAGTGCAAGCAATGATGCCATCCATGGCGTGGAGTTTTCAATCCTTTGACACGACGTTTTCCGTAGAACTATCATTTCCAGGGAGTACGTATACAATCGAGGATATATGACTCTGAAGCGAGCGTTGGCGCACGTGCTTGGAGATCAATTCATGTGATGCGCGGTACACGATCAGAAGAGCGGTGGTGGTTGCCCGGGTTCTGCCTTAGTTTCTGGTGCCTGCAGCTGGGGTTATACCGTTTCTATTTATTTACATCATAGAAGGGAATACCTACGGGGCCAGGAGTACCACTGGGGGCAGGGATGCGGGGTGTGGAGATCACGTACACCTTTCCTCCTTGTCATTCGACAACCGCTCAATCACACCCAAGCCATTCCCCTCCATACTCTCCACTCGCCCCTCCCACGCACTTGCATCTGGATACTTAACGAGACATACCGCGTCCCCCCCCTTGCTGCTCCCACATATATCTTCAATCCTTCATTAATACTTCTTTTTTGTTCTCTCCAAGGTCCCCCTGCATACAGTACTACCTATTACCTATTACCTATTATCTATTATCTATCTCCAGGCCGACATGAATATAGATCTTTCCCGCTGGAAGAGCTTTCGGGGCGGGCGTGAAAGCAAAAGCAAGGTATATCTTTCAAGGTCCCTTGTATGCCCATCGCGAAGCATTATGTCATTAGGAAGAATGTCTTACCAATATTCTCCCGAGCATTTTGTTATCTCTTTGAGTGCTTCTTCTCCTACCTGTGTTTGGGGACGCTTAATGGATAGATAGCTAACTGAGAAATGTCCTCCTTCCCGTGGCACCAACAGCCCCGACGCTTCTCCGGAGAACTCTACGGCGCGGCCGAGGACAGGTCGAGAAAATCGCTGTCGCTGGGGTCGGCAAGGGCCGCCGCCGAGTCGTCTGCTAGGGATGACGCAAATGTATTTTTACAACTGCTCTTAAACGCCCAAGGCCTGTTGGCATCCGCTTGGGGAATGCACTCGGGCTTACAACCGATCTTTGTTTCGCAGGTCCCTCGGATCCAGAGAGAGCTGTCCAAGCTCGGGATCGCCGTCCCGGACGAGAAGGTGCTGGAGGTGCTCCGGGGCCGGTGCGCGAGCAGCGACCCGGACAAGGCGCTGCAGGTGCTGATCGCGATCGAGGACTCGAAGGACGGCGTCGTGTACGATATCTCGACCGATGTCAGGATGCTGGGCGGCGCGGAGAATAATGGTGGCGTGACGTGCTTTATAGATTCGCTCTTGTTTGCCATGTTTGGGAACATGAAGGCTTTTGAGGTGGTTTTCACAGTTCTTCTCTTCCCTCTCCCCCGTAAAAGTTTCGTGTTGGCTGAGCTCTGGGTATTCGCCTTTTGCGAGTTCCATCTTTTTTTTTGTAGGCCATGATATATAGCCCCGCAAACGATATAGACGATGATGCCAAGAAGATGGCTGCTCATATACGACTATTTGTTAATCTGTCGCGAAAAGGGACATCGGTTACCACGGAAATTGTAGGCCATGGCTTCACCGGAGAAGATATTTTGGGCAGATAGATATTAATATTTTTACTTTCACAGATAACAAAGTTGCAGTGGGCATTAAACGACGCTGGTTGGGCCGAGGCAGTCTCCGGTCAACAGCAAGACCCCTCGGAACTATTTGGTTTTATTACTGACAGACTCAAACTTCCTCTCTTGACCGTCAAAGTTGATATCGCTCACGGCGGAAAGGAAATGGTTGATGACGACCACAAGTTTATCAATGAGCGATTACTAAACCTATCTATCCCTCCTGAGTGGGGGCCAGATGATGTAGTCCCACTTGAAGCTTGCCTAGAGTGTAAGAAGCTTCCTTTGAAAGAAAAGAACAAGCTCCAAAGCTTACATTCACAGCCTATTTTCATAGCCGAGTTGATGTAAGGCGCCAATTGGAGCGCCAGGCAACGATGGATCCACTACGCATGCCTGACCATGATCATGCAGATGAGAAGGGCCCTGAAGTACTTCATATCGAGACTGCTGATCTAGGTTCCCAGCCAAGCAGCCCTATAGCAACTCCTCAAACCCCCGTCACACCTTCATTCCAAACCTCCGAATCATCAGGCCCTTCCACACAGCCAAGAAAAGAGTCATTGTCCCTCGTGCGTACTGTAACTGTTGAAGATCATGTTGTAGTTCCTGGCGGGCGCCGAAAACGTGCCACGACGATGCGGAAGGAAGTTATGCTTCCAGCATGGTGCTTTTTCAGCATATTACCGTTTTATACAGCCTCCTTACCTGAAGCAGAGAACCGATCGTCCAACTATGCAGAGCATTTCGCGAAGAACCGCCCGGTCTTGGGATTGTGTCTGAAAAGATACTCATACCACCCGAAGCATGGTGCTCAGAGGGATCCTAGGAAAATTGATGTCCCACTCGAGGTCGCTTTACCAACTTTTGTGAGTGATGATGAGATGGGCGAAGATGGGCGGATATACGGGAATTTTAAGCTGGTGCTCCAATCCGCCGTCTGCCATCGCGGCAATTCGGTCCACAGTGGTCATTATATCGCCCTGGTAAGAAGTGATAGGGAGGGGATGTGGCTGCGATTTGATGACATGAACATTGCAGAACGAGTCAAGGAGATTGACCATAAGACTGCCTTTGAAGAAGAAACCCCATACATGCTGTTTTACCAGGTACAACCCCTTGACTCGGATGAAAGAGTTGTGGGACCTCCACCCCCGGCTATACATTCGATGGAAGCCACATCCGAGAAACGCCTCTCGATACTCTCAACTTCGTCTGAAAATAGCATCTTAACAATACCTATGATTCCTGAACCAACGGTCAACGAGCCACCTTCATATGATAACCATAAAACCGCCCCAGAGCTTGGTACTTCGCCTCCGCCAGAGTACACTGCAGGATTTCTCGCGCTCCCGGGCCGGTCCGAAGTTTCAACTCCTGGGGAGCAGATTGAGCGACTACGCCCATCATCAAGATCCCCTCAGAGGCCCGGTTCAAAGGATGGCGCGTCAATCGAGTCGGCGAAGAAACGATCAAAGAGTGAGAACGCAGTAGGCGATCGCTGGGAGAGTATGCGTAAGAGTTTGCCAGGGAGGGGAAAGAGCCAGGATATATTCTCGTTCGGCTCCCGTAAGAGCGGCGAGTGGAAACGCGAGGAGCAGCAGAAGCGGGAGGAGCAGCAGCCCGGGGATGAGCGGCCGAGCGAAGATAGCGGCGAGAGCGAGATTTCGGAGAATGCGAGTGTGGCAAAGAAGAAAGATAAGAAGGGTAAAGGAAAGGAGTCCGAAGATAAGGAGAAAGAGAAGAAGGGCAAGAACAAGGAAGACAAGAGGGACAAAATCATTGACTGGAGACCCAGTAAGGAGATTAACAGGGAATGCAGGATCTCATAGTACTATTTGCCCGGCCCTGTACCCCTCCTTTCTTGTCTTTCTTACCTATATTATATTTATCATACCCTATATCCATCTTGTTGGGGCTTTTTTACATAATGTTTTTTTATTGTTAGCTTGGTTTCGGCTCAGCCTGGTTTTGGCTTGGATTAGTTCTTTTTCTTTTTTCATTTTCATTTTTCATTGGTTTCAATGGTTTGGTATGGTATGGTATGGTATGGCTTGGATTGGACGGATGTTGCATATGTTTGGGCGGCGTTCATTGTATGAATAGATGTCTTGTCTTTTTCAACAAAGGGATTGATGCATTATATATTAGAGTTTTCTTGCAAGAGATGATTGTTCAACAAATTCACCTAGCAGTTAATAATGGCATTAATCAATCAAGAAGGGTGCAGCAGTGTGCGATGATGAGCCGGTAAATGGTACCGAGTGATATACTGTGTCTCAAACTGAGTTCCTTGATTATCTCTGAAAAGAAGCAAAACTACATGCCGAGCGCCAATTAACCTTACTTCTTTTAATGTGCCCCGATTTCAAGCGCTTAGGTCCGTGGGTCGACCCAGAAAATCAGGACTCCCGAAAGAGCTTGGTGTTGGTTTCATGGCCAGACTCGGAGCGGTAATAGTAACATATAAAAACCCAATATTCCCGGAAGAAGTAGATTTAATACCATAAAGACTAGATAGTTGAAAACAAAAATTAACTTGTGGTCTATCTGGAGATACGTGTTACTAGTAGTTGAATGGACCCCTTAATTAATGATATATATCTCGGCCGTTTATACCAGCTTTTGTATAAGAATGAATTCGGAAGATTGGTCATTATGTATTTTTCCAAAGGTATATCAATACAGAATTCTCTTCGTCTGTCTCTAAGGGCGAAAGACTAGAGCCGGTATGAGGGATCATGAAATATCACTCGTTTGCAATAGCTACAGAACCAAAAAGCGGGCGGATCCAGTACACTAGGCTCGAGCTATATAGCTCGAGCTTTTGGTAGAGGCCCGTGAAAAGGCTCGGACCGGTGGCCAATGATCGATATAACAGGAAACACTTCTGCCAAGATCAGGGGTTAACGATCAAGAGGAAAAATAGCTCCATGGAATCATTATCTGCAGAAAGACAATAAGCCTATATTTGCAATTCCCACAATTAAATCTTCGGGACATATAAATATAAGTAAAATTATGCTCATGAGCTAGCTCGGGCTTACTGGGTAGTAAGGCTCATTGTGAATGAGCCGAAAGTTCGAGCTCAAGGCTCGAGCCGGCTCAGCTCATTTACCACACTATTCGAGTCTCAGTAATCTATTTAGAGTACCAGGGGCCGATAAATTGATTCTTATCTTTTGTATTACGATGCTTACAAGACTTCATACCTGTTATACCGGGCCCACTCCCTGGGAGTGGGCATTTGTGAGGGAACAGGAGTGCCTTTACTGAGGGGTCGGTCGGTTAATGCATTAAAAAATGTTTTTTTATACGAATTTTGGTATAGGAAACGTTAAAATTGATGTATTTCCTCACCCGCTAGAGTCTCCTTCCTTAGCATGAAAACATAAGGGCTTTTTGAATTGTTCTAGCTAGTATAATATTCACTAGTTAAAAAAGGTACTGTTGTTCTTTTGCTGGTAATGTAATTCCCATTCGCCATCGAACTTATTTCGCCAGCGGAAAGGCCATAAACGCGTCCAGCCAAATAGGGACTAGCGCCATACATGCAGCGCATACAGAAATAGTTTAGCGGCAATCATACAATATCACTCGTGCCAACGCTTTCTATGATGTGTATCAACCCTAGACGTACAAGATAGATATCTCATCGATTGGGATATACGAACTGCAGAGTTCAGGCAGCGAAAAGTGTGTCTTTCCCACGAACGAAAAGTGTGTATGAGACCATGACGTTTTTCTGCATATCCCATGTTACGCAGGATTCAGGCAACCCACTTGGGTATAGGTACAACTGTATCCAGCAGCACCCCTCACCTCCCCGGTACTACTCTTACGTTGTAGGGATATAAATGTGTCTGCGTAACTTAAAATGTATATTCCCGTTGTCAGTTCCCCCCTCTCTCCAAATTGGCGAATTCAACCTCGCTAGCAATGTCCTTCCCCTGCAGCCATAAATCTTGTCACAAGGTTTTTCGCACTCAGAATGCTGTTGACCAGCACTTTTTCTCCTTCCACAACAAGGCAGCATACGATGCCACGATCAAAGCTGCCCAGAAAGCGAACGAAGAGAGAAGGAGGCAAGAAATGGAGGAGGCAAGAATACAATTGGCAATGGGAAATAAAACAGAAAGCCAAATGGATAGGATAGAGACTCTGTTGAGAGGTCCAAATCAAAATCTCTCGTTCAGCGAAGCAGTCTTGCAGAAAAACGGCTATCACGAACCTCCGAGGTTGAACGGCCAACCAGACCCCACTCTCAGATTTGTCGCCCAGAATAGGGCATCTGAAATGGGCCCACCTTCAAGAGTAGCCCCATTGACGTCCTCTTCCCATGACAAAGACCGTTCCTCGCGGCGTAGCTCTATGCTCAATACAGAAGTACATAGAGCCGGTAATTACGCCTCGCCCTCGACGACAACCTCTGAAATACCTCAATACGATTACTATGAGAATGATCCATATTTCTCATACGGTTCGGACCCCGCTGTCCAAAAAGATCGTCCAGAGCCTCTCCCCTGTGAGGATTGTAGCTTCCTTTTCCGGGATCAAGAATCGCTAGATTACCATATCAGTATCAAGCACCAACCACCGCCCTGCTTCGTCTGCCATAAGCCCTTTCCTCGCGATCAAAGCCTTGATGAGCATCTCGAAACAGTGCCTCATGAGTGTGCTTACTGCCATATTTCTCTGCCCTCCAGAAAGTCAGGGGTGGTATCACATATGTGGTTCTCTCACCCCTTCGTTTGTAGGGAGTGTGGGTGTAGTCTGCCAAACTCGAGTGCTCTGGGTCGGCACATGAGCATGGCACATGGAAGTGGGGGACTTTGCTGTCAGGTGTGTCAGCCGCCATGCGGGAGGACTTTTGACACGCAGGAAGGCCTCGATGGGCATATCAGGTCCATGCTGCATGGGAACTCAAAAGCTGCTGGTACCCGCCGTAGCGAGTATGGAGGAACTGCCCAATGGGTATCTCAAGATCAAGCTCGCCGCCGTGCGCGTGAGGAAAAATCCTCTGTTCCAGAGGGCTCTCGATCATCTCGACGCTCCCGCCGGAGCCAGGGTTCAATTGAGACTAGGGAACCCTCATCTTTAGCAGTCCGTCATGAAGAAGAAGAAGAAGAAGGTCCCTATATGTTTAGGAAATCTACATTTCTACCGCCTGTCCGTCATGAAGAAGAAGGTACAGTTGAGTTAGGAAGCCCATCGCGACCAGCTGCTCGCCATAAATTTAATCCGTTAATTACGGAGAATCCTCCTCAACCTCCCGGCACTCGGCGCAAAAGGGATTTATCTGTAGCTGGGAGCTCTACAGGGTCAACGACTCATCATACTGAAGTCTCTTCCGTGTCAGGAAGATTTCCGGCAGTCGTCAGCAGTGACGAAAACCGATTTCGATGTAATTGTGGTAGTAATACCTGCGTTATGTCATGCGATGGCCCCCATAATACCCGTAAGTCTAGCTATAGAGATATTATATTTAAGCCAGATAAAGTGATCTGATTTCCTTTAGAGACAGATATCACCCCTACACAACAAGCTATCTTAGATTCCATGTCCCAGCAAACACGTCGATCCCGAGCCACACCAGTCCAGCCAGTCCAGCCAGTCCGGCGAGCCACACCGATTCAGCCCTTACAGCCAACCCGGCGAGCCACACCAATTCAGCCTTTACAGCCAACCCGGCGAGCTACACCATCCCAGTCAGTCCAGCTAGGCCAAATAATCAAATCAAATCAGCGAGACCACCCAGACAAAGCAAGCCATCCAGACCACCCAGACCATCCCGACAATCCAGGCTATCCAGGCTATCCAGACTATCCAGACTATCCAGGCCAATTACTCCAACCAACTAAACTAGTCCAGAAAGCTCAGTCAGCCCGGAGCAAAACCCCCATCAATTCACTGAAAAAGCAAGGATCCTCAACGTATCCATGCTGGACATGCCACCCGTTCTGCGGGAACGTATTCGATACCGAAGAGGAAAAGAAAGCACATATCAAGTCCGTGAGTTTAAAGGGGAAGTCTTCCAAGCGTTTAGATATGAATGAGAACTATTCTGAGTTTCTGGGTACGAGTGGGAAACACTCTGAGCTTTTGGGTACAAACGAGAAGCCTCCAAGTCCAGCCATCCGCCGGAGCAGAACTCTGTTCCTATGTGAGAGCTGTGATCCTGCATGTAACCAGATATTTGAAGTTCATGAAGCTTTAACAGCCCATATCGAGCAAAAGACACATCTTGAGATCCAAAATTTGGAGGAAGATATCAGATCGGCAGAGCAAACTGCTCAAATCCGGATCGAAGCTCTTGAGAAAAAACTGGAAGAAATGAAGGAAAAACATCGCCTCGAGATCGAGACCATGAACACAGATCTTGAATTGATGAGGGAGAGGATTTTTGAGATTGACACCCAAATCTTACCCTCTTTTGCATGTGATTTATGCAAGCCATTCTGCGGAAATATCTTCGACACCGAGGAAGCTGTCGAAGAGCATCTGGATATCGTATTGGATAATGCGATGGACACACGTCTCAAATCATTCAGAGAGAAAGATGCTTTCGATGCCAAGAAGGCGAAATTTCCAATGAAATGTTATACATGCACGCCGCCCTGTGGGAGCACCCTCGACAGCTCTGAATGTCTGAACCAGCATCTGGATCTTATGATCGAGAAATCACAACACCTGATCACTCGGTATTCGAAGCAAGAATTCCCATGCAATAAATGCGATCCACCTTGTGGAAAATTTTTCGATTGCAAAGAGGATCTAGAAGCTCATTTGGTGCCTGCGGCAGAGACTGCGGAGGTGGTGGAAGATGCTGGGCCCCAGGAGGCCCCTAAAACTGACTGTGAGTCGCAAACTGAAACTTTTGTTGATTTGGAATCCCCGAAATTCCACGATAAAAGCATGCGGGACTTCCAGCGAATTTTGGACGCCCGCACTGTGCGACAAAAACAGGCAGAACAATCGATTTTGGATATAGTAGATCAATTTTCATGCGATACATGTAGCCCTCAATGTAGGCGCATCTTCAACACCGAGGAAGAGCTACAAAACCATCAGAACTTTATAGAGGAAAAGAATCTACGTAACGCCACACGACCTAGCCCGGACCGGTGGTCTTGGTTAATTATTGAGACCCCGGATGCTGTCGAAACTTTGTTGTCAATGACACAAGAGCAAGATGTTCTTTTAGAAAATGAATATTTCGAGCCCCCTCAAAAGTTCGGTCACCAGGATCAAACCAAATGTATTAATTGTCATGGTGAGTCTACAGGTACTCTTTTTTGAAGAGATCGTGAATAAAGATAAAGCTGATTTTCTAGGTGTTAAATCGAAGCTAGATCTAGAGGAAAACGTTATCTGTTCGTACCATACTGGTAGATGGGAGAAGGATGTAAGTATTTACCACTATACTATCAATATTGATTTCCACAATGATAACTTACAAAATCAGGGAGATAAAACTCGTCCCAGCTGCTGCAAGAAAAGAATCAAAGGATGCAAAGTCCAAGATAAACACTCATTCATAAACACTGAGGGTCTCGAGGGGCCGATGCTCCAACTAACACCAGAGCCATCTTCTCGTCATCCGAAACGAAAAGCAGTCGTTCTTGGCTGCGGGGTGGGCGTTTCTACCCAGGCGACCAGCGAATTGATCCAGCTCATTGCAATCGACTTCTTCACCGGGGAAGTCCTAATCGACATGATAGTTCGTCCCAGAAAACAAATAGCCGACTATAGAACACGATGGACCGGAGTCACAGAAGATATGGCACAGCTAGCCATCGCGGCAGGGGAGTTCTTGGACTCCTTTGAAAATGCAAGAGCAGAGCTTTTGAAATGGATAGACAGTCAGACGATACTCATCGGTCACTCGCTACATATGGAGTTATGGCAACTACAGCTCAAACACCACTTGGTTATAGATTTGTCTTTAGCCATGCCGCATGCCGGATACAAACCACTTAGAAAGTCGAAGGGCAAAAACTTGAAAGCCATACTGCAGAACTTCTTAGGAGAAATCATTCAGGACGACGATGATGGGTACGATCTTCTGGAGAATTTACGCGGGATAAGGGAGTTGATAATTAGGTTGAGCGGAGGTGGTACAGCTGTTAATGCGGATTATGAAGGTGAGGAAGAGGTTGCGGAAACTTCCTAATACCTCGAGATGTCTAGCAATATGCGCTTTTTTCCGCTGATTGGTATACTGTCGTTTTTTTCCTTTCTTTTTTTCTATAGTTTCCTTGTGGGATTGAAATCTAGGGTAGCACTGCAGTTCTCGTATTTTCTTTCAGTTTTATGCTACGATTCTCAACAATTTGCCGATCAGATCTTGTTTTCTTTTGTCGATTGAACTCTTCTGTATGATTATTTATCATATGTATGGCCTGAAAGGTTCGGTGAAGGGTTAGGTTCCTTCGCTGAGGCCTGCAACCGCAGCTTTCCTTATATAAACGCATTGGATTTGGTATCACATGTTTTTTTTTTTTTTTTTTTTTTTTTTTTTGACACGGATATATCTAAACTCCGAGCTTTGAAGATGATCGAGTGACATTACATGACGCGAAAGTAATTTTCATGATTGGAGATTATCTGCAAAATAAATTAATCCAGCGCGCTCCCACTATGCTATGCTACGGATTCACAAGTAGCTATGTACATGTAGCGTTGGGGTGGAATGCGAAGCTTAACCCTTAAACCCTTAACGCTTAAACCTTAACCCAGCTTGAAACGATTCACCTAACCCTACCTCAACACCTGCGGTTCTACGATAATTCTACGTAACTACATGTACATGTCATTATAATTGCGATCCAAGCTAGGTTTGATCGGGTGATTAAGCAGCTAGTACTACATAGCTCCAATCCCTAGCAGATAAACTCCAAGACCAATTTCTTTTTGGTGGAAACCCCCCATCTGGTACCATCATCTTATGATTCTCGGCTTTGGGCACGGTGGACAACCGTTTTGAACGTACGCATTTTAAGTTATGGCTCATGCATGTGATCACGATCATTTACAGAATTCTGCTAGTTTAAGATGGGCATAAAATAGCTACATTGAATGCAGCGAGATTAGCAAATCACTAATTCTAAAAAAAAAAGCATACACTTGAATAAGAAGAATTCATACACAACCATCTAGGCATGAGCAACGAAGAGGACAAATTCGAGGAAGAAAGAGAAAGAAAAAAGCGAAGAAACAAAATCAGAAGCTTAACGCCCACCGAATCAACCCGAGAATTTTGTAAATATACAGAATAGAGTAGGGGAATAAGAACGCTGAAATACTAGTTATTCAATCAGCTTATAGAAGGTCACATTCAGACATATGGTATAGGTCTAGGGTAGCACGATACATCGCATTTGGTGCGACAATACCACTGTTCTCACATATCAGTATTTATACGCGAGGGAAGGATTGAGGGAAATTAGATAGAGGAGGGGTAAAATACTTGTTCGTAACGAAATATCCCACATAGCTTCCTGGGATAAAGTCTACCATTGGGTTCGGCATTTCCACGTTGTCGATAACGTATCCTATTTCATCGGTTAATGAGGTTTCCCATATATTCCTTTATCGGAGAGTATAACCCACCTTCTTGGAAATCAACAGTCTTAGGTGCTCCCATCTCAATCCACTGGTCTTCGAAGAAAGTAGTAATTGGGCATAGAGCGTATGACCCCGATAAAACTACCACCGGGGTGTTCCTTGCCTTTGCAGCCCTTACGATGTTTTTCGTTCCAGCAGGAGCTAGCAGGCTTCCATCGGCAAACACATACTCTGTTCCCAAAATCACCTTATTGACTCTGCCCATGAAGTTGATCACATCGGAATCCGAGATAACGATAACCTGAATTCCGCGGTCCTGAAGACTCTTTCTCGCCGCAAGCTCAGCCGCGTCCTCGTCCTCTTCATTGGCGGTATCTTTGTTCATCACCGCGTTGTGGGTCTTCCGGTATACATTCAACGATCCCTCAACTACAACGACGGTAAAATCTCTCTTCTGCGCGGCACGAAGGAGAAGTCGCTGGACGGTAGAAGGGAACCCGTAAGTGAGAATAACTTCATTCCTGTGGATAACGTTCATCGCATACTCCGCAAGATTCGTCTCGCACGAATCAAGCTCCTCAATAAGTTCCTGGATATCCTGGATTATAGCCGGGCGGACGTCATGTTGCACAGAGGACTGTGGCTTGGCAACGCCGGTAGACGGAGGTGAAGACGTAGCAGATGAGGTAATTGACGAGGAGGGGTGAGAGAATATCTCAAAGACATTTGTTAACGAAGGGTTTGAGGCCGCAACCGCAAATGACTTGACGGTCATGAGTGAGGGACGTTTCTTGAGTGCAGTGGGACCACCTTGGAGCGCTTCTATATAAATGTTAAGCATTTGACTCACGTCGATACAGAAAGAAATTTCCTACCCTCAAAGTCCTCTGAACGGAGCGCTTCTTGGAATTGATCACCCATTCCGTTGTTCTCTGCTTCCTCACGGATAATCCCAACAACCCTTCGCGCCATGTTCCTGACCGACATCTCTCTTGGACGTGCAGCAGAGAGCCGCTCCTCAACGCCTGAAATATAGTCGACCAGCTGCCGTATGCTCTGGAAACGGTATGAGGAGATCAGGCGGAGGAAGAGCTGTGCAGTCCCAACAGCTGCGGGGACGGGGTTCCGTATGACACGGCGTTTGAGTGCCCTGCAGCCCGTCAAGTTAGTTGCAGAACCCAATACTTCTTAGAGAATGAGAACTAACCCGACATAGAGTTCGACGGAGTTTTCATGGTGAAAGTCGGTTTCGAGATGTGTAAGCCACCATTTAAGCCCAGGTGTCTGTAGAGTGGAGGTCGGTGCGGTTGGTGCCATTTTGAAAGGATTTGGATGATGTTTTCTTAAGAGGAGCTGGGGTTTCTATTACTGACAAAGGTTTGCAAGAGGAACGAAGGTACAGGTGGATTATGAAGGGGCTACAGGGTTTGTTTGCATATTTGTTGGAGGGGCACAGTCATTGAATTCCCTACCCCACCATACACCACTGGGTAATGATCGCCCGGGTAACCCAAAATACATGGAATTCTATGTTTGACATCGCAACCTTTGAAGCTTCTTTTCGATTGCATATTGCAAATATAAATACAATATTCTTCAATTTTTTTTCTCTTCATATTTGAGTACTTTAGATATATGGTTACAGGTACATGTAGTAGATGGAACAGAATTCCTGTCGCATACCTGTACTGTACCATTTGGTGCATCATGCCATACACGGAACATACGTATTAGCACGGCTCACCCTGGTAAATGAAAGTTTAAATCATAACAAGCATATAGACGCATCACTTTCCTTGCAGTGAGTGTTACTTATCTGGCCAAAAAAAAGATTGGGAAAGGGATAGTTACAGGTTTCGAACACATGTAGTCTACTAGATTAAGACAAATGTAGTTAGATACTGATTTCTTCAAGCGAGATAATCCATTATTAGTGGAAATCTTTTTCTTACACCGTGGTATCATTAAATCTCTTTTTGCTTCAGGCTTTCTAAGTAGGGTTTATAAACTTAGCTTATATTAATTATAATGATAAAGATACATGTATGCACTCAGGTATTTCAATTCTTGTATTTAAAGGAGTCTGTTTCCCTGACGGAAAGCTGGGGAAATAGCTTACTATATATCATGATGGTTGAGTATTTCTTTTTGTTCAAAATATTCGAGGTTAATGCTTCCGATTTAATTTTGTACTGCTTTCGGAACCCGAACTGTTGACTATAATCTTCCCAAATCGATCATGATCGATCGCCCTTGTCATTTTTTACTGAGATAGTTATTCTTATTTCACTACTCACATTAACATTTATCTGCCCTTTTGATTGTTAGACTATGTTCTTGATCTGTCAGTTTTAAACTCCGTATTGATCTTATCCATATTAATTATGTCTGTTTCGAAGCATGGAGCCTGAGCGCTCTCATTCACTCCGGCGCCAATGTCTTTAATCTTTAGCGACATGAAGGGGCTCCCGGAAGACCCCTAGACGCATACAAAGGGAAATGATCATGGGTAAAGATTCAGCGTATTAGCTGCGGCTGCCTATACTACATGTAATCTCGCGTCACAGATTCTAGGTCTTGTTTTCTACAAGCAAAAAGCAATTAAGAGCAGCAAGAGAGTCAAATGCCTATTGACTTACATGTAATAGTATCTGTCTTTTAAGTAACGTATATGCAGCACATGTATGCAGCTTCAGAGGGGTCTTTTAGGATTGACCCTAAAATACTGTAGACCAGTCGATCGTTGGGATTGCCCTAGCTAGCTAGGCGCACAGGCCTTTGTGCATATTAAGTATGTATCAGCCATGCCAATTGCATAAATATTGTCCAACACTTCTAGTCAATTGCAATTACAAAACCAATTGGTGGATTCGTCGTATCCCACCGCTAACAGGCTGTAGGTACATGTTATTCCTCGGCGGCTCTATGAGCATGCGGTCCCGATGACGTTAAGGCAGGGATGCCGATGTCCAACAAAGCTTATTTCAACTTCTTTGCAACAAACACACGCCACATCCCGCGCAACGAGGTCAACGATATCACCAATCCATAAAACACAATTCAGCAATCATGGGTGGCAGTAATTTGGAAGTCTTCAAGGTACCTATCAAATTGGTCTTGTTAAGAAGGGAATCAAGCGAATAAACTAATTTTTCTTCTTTCGTTTTCCCTCTGTCGCAGTTTGGAATGTATGAATGAGTGCCCCACTTCACTGCCGCCACCAAACATCAAACTCTAACATCACGGATCAACGGACAGGTATATTATGTTCCCGATCGCGGTTATGTACTACTTCGGTACAAATCTCGACAATCGCTTCTCCGTCCCCGATTTCTGGCCGAAAGCGAATGAGACACACAAGATTCCATTTGACCGCGATGAGATCAGGGCAGAATTAGAGAGGCTGAGAAAGACGAGACTGGAGAGGAGGGCAAAGAGAATGGATGTCCAGGAAGTCCCCACAAACCACGAGTAGTGTCAATGATGGTCGAAACAAAGGACCCTACGGTTATGATGCTACAGGAGGAGCTAGATGTGTTTCCTCTCAGTTTGTGCCATCATTCATACTGGTAGCGAGGCGCTAAGATACCAGAGGACTGGAATATTATTTCCTTGTACCATATGTTAATTCTTTTCTCTTTCGCGAAAAAACCTCCTCTCTCTCCCTTCTATACAGTTATATAGCTATAGGTAATGTGGAATATAACGACTCATTATCAATTTGCTATCAATCAGCTATCTAGAAGTGGAATCAGTTAGTGTCCATTCTCTTAGTATTTTGAACGCAAAATACGTATACGTGTATTTACTAAACTCCCTTAAATCCCCAGACTCCATAAAAATAGTATATGCTATAAACAGATTTAATCTAAAAAGCTGGCAATTCTACTCTCAGCCCGTTATCTTCCAGCTCTATCATCACTGGAGGTTCCTGGACCTCAGCAGCTTCACTTGCTCTCCTTGATTCTGCTTGCGGATCTGGATCTGGACCTGGATCTTCCACGGCTTCGCTCCCCCTCCTTGAACCCATTCCCAGCCCCTCCTGTTCGGAAACCGACGCCCTCTCACTGGAATTTTGTTTCCTAACCGCCAAACACCAATATATCGAAAAAATTATACCCCCAGAAAATACCAAAACACCAATAACTATTGCAGCAATAATACCTGCCGGAAGAGTACTGCTCGTTGTTGAAAGGACGCACCAGTCCTCCCACCCTACGGGGGTGATATCATGGCAGTAAAAACAACTATATACATGTAAGTGATAATTCCTCTCATATAATACGGTTGGGGTCAATATACTCTAACGCAGAACGGAGAAATCCACGGGTCATACAGAGACAATTACTCTGGGTGGGTGTGTAATATGAGATATTCATGTATATCCTCATATCCTCATCCGGTGAAAATGGTACGCCGCATACCACGAAGGTGTCGAAAGGATCCTTACACGAGTCGTAACATGAATTTGTGCTTGAATCATTCAAGTTCCGAGCAGCCCGAGTAGTCAGTGTGAGGAGGGTGAATAGAGTCACACGTAGGAGAAATGCGAGTGGGATTCTCATTTTGGTTTTTCAGCAAGGTTCTTGAGCAGGCGACATTTAATCTTCAAAAGAAAGATCGCTCATCTAAGGTCGATATTAAGGAGATAGTACAGGGCTATAGGGCTGGATTTACGCGAGCGAAGATAAACAATGTTGTGTACAATTCGCGCATCGAGCTTACGGCTGAAAGAATTGGGGTTTTCAAGGTGCATAAACCCAACTTTCAGACATAAAGTGCACATTCTCCTCATCGGCACTTAAACTCTGCATCTCGAAAAAGGAAATATAGGGTGAAAAATTCAACGTTTAAGTGTGTAAGCCCAAACAACTATCACAGGTGACCCGACTAGGTGGCTGAGAACATGTCAGCCCGCAGGCTAGAATCAATCATCTGCTCATTCTAAGCGAATTATATCTCATGTATAACGATAACAATGTTTAAACTCCAGGCTCAATTACTCCATAGTTGTTTACTACGCACGTGTTTTCAATCGTCACTAGAAAAAATGTTACGCAAAGTTGTTTCAATTGACCAAAAACCAGGCTTTTTTATTAATAGCGGATTGGGATTTAATTTAATTTTTTTTATGATCTCAGGTTTGTATAGATTTCGCTTACATGGTCCGATTCTTCCAGTAGATCTACCACCGATTGTCAGTTAACAGAGCTTGTTGTGATATGAATACGAACAGTACTTACTGAGTAATTTCGTCAATTGTTCCTCCGCTTTACTTCCTTCCTGCAGCTCCACCATAGTGTCTTCGTTCGGGACCCACGCAATAACACTGCTGGTAACCTGCACTTCTGGTAGCCGGGTTTTTATTTCTTCAGCCACGGCAGAAGTCCTGCTTGGTTCCGTCGTGATTTCGACACCCTTCCCATTCTCATCTTCGCATTCTTCTACATCTTCCGTTCCATCTATTTCTAAAGTAGCTTCGAGAATTGTATCGAAGTCGACCTTACCAGGCAAGACGTGAATAATTCCTCTTTTGGTGAAAAGATATGACGTAGGCGTAGTCGTAGCATTGCATTTAGTGAGGAGAGACTTAGTCTCCTGAAGAGCACGTAGCTTGTTGTCTGTAACACACTCCCTATGCATTCAATCAATATCTTAGAGGTTAACCCTATGTATTAGAATACGTTGAGTTAGAGCTTACAAGACCAATGCCACGGAGCCGGGTCCCATGGCTTCCATAATCAGTGTTTCAAGAGCTACACCACTTGCCGAAATTCCTTGGCCGCGATTTATGGCACCTTGAATACGTTCCTTTGGCATTCCAGCTGTAGATTTACTAGGCTTATTAGTTTCTGCTGAGTCCACGGTGGGCTGGGTTGAATCTCAGACCCTTCTTGGCGGCTGCGACTGCTGCGGTAAGACGAAGGTTTCCATCAAGTCCACCAGCTAAATGTGCGCGATTTTCGGTCAGTTTATGGTTTGTGAGCAGTGGGGGTTTGTTGATACTTACATTTTGATGCATAGCTTATCTCTTGGGAAATCTTTGAGAAGGCTGAGCCTCTTTTTGCATCATTTGCGCCTTTGTCGTGTCGAATCTTACTCCATCTGTTGTGACCGGACTGCGAGACAGAGGATGTAGAGAACAAACATGGGTAGAGTCGAGTGCTTGACTGTGATGTTTGCCACTGTTTTGTACACTTGAGCGATGTGTGAAGAAGTCCAATGGATTGAGATCTCATTTTCTAGTACCTTATGTTCGGACAGAACTGCAAAATTATGTACAGACCAAATTTTGACCCCTCCATAGGAGGTGTGGC